ACACGCATATGGATATTCAACTCTTGATTAAATCAACTGAAATTGACTTTGCAGAGTTGTGGTTCTCCGTGGCTAACTTTGGTGTAGAAGACTTATCATTAACATGTACAAACTGATTTAAACAGCGTTCCTTGTGGAAAGAATGTGATAATGTGCCTTATTGGGTGCCCTTTAATGTAGAAAAAAATTAAGAAGTGGTCCCTTGAGTTCCTTTTTATTGCATTAAATGAAATATTGGAACCCATCTGCTAATGTCTTGCAATGCTATAAAACCCAGGGAGTGATGGCCACATTTTCTAGGCTTCTGGTGTAGCCATAAGTCAGCAATAAATACAATACATCCTTTTCTGTGCTGTGCCACTGTGTCTGACTCGCAATTTGAGAAGCGAGAATAGAGTATGTGTAAACGACATTTGAGACATGTGCATGCTTATATTTGTTTAAAAAACATTAGTAAAAGTTAAATGGCTGTTGGATGACTGCTGATGGATGGATGGATGGATTCTGGCGTTGTATAAGAGAGGATTGCTTTCTGCCCCTTTTTCGCTCTACACTGACTGCTTTTCTGTGTCCAATGCCCACTGAAATGCAAGCTGATGTTACTACTCGTAAGAACCGAATATTTGTGATACCAAAATCTGGTCTGAGCACCTCCAGATTCCTTTTTTCTGAGCTGTAAATAGAGGATAGAGAAAGTGCTATTAAGTGCATTCTTGTCTGCCTTCAGGCAGAGAAAGTATGAAGTCTATACTTCTGGGCTCTTATAGTTTAGCAGTATCATCAGCAAATTGTACTTAAAGAGTACCAAAATAAGGAGCGCTGGTGGTGCAGTGGTTAGAGCATGCGCCCCATGTATCGAGGCTGTAGTCCTCCAGGCGGGAGGCCCAGGTTCAAATTCAACCTGTGGCTCATTTCCCAAATGTCATTCCCTGATCTCTTTCTCCCTGATTTCCAACTCTATCCACCATAAAGGCAAAAATGCCCAAAAATAAATCTTTAAAAAAAGGAGTACAGATATAAAAGTGACGTTGGGTAACTTAATTTGCAGCATAACAAGACCAAGAGGCTGAATTAAGCGCTCCAAACAGAATATAGAGCTACATTCTAACAGCAGCATACTTAAATTTTCAATGTATCAGGTCTTACGATTTAAGGTTATATATTTCTAGCATCTAGTTCAGGATGTTAATATGATAAAAATGGCTGATGAGTGCTGAGCAAAAAGTACTGATGAGATCAAACAATATGGCGTGCTCTAAAGCTGAAAATGTAACATGTTTAAAAACATGACCTTCCCTTTTTGCAATCAATCTTGATCTGAAAAGTAACAACAATTTGTAAAGTTACTAAAATGCAAAAACTAAGAATAGGCCTACGTCAAAAGTACAGTTCTGATGGTCAAAAGTACAGTTCTGATGGTCAAAAGTACAGTTCTGATGGTCAAAAGTACAGTTCTGATGTAAACATTGTGCATTGTGTTACACACTAATGCTAAATTGTCCGGTGAGTAAGTGTGTCAAGGGATGCTAGTTTTGCTTGGTTGGTCGAGCAGGTGCCCAGTGTACAGAGCTAAAGTACTCCTCTTTGCACCAATTACACATTTTAGTGCCAATTCTGACGCTATTTAAATCATGTCCTAACTCTCTCTCACCATGTTTCCCGTCACTCAATAGCTTTTCCTCTTTAATAAAGGAAAACGACAAAAAATAAAAAATAATAGTTAAAGTGTCCATAAAAAAAAAAAAATACATGAAACAATAGCAAATTTCTTTGGTTTCATCAGATTTGGCACGAAAAAGGGAGAAGAGGAAAACTAATCATATGGATGAGTGCAGGAAGTTCAGTAATAAGCAGGATAAATGAATAGCAGGAGGACAGAATGAGAGATGAGGACACACTGATTGGTGTACTCAGCATTAAAGCTATAACTTTGTGACCATTTAGATGAATTCAGGTCATTAAAGTGAAATGAGATTTTAATATGGATGCTGGCATAGACAGAAGGAAAGCATCGAGAGAGAGAGAGAGAGAGAGAGAGAGAGATAGTGGCCAAAATCCATTTTTAAGTGTATTTTAAAAAGGTCTAAGTGCAGTTGCCATAACAACACCACCAGTGTATGTCCCTGGAGTCCTTGAGGTGGGTAAAGGCAGGACATTCAATTACAACAAGCTCTGACTATGACGTGAGTCTATATTCAATGCCGGTGTGTTCTGTTCTTAATGAACACTGTATTAATGGATGCCATAACATTCAAGTGGCAAACAATGTGTCATATTTTACTGGGTGAGCTGTTTTCAGTGCACCAGTACATAACAGGTGTTTATCTGTGTCCCTCTTTGACTTTTCACTCTGCATTTGCTCAATGACTTGCATAAATAACTATGACAGGTCAACATTTCCTCTATTAGTGCCACATCGTCCTTCAGCTACGTTATCACCACACTTTCTTAGTTTGGTGAAAACAAAAACCAGCCTGAAAAATCTATACAAAAGACACACAAAAAGTCCATATGATAATAATAAATGATGGATTATCTAGTTCAAACATTAAACACATCAAATACAAACCTGTATCTTAATGAATTTGGTTTCTTCTTTGAATAGTGTAACTCTAATGCTTTTTAAATTATGGAATTTGATCATATCACATTTCAAATGTTTTAAAAATGTTGTATTCATCTCGTCTAATTGTTATCTTGTCTCATGTTTGCAATATGATATCGTAAGAGTTGATACTCTGTGGCAAACTGTAACAAACGTTTCTGCCACATGGTGGATCCATGAGCCACAACTAAACGCTTTAAACAAATGTGAAGTGAGAGAAAATCTTTCAGCTGTATATTACTGGTTTAATGGCTCCCTCTAGTGGTGATACTTATAATACTAACATTATTCACAATACAGTGACTAATAATCATCAAACCTATAAAAATACCACCATAGGTTTGCAGAAAATGAACTTTGGTCAGCAGCTAGATTCAGTGACATATTCTCTCCAACACGTGACTTACTTAGACAGACAGACCATCACATCGCTGAGCAGTAAGTTCAGTGATATTTTAATCCACAGGTGAGTATTATCATGTGTGAGTCAACATTAGGATGTAAATTATGTGGGGTCTGACACGGTTACATACCAATCAAACTGCAGGCAGAACTGTGTCTGTGTTGGTTAAAAGAAAATGCAGCCATGAGTCACAGGTTAGCATCTGGATGTCATGTTATATATATATTCATGTTTATTTAATTTTATTTATATACTTTATTAATCCCTGAGGGAAATTCTGGTTTTACACTCTGTTATTAACATGCTTCCCACACACATAGGCATGAATCACACACATGCACAAACAGGACCTGTGGACATGCATTAGTGGAAAGATGTCAGAGTGGGAGTGCACCAGAGCAGTTGGGGGTTTGGTGTCTTGCTCAAGGACACCTGCTTGGGAAGTACCCTGGCACCTCTCCAGCTAGCAGACCAATTTCCATATTACAGTCTGCATCGAAACTTGAGCCGGCGACCCTCTGGTTCCCAACCCAAATCCCTGTGGACCGAGCTACTGCCGCCTCAAAGCTACACCCATGGTTAAGCATTTTCAATCTAATTTGACATTTTTAGATGTAGTTCGTTTTTTTCCATAGTCCCCAAAATGTCATTCAACACCCACAAATGATTCATCCAAAAAAAACATTTCCTTTGGTCTTCAGCCTATGTTATATAAGTTCTCAGCACACCAGCATGACATGCTGTGATAATGACTTACTAACCATGTGTAGTGTTAATCTACATGAACACATTACGTCTCTCAGCACTTGAATCAAGTTTCTTTCTCTAACACTAAAATATTACTATATGTATATGAATTGTATAGTGACTACAATTGTGCATAAAGTAAACTGTTTTTAAAGTACAAGCAAACATTTCTATTTTATTATTAAAACTCAGAAAACAGTGAAATTCATGTTGGGTCCAGTAGACCTGTGTACATATTCACTAAAGTAAACATAAAGTAAACATAAACACAAAAAGCATACCATATGTATCATACACAATGGTGTATTCATTTATATTTTCACAGTTTAATTGCCAAAATATAAATTAATTTAATTTGGCAGTTTAACCTTAATATAAAAAAAAACACTAACAATTCTGCTCATCTTTTTTTAACATGAGTGAATGGAGCATGGAATAAATCCATCATGTATGCACAGCAGTTTTTAGCTGGTTATGAAACAGACTGAAATGAATACTGATGACCTTAAACAGCAATGAGACCATCAGGGACAAGATCAGATCCTCAGATCCTCAGATCCTCTAACATGGGCCTCGCTTGTGGAACAGCCTTCCTCCCTCAGTTAGGTCTGCCCCCTCTGTGGAATCTTTTAAGTCCCGCCTCAAAACACACTTTTACACGTTGGCCTTTGAGTCCTAGTTAGGTTGCTTATACTTCTTTCCAATGTACTTCTATCAAATGTCTTATAATATTATTGTCTAATTATATTGTTAGTATTCTGTGTGCATGTGTGTAGGCAAACATGTATGTGTGAGTTTTGCCTTGTTATTTTTATTTTTTGTTTTGTTTTTTAATCTGTATTGCTCTCTTGTTTACAGCATTGTTGTACAGCATTTTGGTCAGCTGTTGCTGTTTTTAAATGTGCTTTATAAATAAATGTGATTGAGTGAAGATCAATTATTTCTGTAGTTACTTGTAATGACTATTACTGCTGCCATTGTATGGTGTTATGAAGGGAGTTAACAGCAAAGATTAACAGTGATTAAAACACTGGACTGTTAAAAGACAGTTGGATGACATTGTTTCTGTTAACACACATAAAGGACAAGATCAGTAAAGCGATAAAGCTTCAAGTTAGGAAAGAAGCGCTTGTGGTTGACTTGAGGAAGTTGCTCTGAAAAGCTGTTAGCTGAATTATTTTCTGCTTATCGAAGTTACAACTACAACATCTTTGCACATTGTTACCCAAGAAAAAAAACACCACCTGGGATACTTGACATGCCTTTTATTAAGATACAAAAATATGTACAGGGTACTTAGCAGTCAATTCTTTAAAGCCTTTTTAAAATGAAAGTATGTAATTGTTAGAAGTGATAACAAAGTTTGGATTACTAAGAAAAGGAAACAAAGCATTGTGTGATTAAAAAAGAAGGTGGTAATCACTTAAATCCCTAATCCACCGGCTCAGGCAGGTCCTGATAGGTGTTGACTTCTGGATGGTGGTGATTAATCTCGGGTTGTTCACCGTTGAGCTCTGCGTACTCCACTGATCCCTGCTGACACACAGAGCAGATAATGAATCATTCATTATCCTGATCAATTAACACTGGCATAAAACATCAAGCAGTTCAAACTAAAGCACACTGTGAGCACAAAGACTGTGATACTGAAAAGTCTCAGATCATAGACTTATAAACAAAGTGAACGTTAGAGAACATACTAACTAGACTGTTTATACTGTAAGTTCACGTGTTGAAATTTCAGGATCTAGTTCACTTGAAAACATTATTAGTCATGTTTAAAGCTAGAAATAGATCATTACCCGAAAATGTACAGAAGTTGTTTGTGTTTACATCTAATGAGGAGGATCATAGACAGAGATTTAATTTTAAAAGTCCATTTGCACACACTACATTAAAACAAATGTGTATCTCAGTAAATGGAGTTAAATTATGGAATTCTCTCGATAATCATTTGAAATGCTGCTCAACTGTCATTCAATTTAAAAGAAAGTATAAAGAAAAGGTTCTGGGAAATTATGATCTAACTGATTGTATTTGATTGTTTCTATATTGTTGATGTATTTTTTGTTTTGTGAAAGAAAGAGAAAACAACAGGTTAGCCATCTTATTCAGTTAAACAGTATCTTATGTTATTAGGAAAGGGGGCATGTATTATAAGTTTTCTTCTTCCTGCTCCTGTTTGCTCATGAACAGTGTTTCAGTATTATGAGAAAATATTTTTTGTTGTGTATTATTGTGTTGAAACCATACACTGAAATGAGCAAATAAATCAAATATGAAATGAAATGAAAATATCATGCATTTGTGGCTGGTATATCGGTTCAAAAGAATTTTCCTTTATGAGTTCAATTAGGACGTTTAACTACTACTACTAACCAATTTACTAATTCTTATTTTAGAGCAAGGCTCAGTAACACTCTTCCAGAGGAGACTCATATATGCTGTAGTTTCCAAAGTATAATCTTACAATAGTCTACCAAATATGAGTTTCCTGAGGAGCAGACAAACTGTCAGAGTTATCAGTCCTTCAGAAGAAACACAGATGAAAGAAGCAGCTGTTTTTGGATGATGATGATGATGTGACTTCCTGAGTTTCTTCTTCTTATTATTTCTCCTCCGCTGCCTCGAAAACCATGTAGGGACAAACAGTGCGGTCATTAAGGCATGCCGGGGGACAGTATGCTGACTGAGATGGGCTTGGAGGTAATTTGACTGAGCCACAGCGCTGATCTGAGCAGCGATAAGGAAGGAAGCCACAGCCCAAATGCTTTTGTCCTCGTCTGGAAACTCTGACGGCATTTTCCTCCCTCGCTCTGGATTATCTGCCTGCAGAGGGTCAGTATGACGATGGGTAGCCAGAGACACCAGGATGGCTTAAACAACTAACCGTTAAAGTTTGTTTTGCAAAAGCAGTTCAGTATAATTAATTAATTTGGCTTCCTCCAACAGTCCACATTTGTCTTGTTCTAAATGCCCTTAGATGCTTGTGTGGTGTGTTTTTTTTTATAGTAGTAATCATTTATTTCGGTCAGAAGAAAAAACAAAAACATTTTGACTGAAAAGGTGTAAAGACACTACTAGTTTGGTTACAAAAAATAAAACATATCAGAACAAAAATATTTTTAAACAAAAATGTAAATCTGGAAAGTGAACTACACATTCTTAATTCCATGGCATATGTATTCCACAAGTTAACCCCTTTTACCCAAATACACCTGTTCTTTATGTTTGTCCTTACCTTTGGTTTTTTATACACACCTATTCCCCTTAGTTCTGTGTGTGTGTGTGTGTGTGTGTGTGTGTGTGTGTGTGTGTGTGTGTCTGTCTGTCTAAGCAGAATACATAATTGATGGATATACAGCATTTGAATAATCTTTCAAGTGAATAGCAAGAGCAAGAAAAAGGAACAGAAGTATGAGGGTGAGAGCAGGAACACGACTTTGATTGTGCAGATAATTACTTACATAGTCATGATGGTCAGCAGCCCCTAAAGGAAGAAAAAAGCATCACAGGTTAAATGTGCTCCAAGTGAGTGCTGACTCATTGTGACAGAGTTATCGATTAGTCATTACACAGTTATCACAGCATGGCTGACCTTGCTTACTCACTTGTCCACCCCCCCCCCCCCCCAGAGGCCTTTGTGTCTGTCATCTGATTTCATGGTAAAAATATTCCCTCTCGACCTTACAGATGCCTCTTCAACAACTTGGGAATCTTTTGTCTTGTTAAACAGGAAACATTAGGAATCTGATGGACTGCTTGATAGACAAATCCAGAGTCTGGCTGCTGTTTTAATAACAGGAAGTTCCTGCCAGTAGAAACAGGATAGTCACGGTTGTGAGGACTGGTCTGGGTAAACTGATTCCACAGTGATGTCATCTTCTTGCTTTTATGCACAAAGTCATGCCATCAGATTGTAGTTAAAGTATTTAAATACACATTTAGTGGTTCTACCCCCACTTGGGGCTAGTTCAACCTGCCCAACACACACCGATCTAAAATCATCTTAAAGGGTTGTTGAGGCAAACATTAGTGACCAATCAGCAACCTCCACTGCAGTGTCCATTTGAGGCCCCATTAGGGAACATGTGTACAGCCAGTAAATGGTTTTGGTGTCAATATCTTATTTATTTATTCCCAAAAACAGTGCAAGGATGGATCTATTTATCTATCTATTGGATGGTGGTATCTATCTATTTTTTTGCACATTTTTATTTAAATTGTACTGTGTTCACTTTTTGTTTGCAATCTTTGCTCTTTGCTGCTGTAACAATGTACATTTCCCCTTTGTGGGATAAATAAAGGATTATCTTATCTTATCTTTTTTTTTACTCATCTGTTTTGATTAAATTTAGGCTGAGAGTTATTCATAATGGTCAATGGTGAATGGACTTGAGCTTGTACAGCGCTTTTCTAGTCTTCTAAGTTCTGACTACTCAAAAAGCTTTTACATTGCAGGTCAGACCCACACATTCACACACTGCCGGCAGAGTCTGCCACATGTAAAGTCACCATTTGGATCACCATGAGGAGATAAGGCGAGCAGAGTCAGTGGCATCTTTTAAATCACTTCTTAAAACTCACTTTTATAGACTTGCTTTTATGTGATTTCTCCTTTAAATATCTATCCCTTCCTGTATTAATTTTATTAATTTTAACCTTTTTATCTTTCTCTTCTTTAAATGTTTTAGCCTTTAAATGTATCCCTTCCTGTATTAATTTTACTGCTCTTATTCTTTTTAAATTCCGTCTCCATTTATGGTTTTACTCTTCAGCTCTCTGTTGCTTTATTAATTTAACCAATGTCCCGTTTATCTCTTCTTTTTATCTTCATTCTGTGTTTACAGCCTGTGATGTGATGTCGTCCCACTCTCCCTCAATTTTTATTTTGTTCTCTCCTGGTTGATTTTAAACTAATTTTCCTTCACTGTACTGAACTGCCTCTCCATACCTGCCTGTTAAATCTATATTATTCCTGTTATTTGCATTTTTACAATTTCTGTTGATCTCTGTTCTGTTGTCGTGTTGCTGTATTTGCTTAGTCTGTCACAGCACTTTGTAAACATTTGTTTTAAAGGTGCTATATAAATAAAGCTATTAACCATTAGCATAAACTAATCACATTCACACACCGCAGACGAAGCAGCGGGAGAAACTTGGGGTTTAGTATCTTGCCCAAGGACACATCAGACCAACCTCCCCCGTTGAGAAATGACCAACTCTACCACCGAGCCTTAGCCGCCCATCATTAAATATAATCAGAGGTGTGGCTGTTTGTTTGATAGGTGGGAGCTGTGTAGCTGTTTACAAGGCTAGTCTTCACTTAAGATAAATCTCTCGTGTTGTTTTGAGTCAGTCTGTAAGGTAAAGTATATCCCCTTTAAAATAAAATGAAAAACATGCAAACCTTTCCACTGCACAATGTGTTCATTCTGCAGCTTTGAGGTCGTTAAACTCACCATGTGGAGAGTTTTGGAGCTCGCTGTACACGGTGTCCGTGCCTTTTTTCAGTGGGGCTAGTAATGTAAAAAGCAACACATTAGCCTGCTTGAACATCAAAAGACAAAGTTTTAGAAGATACTGTCTATTTGATCTTTCAGGAACAGAGATCTATAAATAGGGCAACTGTGTCAGTCTTCTAACTGCCATCTCTGGTCCATTGGGAGCTTGAGCACAGCACCAGAACAAAGAAGGGGCCGGTATCAGAAAGAAGCTCTGCAATTAGCTCAACCCTTCCTGTTTATGAGGTCTGAAAGGTTCTGGAAATCCCTGCAGTCATCCCTAAGCTTACAGCAACTCTGAGATGTGTTAATTATGTGTAATTAGGCCACTCCCAGGAAGTGTTGTTGTATATTATCGCCTATGAAGGAATGTGGGCAAAGCAGAGAAACATTTATTTTGGCGAGGGGACACACCAGGAAGATGAGCAACCGACTCAAAATAATATTTGTGTATGTGTGTATGTGTGTGTGTGTGTGTGTAAGTGTGTTTAGAGTGTATACCTCTCTCAGGATCTGCTGGCTGTGGATGCACCACCTCAGTGTACTCCACATCGGGCTCGTTGGACTCGAGGCTGCTCTCCTCGTCATCGGCTGAATCCAAATACACCGATAGAAATCTTTGTTAAACAAACTGAGCTGTCTGAAAGCCACATGTCATTCAAATGAATTATTTTCAATGGCTTAAGAATATTAGTACTCTATATGCATTCATGATATCAAAGTTGAGAGCTTAGTTGATCATTAACAAAAATTAAATGTTGGACCTCTCAGAAGACCTATTTCAAAACATCTCATTTGGCCGTTTGAGAGCATTTCTCAAGACTAGGTCACGTGTCTGATTTTTTATATTAAGCCTTGCATAAAGCAGTAAGTCATATTTGGCAGTCAGCATTGTAAAACTCTTTTTGTTTGAAAGCTCTGAGTGAGAGCAATAAGCCAAAGCTTTTCCATCTCCATAGATTTGTGAATCACTGAACGTTGAGTTACAAAGAGCTCTGCTATCCATACAATAGTGTGCAAACATGCAATGTTAACTAAGATGGCCTTATTTGTTCTTAAAGCTGTCAATGCAAATGTAAATGATGTTTGCTAAAGTGCTTTATTATCACAGAGCTTGATTACACCCACTGTCCCTCGCCCCATTTAAAAAAAACAAAAGATCACCAGCCTGCACTAAACTTCCTCGATCAATAGACAACTTGGACCATTAATGATAATTACCATATTAACAGGTGTGTGACAATTTATCAGATTTTCTTTCCTAATTTTCCTAATTAATATTACAGCATAACTGCTCCATTCAAACTCAATATCAGAAAAATTCACAAGCCTTACTTAGATTTTTAGATGATTACAAGGATGTATATTATATGCGAAATTACAGAGTAAATGAGCTTTTGCTTATTTTGGCATACAATTAAATGAATGACTTTATAAACAGATGTTTCATGAACTTGAGGGTTTGTGCTTTGTGCCACAGTTAGACCTTTTTAAAACTTTTGAAAGAAGAAAAAATACATTCTTGGTCTAACAAATTGAGGGATGAATCCATTAGCTCTAATATCCCTCAACCTTGGTTGCTTTACAACTGAGATCACTGAATCAACTTGATAAAGCAGAAACATACTCTAATGCATTGGTTCTCAACCTGGGGTCCTACAAGGCTTTGTCTGCTCTGAGGTTGGTTCAAATGTATTTTGGTAAGAATAAGTGTGTGCAGACCTATTCTGTTGGGAATTCATAATTGAAAACTATTATAATTGATGATCATTTTGTCAGCCATGTATCATATTTTCCTGATTGGGTCCTTGGGGGGTCCCAGCTTTTCTTAAATACAAGTAGGCAGAGGTGTGAAAAGTATTGACATTCATTACTCAGGTAGAAGTATAGATACTAGGGTTTAAAAAGACTTCTTTAGAAGTTGAAGTATCAACTCAAGTTTTTTACTCAAGTAAAAGTGTTAAAGTTCTGGTTTCAAAACTACTTAAAGTATAAAAGTAAAAGTAATGTAAGGGGAAAAAATGTCATTAAGGACACAAGCTTAGGCCGCGCTACAGCGTGTAGGAATGATATCTGTTTATACTTCTCATCCAACCACAATCAAATTCACTCTATCTGGATGGCGTAATTTATCTGGATAGGTTTTTGATTTTTTTTGTGTTTTTTTAAACGATGACAAGATGGAATGAAAACAAGCCGAAATGAAATAGGAGTAATGAGGCTATTTTTAAAATGTAAGGAGTAGAAAGTACAGATAATTGTGTGAAAATGTAAGAAGTAGAAGTAAAAAGTCGGCAGAAAAATAATTACTCCAGTAAAGTATAGATACCCAAAATTTCTACTTAAGTAAGGTAACAAAGTATTTGTACTTAGTTACTTGACACCTCTGCAAGTCGGGGGGGCTCCAAGGACAAAAGGCTGGCTAGGCTAGACCATTTCTTCACAACTAGCATGACACTATATAGCAAGCACACCACTGATACTACAAATCCCAGAATACATCGCAACAGCTGCATGGCAGCCAAGACCTGAAAGCACCAGCTCTTCATCCTCTCTGCTGTGCCTGTGCAGCGTTATGGATTGTCTCAGTGCGCTCCACCTTCAGGGACGCTACCATCTGATCTCAGACTTGAATGATGCTCCAGCACCTGGGGGATTCAGCTAGGAACATTTGGTCACTTGTTTGTGTTGCCACAGTGACCAACAAGTCTCCATCACTGTGTTCCTAACTGCATCCTGTGGTGACAAACTGAGCACAATTGGCACTGAGTTTACACTAGGATATTCAGAATTGTTGCTCAGAATTGTATTTCTGCACTGCTCAATAATCCATTAGCCGTTTACATGGATTTGGTGCTACAAACATCCAAAGTAAACTGATGGAACTCTATGTAATGGCACCTTCAAGAGTTGCACCATTATTCCGTAACAATGCCAACTCCGCCTGCGAGATTCTTGAAGGCTCTGCATGTTTGGAAGTTGATATCTGTAAGCAACTTTTCTGAGTGATGAAGGTGAGGAGTCATCTCACTGATGCACACCTTCACTCTAATGTAAGACATTTCCAGTGAATAATAAAGGGGTACTTTTACCTGATTCAGCTGGGCGCTTGCTCCACACACTAACTGCTGCTTTGTCGACCCTCACTGTGAAAGACAGAGAAACAGATGGAAGGTCATAACGGCTGCCAAAGACTGACTTTAATCAAGTTGTAAATATACACAGATTAGATTAAAAAAAAAACATACCTTAAAAATTATTAAACATATAAAAAACATCAACTGATTTAAAGTTCATCTTCAATAAATTATTCCCAAAAGATATTATCACTGTTCTCAACTATGTTTTTGTTCTTTTTTGCTTAAAATGTACAAGAATGATATTCTCTTAAGTCTGTAGTCCAAATATCGAGCTACATTCAGCAACAAGTTGACTAAGCTAGCATAAATACTTTAAACAGTGGGTAAAAGAAAGCTTATATTGTCATGTAACAATTTTCATAAAATAAACTTTACACATTCAATTACTTTGTCTGGTTGAATTACTATAAAAATCAAAAACATTTTCACACTTTTATTCGATTTTTTTAGATTGTGGATGGAGCCAGTTTTTCAAATGCCAGTCTTTGTGCTAAGCTAACTATCTCCAGCCTATAGCTGTATCTGTGTAGCTGTGTCTACTTTACTTTAAAAGTGAAAAATGTTAATTTCAACAAAGACTGACTAAAGTAAAAATAGAGGAATGGGAAACCCTGTTCCTGACAATTTGGCCTTCGTTGGAATATTTATGACTTTGTAAATAATTCCAGTAACAAAAGAGCAGATTTCAAGTCTTCAGCTGGTCCTACAAAAATCTTCCGCTGTATTGTGCACAATAGGCTGATCACTCAGAAGCAGCTGCACAGTAAGTTCTGGCAAAAACAACTTCCCATGTCAGCTTCCTTTTTGGTAATGTAATCTCACACACAGCACAACCAGACCTTGTGTGATTAATTTCCTCCAACTGCTTCATGCATTCAAACGTGCCCTCTTCTGAAACAAAATAAGACCCACCCTCCCCAAGCCACCAGTTTTATCAACACTGAGCCCCCGACCTGCTCCATGCCAACATAGGAAGTTTCTGGCAGACTCTATTGTTTCAACATTTGAAGGAAGTCTCTGTTAAGTGTTCCTTTTTTAGGAAATACATCAACTTTGAGTTATGTTGGGATATTCATGGACTTGTGCTGAGGAAGGTTGCACAAACGTAAAGGAAGACCCATGCAGGCATGACATTAAACATGTCTTAATCAAAGTATTTGTGGACTATAAACATGCTGAACATATGGATTTAGTCTGACCTTAAGCAAAATGAATGGTAAGGAGACAATTCTAAATAAATCAAATGTCTTTATTCTACAAGTGTCTCTTTAGAAGCCACGGATCAACCAAAAATATATACAGACATTTCCTGTCATAATGATCAAATGTATATACAAATCAGTTACCATGCCAATTTAAACATGCATCATAGAGCAGTCGCAACAATAATGAAGGACATAAAATCACAAAGAAATGAAAACATGAAGGAACAAAGGATAAAAAAACAAAGACAGTTATGGTTGAGCATCAAATTAAAAGCCATCTACTTGGCAAGAGGAAGGGAGAGGGAGCAGTGGGTGCTGGTGTATATATTTTTATAACACCCCTCCTTTTCACTGACTAAATTTACAAGTGAAAAAGTATCCAAATCCTTCAAAAAGTTCAGAAATCCTTCGAAAACTTTGCATTAGTTGCTCTCAAAGTCTCTTTTTATTGCATCATGTAAAAATTAAATTTAAGTCTCGACCATTGTTTGGCATCTCTATACTGTTGCTGGGATACTGTAGCTGCTCCTGTTGCTGATGTCAACGGGAAGCGACGCCGCACTATCTCGTGCCCCATTGGCCACTCTCCCCTCCGTGCCATTAAAGAGCGGCGCTGCGTCTGGAAGAAGACGGTAAAGGGCTCTCTAAGCAATATGGTTTTCTTTTTGTTTTTTTTACAATTGACAATCAATGCTAAGTACTATGATTAAACTACATAGCAGCATCCTCCTGTGAAAACCAAAGACTATGTATAGGAGAAGGACATCCTTTGGTTTATAATCTTGGAGTTGACTATTTAGGTGGTTGCCATCTTTTTTTTTGTGGCCAGAAATGACCATACTTGGATGAGAGGTTAGATGCCCATTTTTACGACTCTATTCTGATATGCATGTTGCGGTTCTGTGGTACCCATGTCCTTAAGCTTACCCTGCTTCATCATCTACTATACATGGATTGGGACCATAATTTACAAAATGAACAACATGTGAAAATCAAAGAGGACAAACTAGTGATGCAGACCAAAAAACTAGACCAGAGGCAACCAATAGGCTACATCCTCCTCTTATATACAGTCTATGACGTAAACATTACTTATACTTGGAGAGTTTATTTCCCACATTAATTGTATCATAAAAGTACCCAACTTTCCTGCCTCCATTACACATTCTTAGACAGAAACACATGCAAAAGAAAAAGACGATACGCTCAGACATATGCATGATGTGTGTGCACATAAAGTTAAAAACAACATCTACAAATGGAGAGCAACAAAGACATGAACAAAAGTAGCTGGGCCACCACAACATGAGCCCTGCATGCACATGAGACAATGGATGATGGGTTGAAAATGGTTTGCTGTGGCTGCAACATGACACATGCTATGACATTAATGGCATCACGATTAAGAAATGGCTGTTGTGACTTATGAGGACAGTTGGTGGAGCATAGAATAGCAAAACCAAGCTACCTGTGTCTGCATTAAAAACCTCTGTGTCGTGGGTTAGATTCACTGTTATGGGTGGATTAGAGTCATCTGATTTAGGGCTCGAAGGCTTTCTGAGAAATGGTGAAAATAAAGTCAACTAGGGAAGCAGCAAAATCAGATTCAAACTACTAAATTTAAATAGGACGCGATGCATAAAAACAACATGACAGCAATTTGAATAGGAGATAGGATGCTTGATGTTTTGCATGTAATTGCCTATGAAAATGGCGCCTTTCTCGTGTCTATCTGTTTGTCAGAGCAGTTTTGTTACAGGTACCAATAGAAAAAACTATTCTCATAAACAGTTCATTTAAGGATATAAGATAAGCATTACCCTCACAGACCCTCAGCAATATAAGTAGGCTAATTATATACACTGTCACTAACTTCTACATGGTCTCTTACATGTATAAAAAGCAAAAAGTCAAGCCAACTCACACTGACAATTCAGAGGCTGCTTCTCTTTTACCTACAATAAGAAAGGAGAGGTGAGAGGAGGAAAGGAGGAAGTGAGCTTAGGAAGGTTGGTTTTCATATGTAGTTAGACAAAAGAGGTCTGAGCTGTTGGAGGTCTGTAGGTCTCTCTACCTCTCTTGGATTTGAAGCACAGCACCAACACCACCACCAACACCGCCCCCGTCAGCAGACAGAATCCTCCGATCAGCACTTTCTTCCACAATGCCATGCGCACTGTGGAAGGAAAAGAGACAAAAAGAGGAGGAAAAGTCAGTAACAAACAAAACACAAGTAGGAGAGCGATAAGAATAGGACATCATTGTTGTTCAGGATGTTGAACAAAGGGAAAGCAAAATGAAGCATCTAAGTTAAGTGTATATGTGCAAAATGTAGCCGAGATATAAATCAAGTCACAGGTATGAAAGATATGTTATAAACTAATGTTGTCCTGAATAGGTCCTCTAGCTTTCAATAAAGAGAGGTGGACACTGTACACTGTTGAAATCTGGATTGTTATTCTTACTCGTGACATGGCTGTAGTTTATTTACTGAACTTGTAACATAATCTGGAGTAATATCAGATTTCTATTTCTATGACTGCATACATCCAGAAATAATGACATTAATCAACCACAGCTTGACTTTGTCTTTCATGCTAACTAGCAAACATTGGCATGCTAACAAGCTAAACTTAGATGTTGAACAGAATGTAAATAATAGTGAACAAAACTTGAGTGGTGTCAGCCATTGGTTACTGAAAGGGGCTTTTGAAGCCTGTCAATAGTGGTCACCATGCTAGAAATTCTTTCAGTTCATCTAATGACAGACAGAGAGAACAGGCTGAGGTGGGTCTTTATCTCCTGACAAAAGACCGCTCCTGCTGTCAGTCAGCTAAAACTCTGAAAACATCACAGACAGTGGGACTCGGGTGTTACACCCACTGTAGACAGTCATGACTCACAGAGTTATTTTCAGAGGAGATACTTGATTTATATTATATTTAAGTGTGAAAAATCACATATAGCCTTAAAGTAAAATTTCAGTCCGAGAAGGAACTGTATTTTTTTTGTTGCATTCCCCAGAAGTAAAACAGTGGTGTTTCAATTCAGTGACAGTCATTTTTATCAGTCTCACCCTCTATGATGACCGGGTCACTGCGGACAACATTGTTGGCATGGTTCACGGCCTCGCAGTAGTAGTTGTCAGCGTGCTCTTTAGACAACAAGGGAACCTGATAGTTTGAGTGGTTTGTGTTGGAGGTTGTGTTGTGCACGGGTTGTTGATTGCCAACTCGGTACCACGTAAATATGACTGGGGGTGTTCCGTCGACCCCACATATGAGGAAGAGATGATCTCCCTCAGAGATTTCTGCTATGTCAGGGATGACGGTCAAAGTTGGGTGTGTCAGAGGCACTGGGAAAGGAAAAGATGGAGAGAAAGGTTGGGGATAAGTTAACAGTCTCAATTATAAACTGATGTTCTTTTGTGTGACATGAAAAACATAAACTTAACCAGAAACCCCCCTTTTAGGGTTAGGGTTAGGGTTGCAAAAAGTCTATCTTAAAGGTATTTATAACTTTAGCCAGTGTTAGAAAGGAACACTCTTTAGTGTCTGTGATAAATATGAAGCTACTACTAACAATTAGTGGGATACTTTACAATAAAAACTGAAACAGCTGGGCTAATTCTGTCAAAATGAAAGAAAAACAAAAACAATGACCAGCCAACCAATAAAAACAGCAGTATAGAAATGACAGGTCGTTCTTTAAGGAGAGGTTTTGTTTTAGATTACTCTGCGGGAACTGTCTAACACTGAATAGTAGACATTTTGCTCTTCAGTTTTTTCTCTTTTTATTGGATTAGAACAGCATGTTACTCAGTGCATTTAGATAAGTTGATGGTAGTTTTTTTATGTTACCAGCAGAGAAAGAGGTGGGCAGGCTCCCCTTGTTTTTGCAGATTTAAGCTAACTACTTGCTTGCAATAGACAAGCCAAATACCTGCTTGAAAAAGCTCACATTTCAGAGTAGGAGAGCTGCAGCAGTAGTGATGAACTTGTGGGGAAAAAAAGTTCTTTACCAAATACTCAAGCAAGTTTTTTTATTAACTAACTGATAAAAATAGCACAATGAAATTATCAACTGAGGTTTTGTTTTCAATGCTAAATGACATTAGCATGCAATGATCATTGCAATGAGACTGTTTTATGTGATCTTGTGTCAAAGGCTTTGCATATTCATCTAAAAAAAAAAACATTTTTTAAGTGCCCTGAAATTAGAGGTGAGCGATATGGGAAAAATATCATTTTTTTGGCAAAATCACGATCACGATTTTAAGTAACTTAACTTTAAGTTACTTAACTCTTAAGTTACTGGTCAGTAACTTACAAATTTGTAAGTTACTGACCAGTTCAACCAAACTTATTTCCCTGCATAATGTTTTTAAATGCACAAAAACTGTGCTGACAAGTTTAATCTATTTGAAAAACATCTTTGTAGGAGGTCTGGAGGTCTCTCACCCAGAACATCTTTAGCAACAGAAATGTCTTTCCCTCAATTTGATCAATATTTATGCACAATTTGAAAGTTTTCCTCACCACTTTGAAATTATGATTTAGTTATGTGTCCTCTTTTTATGTTCACCAGAAACATTTTCACGCAGTGATGTATTCATTTAAAAACATGTAGACTTCAGGTTCTTGTGTTTCTGTTCTATTTTAGCCCTTCAGAGTTCCTACAGCTGGAGCTTCATACAGGCTCTGCAGCCTTTGTTGTTTTTTATGACATCATTTAGTTTGGTTTATATATAATCAAACAATACAGAATGTGTTCATTCTCTGACACATGATCAAAGTAAGTTTTACTGACAGAAGAGTTTAATTCTTAGAGGGGGGCGGGACATCGTTGATTGACAGACAGATAGTCACCATGGTTACTCACTCTCACCTGCCTGCTGCACACAACGTGTAGCGTCGTTTAGTGTAATCCCTATACATTCGGTTATCACAGCAGGTGAGCTTCGGGTGGAGAGGCTTGATAAGTAACTTTTAAAAACTGAGAGAGAGCAGAAAACACTGACATCAACATTTTAAACACCGGGGTTATATCTCTCATCACTGTCTGTCTGAGCTCCTCTCTGTCTGTCTCTCTGCAGACTGTGAACGTCTCTCCAGCTCGTTAAACGGTTTCTTGTGTCGCTATCCGAGATGTAAACTTAACTGTGCAAACTATGCAGATAAGTTAACTGTTGCTCACAGCGTGTCGTTTTGGAAAAATATCAGAACAGTTGCATATAACCGGGATGGAGTTGTTTTTGCGGGCTTTACTTTTAAGTTTCGTTTTCGTTTTCACAGCTGCGGAGCAAAAAAGGAGGAGACGTGTCTGTGTCGGAGAATAAACTGCAGCATGATAAAATAAACACATTAGCCTGGTTCTACGATCTCTCTGCTTTGGCAGATCGTCAGCACGTTAAAATCCTTCACGATCTAAGATCGTTATATCGCCCACCACTACCTGAAATGGACAATTTGAGCTTTAACAATTACAAAGACTGGACAAGGTACATCTCATGATAATTGGGTTATATTATGGAAAATCTCTAGAACACAAGAGTGGTTTGCTTCTTGTCAAAAGTTAAGTTTATATGCTCTTTTATAAAGCCAATATGTCTCAGCAGATATTCATCTTTTTATTAAAAGGTGTTGATCAGGCAAATTAAAAAGGAATATATACCTATGACTGTAGCGTTGAGTCTTTTACTGAGTGGGGCTTTCTTGTGACTATTTTTCGCCTCACATATGAACTTGCTTATTTCAGCAGGGTGGGTAATGGTGACTGTGAAGAGAGCTTGTTGAAAGGGCAGCTTGATGCTGATCGTGCTCACTTCGGCAGAATCCTTCAGCAGGGGTGTAGTTTATCGGCAGGCTGCCAATATCCGACTTACAGAGGATTTTGACAGACTGATGTAGGACAGCCTGGCCAACCACCGAGATGTTTGGAATGGAGACAGAAACTAAAAGAGGAGAAAGAGAAAACTAAATGAACTATCTATGGACAAAGAACTGCAGCTCCACACCACAGAGTATCTCATCAAACATATCAGTGTCATCATTCAAAGCATTTTGTACAGATATTTTTGTGCCTTTTTTGGAGAGGACGGCTGAAGAGAGACAGGAAATGCAGGGAGGAGACAGTGAGGGAAGACATGCAGCCAGAGGATGAGGTTGGACCCGAAACCCATGGCCTCTGCAACAAGGACCACTGCCTCTGCACATGGGACGTGTGAGATTAGAGCTCGGGTGATAACAGATTTTTCTTAGGCTACTTGGGTGCAGGGAGTTTGTTTTTGTTGTGGATGGACAACATTGTGAAGAAACAGAGGGGGGACAGTACAGTAGGATGGGTTGATGATGTAAAGTAAGAGCAGGAGGTGGAGCAGCTTTTGTTTTTACCACTATCCATATCCAACGACATCTCTCTGCCATTCTTGTGCAACTAACACCAGTAGCTTTAGCTTAGCATGTGCACAGGCAGACGCAGGTAGGCAGTTAAGAACGTAAACTGACATAAAATCACTGTTTGAAATGAAATGAATAGTCTTAAGCAACAGAAACGTGATATTATTTTTTTTCAGGAGCATTTACATTATAGATGAAGAGAATTCAAACAAATAATACAAAATGCTTCAAATATATGCCTCCCCACGCCTTAACTTGTTAAAGTCTCAAACTTTTAATGTAAGAGGTGCTGAGCAGGAGATGTACAACCTTTTCTTCTAAAAACAGCCGTATGCTAAAAACAAAACACGAATAGAGGTGTAATAGTGATCCAAAAGAGTAAAGTGCTTAAACAGCCCCAGAGAGATTAGGGGAGCTGCAGACTTGAGGCCAACATAAAATTTCAGATATCTTTGACTAATCTTGTGCAGTCCAACTCAAGCTATAATCTATTCTTCATCTGTGTAAGCTTACCTTTGGGACGTACAGTCAGGGTTCTGCTGTGTTTCACGATGCCCTTTGCTTGAGCCACACAGGTATAGTTGAAGTCAGACTTCAGGACCCTGCCATAAAACACTCCAGGGCCTTTGAGCATCAGGTGGCTTTGAGGTGGATCAAGGGCAAAAGTCAGCTCTTCTTTGCTGAGTCTTTCAGAGGCATAGCTCTCACTCCTGCATGTCAGTGTCATATTCTCCTTTTGAAAGACTTCAGCAGGAGACAATGTGAGAGTGGGCACTGAAAACAGCTCTGTGGAAAGAGTTGGAAAACACAGCATCTTACCATGTGCTTTGATGTCACCATGCAGTGACGATCATATCAGGCAAAAAGAAATAATACGATTTGGACATGCTTAAAGTAGAGGTTCAGTGTGTTCTGCGGCTCCGTATAAACAGAATTAAATGAATTGAATCATCATTGTAAAGACGACATACACAAGTACCTTTCTTCTGTCCACTCACCAGTCACTGAAACAGTCTTTGTTGCTGCTTTCGCAAACTTTCCCATTTCTAATCTGCACTCAAACTCCCCAGGGTCCTTTGCCAGAGCGACCATGCTGTGGTTGACTTTGGATTCCCCGAGGCTGAGGATATTGGTGCCCTGGCTCAGGAAGAGTTGAATATTTTCAGGCTTGTCCTGGAAGTTTGTGATTGAGCATGAGATTGTGAGTTGATCTCCTTCATAGATTTTGTACTGAGGAAAAATCTCCAAAACTGGTGTGATGGAGAGCTCTACAGAGACAAAGAAAATCAATGAATAAAACCCCCTGAGCTTTGTTCAATGCCTTGAAATATGCAGAAATTCTCATCCGAACACTTCCTACCTTTAACTGAAACTGTGGTGGGGTCGCTTCCATTGGACTTGAAGGAGTCCGGGAGTGCGAAGACAATGTAGTCACAGTGAATTTTGTGGCTGCCCACGTTGCTGAGGTGAAGTTTGGCCTCTGCCTGGTTGGAGCTGACCTGCCTCTCCAGGATCTCTTTGGAGTCCTTGTAGAAGTAAAAGAAAATGGATCCTGTCTCACCGGGGGCCGTACACCTGGCTGCTATCTCCTCCCCTTCTCTGACCACATCGTTGTTAAGGTGGAGAACAGGTTTTGACAAGCCTGGAGAACCCAAAATGACAATTACATCAGCTCTAATCCAAAATCATTCAAAAACAGACTCAATGCACCATGAAACAGCAACATCTCCTGCTGATGAAATTCTTGTTGATGTTGTTGTTGCATACAACAACACATTATGGAAGCGATTAGTGATCAGAATTCAAATGATGAAGCTAATTTGAAAATTCAAATGCATTAACAGAAATGCTTTTTAATTTTCAGAATATGGGTGTATTATTTGACTCAAAAATAAAATGATGATTAATTTATCTTATTAGAATTTTAGTTTTCAACTTCAAAAATGCACATTCTTTGACTGAATTAAAATGAAAAAAATTACATTTGCTTTTTCATTTTCAAAAAATGCCCCATAAAATTTGTGTCATAATTCAAATGAAAAAGCTAATTTTAAAATGAAAATACAGAAACAGAAACATGTTTTAACTTTCAGAATATAGGTGCATTATTTGACCTATATTTAAAATGAATATTCAGTCATCCAGTTTGCATTATACTTTTGCTCTGTATGCATACTGTATGACATAATTCAAATGAAAACTAAAAGGTCTTTGGCTTTTTGTTTTCAAACCTGCCGTGCTAAAAAGTGATCATAATTCAAACCAACTCGAAAATGAAATGGCAAAGTGGACGGCGCAGGAAAGTGACGAATAACTAGTCACTTCCATAACACATCAGCTCCATCACTTGATTTTGTGTTTTGTTGTCTTTAGTCTTTTTCTTCTATTACGTCTTTCTAATCTCAAAAACTTTTTGTGCATCCAAGACTGTAGGACATAAAGGAGGGATGCAAATTCCATCCACTGCTGAGACTCATAGTATGACATGCACTACGCTCAAAGTTACAATATAAATAACTGAGGTTATTGACTTTCAATTCATCAAAATAAGCTCAGGCCAGAGTTCATTTCAATCTCTCACTCATTGTCGTCAGCTGTTGTCTTCTTTGAAATCTTTATTTGAACCGCTGGTAAGTTAGTGATAAAACATCAAATACTTGCAATCAATCTGGATGTCAATAATTACTACTTGCAGCTTTTCCGTTTTAAATAAAATAAAAAAAATCACAATTCTTACAAACAAACTTTTTGTGAAGACAGTATAGTTAACTTCACAGACCACATCACCCACCTGTAACTGTGAGCTTCTGCACGCTGCTGGTCTCCTCTTTGCCCCCGATGTTGATTTTGCACTTATATTTGCCGCTGTTGGAGACTCTGGCTTGTGGCAGTGGATACAGAAGATCCTCAGAGCTGCTGGAGGTTTTGCTGTAGACTCTGTTTCCATCCTTGAATATGGTGTACTCTCTACTCAGAGCCTCCTCCCCAAAGCTGCTGACCACGGCCTGACACCTCAGAGTCACATTAGTGTCCCGGGTCACATCGTTGCTGGGCTCGATGGACAGGGTGATGCCTCTTATTGTAAATGCTGGGGAGTAAAAATAAGGACAAGCAGTTAAAACCATGAAAACTACCTGTCAACATGGGTTCCCACTGAATAAATACCAAAATGGTGAAAGTAAATACATGAAGTCTGATGTATCATTTTGTGTGTTTAAGGTATGCATTTATTCTTTATTATTGGGCATAGGTATGTGGGGAATGAATTTAACCTGAAGTGATTTAAGGGAGGCACAACAATGAATACAAAATAAACACAAATTTTCTTTCTTATAAGATAGGTATCCTCTTAGATTTTGCGTATGACCTTGTTGTAGTTGAAAGCTGATATGGTCCATAAATGGCCATTTAAAAGGTTGTTTTGCGGGTTGCTGGATTACGGTGGCAGGTAGGTGCATATAGGCTTGGCAACAGCTGAAAAGATGTCGGCCTACATTTAGAAAAACGGGCAGCATACTCAGAAACCCTGCACTTTCAAAAGCAAATGTAACATTTTGTGTTGCAAAATGACACAAAGGAGCTGCAAAAAGGTCAAACAGCTGCATTATAATCAAGACGTGCAGCAAATACATTAACGAAACAACAGCGCTCAACTCAAACCCTCTGCACTTTGCCACATGTCATTCCTCTCTCTCATCCTGGTTTCCCATCTAATCACCTGTCCCTTCCTCTACAATAAAGGCAGAAAAGCCCAAAAAAATTTCTCTGGTTTTGCAACCAGAACAGCTCACATTATATATATATTTGTACACAATAATACGCATAGCTGCATTAAAGCAAATTACACAAAGCTGGCTGGATGATAAACCCCCATCTATTAATGCATGGAAGTTAACAGTGGAAGATATTATAGAAATGGAAAGAATTAAGTATAGGGTAAGAAACAGAAAAGATGAATTCATTTGTTACTGGAGTAAATGGATAAAGGAAACAGATAAAGTGGAATAATAACAGGTATGTAAATTAAATTATATTAAATTAAGAGAGTAGCGAAGGAACAAGAACAGCTCACATTGTTTCCTCTCGTGATACAAAGACTGCAGTACTCAAATGAAAAGCAGATGAAGAAAGTTACACTCTTACTCTTCTTAGTATACATTTATTGAAAATTCAACACACACATTGATATATAAAAAAAGAGGAAAAATTATCTATTATTAAAATGGTTTGAACATTTGGTAAAATGTCTAATGATTTCTTTTGGCTTGATGGTTTTAAGAAATCATATTGTAGAACCTCAGATCATTTACACGTTCACATGTTGTTAGAGATTTGTCATTTTCTCTTAATCACTTCCTCATATCAGCCACCCCTAACAGTCTTTACTCAAATATTTGAAATGACCAGAGCTGAAGTTTAAATTGTGTCTGTTATAATTCATGACGAGCTCTCAGGAAGCTGATGTGTTAAGAAGGAATTTCACTAAACTGGTGACAGCATCCTTTCTGGGTGTTTGACTCATGCAAGAAACAATAAGTGAACGCATGACTGTAGCATTCTTCAGTTGTGATCAAATGTGAAGAGGAAACAACAACAAACCAGAAAGGGGGAGGTTGCCCTTGCTTTAACTTGACCAAACCCTTTACTAAACATTTTCATTTTATTGCTTCAATAGCTTGTTTCAAGTCTTCTTCTACACGGGATGATAACCATTTAGTTAACTTTGGTACAGAACATAAAGCAGGGTATGCTTGAGAGCTTCGTAACCAATAGATGCATTTACGAAGCTCCTTTCCAGTCTTCTACTCATTCATCAAAGCACTTGAGACCACATGCCAACATTGACCCATTCACACACACATCCAAACACTTACTGCAGAGGCTGTTACGCAATGTGCTTTTTGCTTATTCCTCACGGGTTTAGGCACCGCCCTCTGGAGTTAAGACACATTTTTATTTGAAGGTTGGAGGAGCAGGAGTTTGATTTGTTGATCCTTTGATTGTTGGACGGCCGGCTCCTCCTCCTGAGCCACTACTGCCATTTATATCATGTTTAAAGTCTTTATATGCGATTTTTCACTCTTAAATGTAATAGAAATCAAGTATCTCCTCTGAAAAAAACTCTGTGAGTCATGACTGTCTACAATGGGTGTAACACCCGAGTCCCACTGTCTGTGATGTTTTCAGAGTTTTCAGAGTCCTATCTTCAGTTTGTTTACATCGTCGGGACGGCCGGCTGACTCCTCCTCTCGAGTATAAAAGTTGTTTAATTGAGGGACTAGAGAAAAGAAGAATAACATACTGTACTCACTGCTTAACTGTGTTTCTAGATCACGCTCATTTCAGGTAAATTTACATGCAGTGTGAAGATACAAGCATAATAAAGATCGCTAGCATTAGCATGCTAACACAACAATGCAGCGTGAGTTGTTTTGGTTTCATGCTGGTGCTCCAGGGCGACATCTGCTGGATCATAAAATCACATAAAGCCTTTAATATGTCTATCCCACAGTGACCTATAAATCAGTATAGTGGCCCAGCTAATAAAATAGCATTTGCTTTCCTCACACTCCAACCTTCTGACCAAATACTGTATGAAGCCATTTGGCGACCAAAAACCATGATGCCAATGGCCAAAGTGCCCGTCTCAAGGCTTCACAACGACTAACACAACCAATGAAATTATTGTGTACGATATGAATCTGGACCTGATAGATCCAGCTCTGGTGTTTTTATGGAGGAGAAGACTTAGTAAGTCACTGCTGCAAGTGTAAGTCAGACTTTGGCTTCAACCTCACTCGGTGTTTTCGGACCAAACAGTTCTGGGAACTTTTATGAAGAGGAACTATCCACTAGGGAGTTCCCTGAGAACTACACCCCACGGGGACTTTATTTGTCTGCATACACACCCCCATGTTACCTACTTTGAAGCAGGAGCTAAAAAGGTTCCTGTAAACGGGATTCTAGGAACTAAAATGGTTCATAGTTCCTGCGGGGGCGGAGTCAATAAAAAAGGGGGAGGGTCCCAACAGTTCCTAGAAGTATGAAAAAAGTTCCTGCGGCCTGTGAACACTTAGTAATACTACATGGCCTGTTGTCTTTTTACAAAACAAAAGCAGACATTCTGTTTTGTTCACACAATGTAAAGTTGTCCTTTTAAAAACGTGTGCTGAATAATGAGGGAAGCGTTTTCCTTTTTCTGACAAAACAGTCTCCACCCATTTATAGTCACACATTCTTTGATTTGTCAGCCTCATTGTTTTCTAGATTGGTGCAGCAGCAAACCTGCGTCATTCTCCTGTGAATGCTTTTATAATCACCTGAATGGATCCCAAAGCCATGAATCCGTTCACAGACAGGAACAGGTGGGAAACTAATGAAAGATTCATAGAGATGTTTGTTGTCATAAGGAAGTGATTGAAAGAGTCTTCAAGGAAACATGTTTTCTTTGCTGTACCCGCAGAGAGGGAGACTCTGCACATGAACATCAAACCTGCCCACAGCATCGCTCATATGGTGGAGTGTAAGAGACAACAGGCAGCTGCTGTGACTCAGGGTGTCCTGTTGTTGTGGGGCAGTAAACAAACCCCAGAAACAGGAAATGCAATTTGTGAGACTAACATGCCACTTGGGGGGTTATTCAGCGTATCAAAGACTGCTGAATCTGGCCAACACCCAGCATCACTCTGCAAGACCTGGCAGCCCTGATGATGGGAAGAATCAGGCGTAGAGGGCGGAGACTACTTGCTGTAAAACAGGGGTTATGATGTGTGAGTGATCGCCCAGGTACAGGCTAAGCCACGGCTGGAAAGTAACTAAATACTTTTGAACTTTGAACTTTTAAAGTACGGTAGCTTCATGTTTACTGTAGTGTTGTCCTTTCGTTTTTTTTTTTTTTTTCCTTTAAAGTATAATACATAAAGAAGGCATAATCAAAATCAGAAACCCCAAAAACAAACAACAACAAAGACACAGAATAAATACAATAAATTAAATAGAATATAAAAGGAAGGTACTACAGTTGAACTAAATCTGTCCGAGTTGTTAACCCTTTGACCAAATTGGGCATTAAATAGAACTAGGTCTATATCTTCAGGTGTGTCCATCATATATGTCAGATCTAATGTTTGAAAGGACCCCAGATGTTTTGGAAAAGTGTCTGTTTACCTCTGATAGTTTACGCAATTTTTTCCAAGGGCAGAGTTGTAGATGGTTCAGAAATCCATTTGCCTTTCCTCTGCCTCTGAGCAGCTTTCCATGAGAGAGAAGTTGCTCTTTTGGCCAACAGAAACTTATTGAAACGTATAGACTAGAAACATTTAGTGACTCTTTTTAATTAGACTGCCCGTTTGATATAATCCTAGAATCAAAAGCTTTGGGTCTAGCGGAATTTGTACAGATAATATGTCCAGGATACAAACCCTCACTATTATCCAAATCTGTTTATTTGATTGCACTGCTCTTTTTGCGTTGTGCATTTGGGCGCGTGTTGATTGTCTGTGATTGCGCTGCAGCACATGTATTCACCCTCTCATCAGCAGTCTTCATACAAGTCTTCCTTCCATGCTTCAAGTCTCTTTACGGATTACTCTGAGGACTCTGGGAAATGATCCCTCTGTCCCAACAGTCTATCACCATCATCTTTTCTATTGTTGACAAGCGGGGGACAGATAATGATTGATTTTGTTGTGTTTGAATAACATTTCTCAACTGTAACGTTTTTCTGCACTGGATTTCTGATAGAACGTGTAGTACATGATACTCCTCTACATTTTTTTTTTTTTTTTACATTTTTTACGACAGGTCCTGTTCATTTTTTACTCAAAGACTTTAAATTCAAAATTATTTCAAAATGCAACAAAGTAAAAAAAAAAGAAAAAATGCTTTGCCCAACCTTTTGGTTTGAGGCTCCTTAATGTCAGCTATAATGACTTATCTTTATTTAATTTCTAAATGTCTTAGATTGTTTCTTTGAAGGCCAAATGAATTCAGATTATAACATATTTATTAAATAAAAAAGGAAAGATTAGATTAAGGAGTGAAAAAATAACAAATATTTGTTCATCAGAACTTTTCTTTTCTTCTACTACTCCTTTATTCTCTTCAGATTTAAAATGTGACCTTGAATTAAAACTAGCACATGACCAGAGACTACCATGAAATGCTTTCTATTCATTGATGCCCCATAATTAAAAACATAATAACACTGTGTTTCATGTTCTGTCAGCCACGAGAGTTTAAAGAATAATTGTGTCTTTATTGTGGCTAGTACATGATACTGCCTCTAATGGTAAACACTTGATATTTGAACCTTGAATTTAAGGATTGGTAAAAATCTCAAACTACTACAATAAGCCCTGACTACATCATTATGCCATGGCTTTTTCTTTTTAACAACTTGATCATGAAAATCCTGTGATGGGACTCTTGATTAAAACACAATTGTTGTTTTTATAGAATAAATATGATTAAATATGAATTTAATTACCATACGCCAATCAAGTTATTTGTCTTCAAATTGAAAGTCAATAAATCCTTAGTTTGAGTCCCTGCTTTTTGAAGGTTTAAGTTTATGTTACTCAAGTATGGACAATGCACATCAATTAACATGAGCAGTCAGGAACATGGTGTGAATATGGGATGTAGCTATACAGTCTAATTTTATTTTACAAGTGTTCAGCATATTAGGAGTCTTAGAAGAAATCATACTGATGCACATTAGTACAATCTAAAACGCAAGCGCACAGACAACTAATTGTAATATATTCAATTATTTACATTCAAGTGGAGCAATCTGACATGTACATATTTATCAAACCAGATCATCTAAGAAAGGAGACAGAAACATGGACATGTTCTTGGACAGTGCTTCATCACTTCTACAATGGACCTGGACTGAATCATGATTTTCCATCAGGGGGCAAACTTCAGAGCACAGGGAGGCGTGTGACACGGCTCACAACCGGGTTCTCAACGATTCCTGCCAAAGCTTTTCCATAATACCAGACACCAACCATCAGAAAGTTCTGATAACAAACCCTTTCCACTCACCGTGTGTTTTCTGCTGTTAAAGTTTTCCACACAGTAACTTTGTAAAATATGGGAAGTAGCAGTGATTCTACAAATGCCCTAAGTTATGACAAGTCTGTGCCAAGTCAAACCAAAACTCTAAATCCAAATATATCTCACATCATACTTACATCTCTGCAGCTGTGCGGTTACCACTCCCCCAGCTTGGAGGTCTTGAAAGAAGACAAGACAATATAAGCACCAGATTAGAGACACATTCATTAAACAGCTGGTCAACAGTAAATCCAAAGAGCTCCAACAGAGGAGGCTAAAAGCTCAGCAGGCTTACAGCAGGACAGGAGCGAGTAGGTGAGCAGGAGCAGGAGGCCCATCCTGTCAAGAGGGACTCGGAGGATCCTGGAGGGTAACAGGATTGTGACTAGCCTGGCTGACGGGTGGTGCTTTAGGGGGGCAGATGTGATTCTGGTGGGCGGGAGCGGACACTAAGGTGGTGCTCTACCTCAGCCGCTCAGTGGTTATCAACCCTAGCAGCCGTCGGCTTGGCTTAATTTGACAGGAAGTGAGTGTTGTTTCCTCAGGATGTTCGTGCCGCCAGGCTCTTTGCTGTTGTGGAATGTTCTCTTCAGGGTCTCCTTCATGTACGGGTGTATGTTTGTGTACATGTGTGTGAACTGGTAGTCACAATCATTCTGAGCATTTAGGGAACAGTAGCCAGGCCTTTGACCTCTGACCTTGACAGTGCTGGTGCAGGTAGAGAGAAGAAGATGACAGTAACACATTCTTTGTGTTACAGAGCCCACTTCCTGATCTGGGGGAAAACGTTTATCCTGGCTACTGAAACAGTTTTCACTGACATAAATCTCAGCCTGGACACAAGGAGGAGGAACTATTTTCACACTTTTGACTTACTGAGGCGCACCCCTACTGAATGTCTGAGGTCATTCATATTGTTTTTCAATCAATCAATCAAACTTTATTTATATAGCACCTTTCAGACAAATTAAATTGCAGTTCAAAGTGCTTTACAAGAGTGCAGAAAAGTTGTTGACGAAAAAGTAGTTTATAAAATCATTTATAAAATCATTGCAGAGACTAATGCACACCAATAAGAATTAAAAAATATATGTATAAAAATGAAAAAATAAAATGCGACACATAAAAGCAATAAGATATTAAAATTAATACATAGGAGAAGAATATTTAAAATTGTAGTAGGATAAAAAAAGACAATACAATAATGTTAAGATTTTAATTTATATGAATCACTATATAAAAGCCAGACTGAATAAATGAGTTTTAACTGCGTTTAAAGATCTCAATATTCTCTTCTCAGACCCTCAGGAAGGTTGTTCCACAGTCTCTGGGCGTAACAGCTGAAGGCAGCGTCACCAAATGTTTTTGTCCTGCTCAGTGAAACAACTAAGAGAGAGGAACTGGAGGATCTGAGGGGCCGTACTGGTTCATAAACTAAAATCATATCTGAGGTGCAAGGCCATGCAATGCTTTATAAACTAATAAAAGAAAACTAACAGGCAGCCAGTGTAAAGATTTTAAAACAGGTGTGATGTGTGCTCTCCTTCTGGTCTTAAGTCAGTACTCGTGCGGCAGAGTTTTGTAGTAGCTGAAGCCGATTTGTTGTGTTTTTAGGAAGACCAGAAAGGAGAGCGTTACAATAGTCCAGCCTGCTAGTAATAAAAGCGTGCATTAGTCTCTCTGTTTGGCTCATAGAGAGAAATGGCCTCACTTTAGCAATGTTTTTCAGGTGGTAAAATGCTGTTTTTGTGACACCCTTCACGTGGGCCTTAAAATTAAAATCTGAGTCAAAGATCACCCCAAGACTTGGGTTGAGTCCTATTTTTTGTAATTTGGGGGCCAGTTTCTCTCTCTGAGCCTTTGAACCTATGATTAAAACCTCTGTTTTGTTTTGTCCTGGTTGGTTTTGTTGGTCAATGACTTGATCCAATTCAATGTACAAATGGTAAAAATGATCCCTACCAGAAATGCAGACAAAACCTGAAAATATCAAAAATGATAGTATTTAAAAATAACTTATAATGGTGTTTTCCCTTGATTTGAGGGAAAAAAAATAGTGAAAAAGCAAAAAATTTATCTTGTGAAAGTCTTCTTCTACTGATTCTTTGTTATAGCTTGCTTTAATACTTGGGGTTCAACTTTATTCTCAACATGCTCAATGCTGATACCTCTACCATACTGTAGTTAAAAAACTGAACTGAACTTTTTTTTTTAATGTATAATGACAAGTAATGAGGAGTTAACTTCTAGAATTATGTGAACTAATTTAGAACTGACAGCAGAATCATTGCATTATTCATTCTCTTATTATTAAATACTAAAAGTCTTTCATGTAGGTTATAACACATAAAAGAAAATGTATTGTGGACATTTTCAGAATTACAGGTTCTAATATTGGCTGGTAAATTGAACTCAAACCTCAGGATGAAATGGTTTGTGTTGGAGCAGAGTACAGGTTTGACACTGGCAGGAATGTTCAAATACATTCACACTGTTGAGTTTAGTCTGTTCAGTAAAGGGCAGTAGATTTCATTGAACACTTGAAATGATTGAGTGCATGTCTGTACCAGATGACAATAAAGAATATGTGACCTAATTCAAAGAAAACATGACGTGCTACAGTGACAAGTTTAACTAAGCTTCAGTTATACAGACAAAGACAGAAGTCTGAGGCAGAATACGACTTTGAAGAATAAGTGGCAGAAAGATCAATCAAGTCAAGTCCGGTGTTGTATTTGGTTTATTTCATTGATTTCATCTCCTGTCTTATAAACCATAGTCAGCAGAGCAGTCTACAGTCACAGGGACAAACCTGATTGTTTTCAGTTTTCTTGTCTTACTACTTTGATAAAGTCTCTTCTTTTTCTTCTGTTCTAAAATCTTAAAACTCAAAGCAGGATTCTTAGAGATGAACGTGATTCTGGGAAAATGGCTCCAACACCAAACTCTTAGGAAGCAGTTGAATCCTGCTAAACCAAAGACCGCCCAAGAGCTCAGTGACGGGGTGATGGTGTGGAGTAATGTGGGGACTGCAACAGCAGCCACTTCTACAGACTGTATGGTGTTTTCCAGTTTCACTGTGAGCCAGTTGTTCCTTCTGCTGGGGGAGGGGGGGGGGGGGAAGCAAAGCACAGGATGACTGATGCAGATGGGTGAGGCAGCAGGGAAAAGAGGGCAGCAATGAAGGGATATGTTGGCAATGATAGGGGATCCAAAAGACCTAAGTGCAGTGAGTGTGTGTGAGAGTGTGTGAAGGTAAGGCTGTCCACACTTGTTCCCCCCCACTTCACTGAGGCTAAGGCAAAGGAAATGCCAGCACAATTAAAAACATAAAATTACAAAAAAGGAGAAAAAAGATTTAAAAAGCTAAATAAGCAAAGCTGCAGCCCCAGAGAAGAGGCACGGTGACGCACATTGACGGTGATAATACTTTGAAGAAAAAAAAAGAAGAAAAAAAAAAGAAGGCATTTTACCAAACAGCACCACAAATACACACACGTCAACATTTTCCATGATCTCTGCAGTGACATAACATTAGCTCATGTGGCTTACTGTCACCGGCACCGATACCAGGGAGGCTGGAAGTTGTTCCAAACTGTGCTCATGAGGTACCTGAGCGAGACTCACTGGACTGGGCACAGTGAGCACAAACAGCTGGAGAGTGAAAGAGAGCGCCACAGATTTGATCCTTTCATTAACATGAAACTTCTTGTAAAGCCTCCAACTTTGTTCAACAGAATCAAACCAAACAAATCTGAAAATAAAATCAAATTAAAAACTGAAAGACAAAAAAAAAGGGGAAACCTACAGAAAATGTGTCAAAATGAAAAAAAAAAATGGTAGAGAGAGTGGCATCTGATTATCTCTAAAACGTCTTTACACCTTCAGTGCCGTGTGCTCTAAGGGTGTCTTGAGAAGTTGATTGAGGAAAAAAAGGACACAAACATCAGAGGACAAATCAATTAGATTGATACTTTCCTGTCTCTGGTGTGAAAAAAACACACCCACCCAAACTCAAAAATCACACCACTATGGATGGAGAAGCGTGTGTTTGTATTGCTATAGTGTGGCACTTGGTACTGCAGGTCAAGCTCTGGGCAAATGTTACGGTGTTCAGCTGTCAACAGCACGATGTACTGCTACCTCAGTCAAACTGAGGAGGAGCTGTGTTCTACCTGAAGCGTCCACGAGGAGCTTTAGACTAAAACAACAGAGGTTTTTATTGCTTTGCAGAGCAGGGAGGCAGGTACTTCAGATGCCCTGCAGAATACCCTGCTTAGCGTTAATGGGCCTACCCCTCCTCTCTCTAGTGATATTTTGGTGTATATCATTCCAGGGTTAAGGTTTTCCCTTTTTACAGGCTCTTAGTTAAAACAAAAAAGATAAGTTTGAATGATGATTATGTTTGGCACACTTCGGGCCGGGAAGCAAGGAGGAAATAGTGCTATCATGGGAGCAGGCATCTTTTTTTTGGGCATAAAGTCAAAGGCGGTGAGGTCCCACTGTGGGCACCTCTGTGCTATGATCCATTTGAACAAACACACACTCATACACACACACGCATGCATGAACGTACGCACAAACAAAACACCCTTCATGTCTGCCTGGTCAGCGTGTCAGGCAAGAACGAGCACAGTCCATCTTTCAGTCTGTCCTCAGGAACGTCTTTCCAACAATGCTGCAAAGCAACAAACTCAGAGTCCGTTATTAAAATAAATCCACAAACACACCCGGGTCCAGCAGAGGGCTAATCCATGTTTCTTGCACCAGTCAAAGTCTTTTAACAGTGTGTGTGTTGTCCACTTTTAGGCTCCCTGGGGTCACAGTTCATTCAGGTAGTGGATGCTCGCTGTGCGGCGAGGAGGAGGAGCCCCAGTGATTGGTGGGTACCACAACTTTAAAATAGAAACCTCTATTCTTCTGTATATGCTATTTAAATATACACACTCCTCAGCACAGCCAAGTCTACAATCATTAGCTTCATAATAAGAATATGAATAAAGAATGAGAATAACAATAATAATATATATCGTAGTTCCTAGTATGAGTTTGTCAGCAGCCATCACTAGAACATTCAGGTTGGTAATTGCATATGTACAATAAAAACGTCATTTACATCCCAGAGCTCGAGGCTCAGGGTCAGAAGTCATAGTGGAGGAGGGAGGGTGGGTGATGAATGCTGGTGTGTTATCTGAGCCTCTTCTCGGCTGAATAGATGGACATGTAGTAGTCGTTGCTGCCCACCGCCAAGTGGGGCTGCAGGGAGACAAAGAGGAAACAGAAGTTAGACAGTCCTGGTTTCATAGAAGTGCAATGATATGTGTGTGAATAGTGTTTAAATAAAGCTTGCTAATTTGCAACATAGAGACAGCTAGCACATATTACACTTTAACAGATATGTACAGGTTAAGTCATTGAACTACTTATAGAACCAAGGCCCCAAGCTATCATCAAACCAGCTCGGCCTGCTCCATCAATTTGAAGATTTTAAAAGTTTGGCTTCTATATTTACCACAATGAGTAAATTGAGCAGATACAGTATCTACGTACTTTTCTTTCAGGGTGTGCATTTAAGTGATGCCAATGTGTGCTCACAGCTCACTAAAGCCAGACGACTGTATGCTTGTGAATTTCATGTTAAGTATTTACAGATAACATGCTTTAAGTCAGATTCAAATTATTCTTATCACAAATGCACGTTTGAACTCGCCGATTTGGGCTTGACAGAAAATAGCAAAAATATTTGTCTTTGCAGCTTTGACGAGTAGAATCATGCATGGCCATCAGGATGAGTTTGTTCTGAGATTCACTCTTTACCTTCCCAAAGTCTTCAAACCGAATTTAAGCTTTCTTCCTTTTTTTCTCCTCTCTGACTGTTTCTCTGTTTTTTGTGTCTGAGCTCTGATTATTGTCTGATTATGTGTTACTGTCTTTACTGTCTCCCACACTATGTTTTCTATCCTTTGTATTTTTAGTCTATATATATAAAAAGATCAAAAACACTCTTTAATTATTAACTCCCTTACTTCTGATTGCACATGTTTTAATTGATTTAGTTTTTAATACTTTTTATTATCTGTTTGTTGGTTTTTAACAGATTTTGTTTATCTATGATGTGTATATATATATATATATATATATATATATATACATACACATATGCTTATGTGTGTATGGGTACATATATACGTATATGTATGTTTGTTATTTTTCATTGTTTATCCTGCTCGACGTCATTGTAAATGAGGGCTGTGCTCTCAATGATTTTCGAGTGTAAATAAAGACATAATAATAAAATTGCTTTAAAGGACCTTAAAACAGATTTAGCTGTTAAACGCTATCATTTTGTTTGGTGCTGGGCCAGTAGGGCACAGTAGTTTTTCTTTTTAGCTTATTAGATAACAGCTGGTCTGGAAACTGTTGTCATCAGTGGATGTAAATGTTCTCTTACCCAGAAAGGATGGAAGGCTAAACAGCTGATGGCCCCGATCCTTTGTCCCATGAAGCCGTCATAATACTTTATATTGCTGATCACATCGCCGTTAGAGTTGTAGACCGCTATGAATTGGTTCATTGATCCACTGGAGGGACGCAGACAAAGCAGAGACAGAGAGAGAAAACGTCAAATTTAAAATACCTTCTTTTTTTTGGAAGTGAGGAAGACAGAAATTAAAGCACATCTGTGTAGGGATCTGTCAACAATCTGTAAATAAGGGGTTGAATGAACATCTGGCTGATTAGCAGAGCCAACACACAAGTACCTGAAACCTGCAGTCTTAGTTCAGTCTGACCAGCAGGGGGCGACTCTGCTGACTGAAAAAGGCACCTGATTGTATCTAAACTTATGAGAAAAGAATCCTACTGTCCAGCTAATTTTAATCAGGCCAAAGCAAAAAGATGGTGACAGCCAAAAAAACAAACCCCAATGTGTCACACCAGTAGTCCACAAGGATGACATCATAGTTGAATGTTGTCCATTTCTTACATACCATACAGTCCATAAAGTCAAAGGTATTTGAACTTAACGTTTCACTTTTTTGAAACTTAATGAATTTTTCTTTGAGCTGAAGTCATCAAGCTCACCAGGCGAACAGGTTGGCCTCTGGGTGGATGTCCAGCGCTGTTAGCCCCTTCACTGTCTGCAGCACGTTGATGGAGTCCGGCGTCCGTGGTTCAAAGAATCGAACGTCTCCATTAACACTGTTTGGGGAGCGTCAAAGTCAGGACAGGTAAACAAAAGTAAAAATGTTTGTTTGCATGAATCTTTAAGGACAAAGAAGCAGCGTACCTGACACTGATAATATGTCCGTCTGTCTCCTTCTGTAGATGAGCTTTGACCACCCAGGCTCCATGTTCTCTGTAGGTCATCACCCGACTACACAAACACAAGACACAGAAACATGTCAGCACATGTGCAGTGTCCAGTAATGATTCCCCTCTATTTACAAGCTGCACGGGACTTATCATGACATGTCAACTCAAAGAGCTTTGTTAGCATGTAGAATATAACCAAGGCCCTGCATGAACTCCTGCAGTTAATCCAAAGAGCATTCACATTAGTGTTATGAAAGAAAATAAAGAAATCCATCTGCAGCAGCAAAAAGTTGTGTTATTTGCTTCAGTCATTTCTCTTATAAGTCATATGATCAGTAATCAGCAGCACACCATGCTTACCTAATTCTTAATGCTGCAGCATGTAATACATGTGAAAAGCCACCAGGTGGCAGCGTGGAATCAGAGATGAAATGAGTAAAAAGTGATGTGTGATGGCATTGCAGCTAAAAAAGAAAACCCCACAACCACCTCCTCCTCTGCAATACTCTCAGATTGTTTAGTGCTGTTTGATCCTCGTTGATGGTTTAATTGTGATATTTAGCTTCAAGCTAACTCTGATAACAACACATCACATGGTAGCATTTAGCCTTACCATTGAGCATGATTCTTTTACAAATGACACATAAATAATGGTTTATTTACTGTTTAATACTGAATCAAATACATCTCCACAATACATTTAGACAGTCACAGAACATTTAATCCTCTTGTAGTGTTCGATTAAATCATGATGTATGATGTTATTTTCTCCTTGTGCTGTAAACAAGAAACAGAGGAGTTTTTTTCTCCAATTGACCACCATGTTTTAGAGCTCAAAATTACACATTTAAATTTTCTAAACATAAAAAGCTTTCAGAAATAATATAATAAATAATAAAATCCCTAGCCTGACCTGCACGCTGGGTTTACTGGTCCTGTATGAACCTCAGGGGGGGAGCAACATAGTGGCAGAGAGATGTAACTCCATGCCTGAGGGGAGCTATTAAATTAGCTTTACTTAAAGATTTATGGGCCACTTCATGGTTTAACTGCAATGTTTTTCCCCTTTGGGTCTGAAATTAAAATAATGTTTAACCAACTGAGGGGATTCAATACCACCAGGGTCCGTTAAAAGAGGTGGCAACCCCAGAGGGAGATTTACAGCACCATATATATAATAAATATAGATTATAGAGGTGAATAATGTAGGACTCTGTAGGAGTTAATGTCCACAGAAACTGCTGTGTATGTTCTTCAATGTATTTAAATAATGGTTCAACAGTCAAAGAAAATTAAACTGTAAATTAATAATCAATTCAACTAGAGCAGCCCTATAAAAGCCAACTTTTTAAATGTTCACTCTCCAAGTCAGCTTCTTTTGCTTAAGATTGTTAACAGAGCAATGAACTAAATAGCAGGCTTTAAAATGAACTAAACAAGTCAAAAAATACAGTGTCCTTAATTCCCCAACAAAGATTATTTTGGGGCCTTTAACACTTTTACTGATGGGACAGGCACAAGAGACAGGAGACGCAGGAAGGTAGACATGCATCAAAAGCCGAGTCAAACCTTTGGCTGATGCAGTGAGGACTGTAATCCTTTTTGATAAAAGGCACCTGCTCTATCAGCTGAGGTGAACCAGGGTCCAATCAGGTTTTTTATTAAATCAAAGAATTATCTGAGTCTCTTCCTCTCTCAAACAAAAAAAACACATGTACTATGAGAGGTACCATGTACTATCTCTCCTCTGGAATCATCTACCAGTAAAGGTCCGGGAGACAGACACCCTCTGTACTTTTACGAGCGGGGTAAAACTTTCCTGTTTGATAAAGCTTATAGTCAGGGCTGGCTCAGGTATGGACCAGCTCCTAGTTATGATGCTATAGTCTTAGACTGCTGCTATAGTCTTAGACTGCTGCTATAGTCTTAGACTGCTGCTATAGTCTTAGACTGCTGCTATAGGCTTAGACTGCTGCTATAGTCTTAGACTGCTGCTATAGTCTTAGACTGCCGCTATAGTCTTAGACTGCCGCTATAGTCTTAGACTGCTGCTATAGGCTTAGACTGCTGCTATAGTCTTAGACTGCTGCTGCTATAGTCTTAGACTGCTGCTGCTATAGGCTTAGACTGCTGCTATAGTCTTAGACTGCTGCTGCTATAGTCTTAGACTGCTGCTATAGGCTTAGACTGCTGCTGCTATAGTCTTAGACTGCTGCTATAGTCTTAGACTGCTGCTATAGGCTTAGACTGCTGCTGCTATAGTCTTAGACTGCTGCTATAGTCTTAGACTGCTGCTATAGTCTTAGACTGCTGCTATAGTCTTAGACTGCTGCTGCTATAGTCTTAGACTGCTGCTATAGTCTTAGACTGCCGCTATAGGCTTAGACTGCTGCTATAGTCTTAGACTGCTGCTATAGTCTTAGACTGCTGCTATAGTCTTAGACTGCTGCTATAGTCTTAGACTGCTGCTATAGGCTTAGACTGCTGCTATAGTCTTAGACTGCTGCTATAGGCTTAGACTGCTGCTATAGTCTTAGACTGCTGCTGCTATAGTCTTAGACTGCTGCTATAGTCTTAGACTGCCGCTATAGTCTTAGACTGCTGCTATAGGCTTAGACTGCTGCTATAGTCTTAGACTGCTGCTATAGGCTTAGAATGCCGCTATAGGCTTAGACTGCTGCTATAGGCTTAGACTGCTGCTATAGGCTACTGCCGCTATAGTCTTAGACTGCTGCTATAGGCTACTGCCGCTATAGGCTTAGACTGCTGCTATAGGCTTAGACTGCTGCGGGACCTGGCACACTGAGCGCTCTCTCTCTCTGTACGCACACAAATCATATTACTGCATGTCACCATCTGTACATCTTGATGTACCATTTAAGTTACTAACTATACATCTTCCTGGGATATATATTATGTATATAATATCATTAACATAATCAGTCCTCCCTGTTTCATCATCAGTACAGTTGCTAATGTACACACACTTTTACATTTATTACTGACACTGCAGATATAAATCTATGTTATTCCTTGTTGCTCCGTCCCCAACACAGTTTCAGCAGATGCCTGTTCATCATGAGTCCTTTTCGCTCGAGGTTTCACCACCACCCTCATTCACCTCCACTGGCTCCTGATCAAGTCCTGCATCCAATACAAACTCCTCCTACTCACCTATAAATCTCTCCATGCTCTAGTACCTCCACTGTACCTCACCGACCTCCTCCTTCCCTACACCCCATCCCGACAGCTGCCCTAAGCCACAGGCCTGCTCTCCAACCCCCACCAACAAACTGCGATCCTTCGGTGACAGAGCCTTCAGTGCCCTAATACAGCTAATACCCCCCCATTGAGTGTGTCTGTGTTTTTTGCTGTCTCCTTTTTACCACTGTAAAGCGTCCTTGGGTTCCTTGAAAGGCACTATATAAATCCAAGTTATTATTATTATTATTTAAAGAAAGTTTTTTCTTGCCACTAACTTTACTAAATGTTTGTTTAGTACTGTGCTCATAGTGGATTATAAATAATAAAACAAAGAGTAATGTCTAGACCTGCTCTTTTTGTAAAGTGTCTTGACATTAAATGTGTCTGATGCTCTTTGGTAGACACAGGATGTCAGGAGGGCCTGAACGCAGAACGCTTTGTTTTTAGGAGTTTAACTTTTTTTTCTTCTGAGGATGAATTCTTTTAGTTGGAATTGTTAAAAGGTTTTTGAAAGAAAGCCAAATTACTGGAATAGGCATCTTTGTCTACAAAACAAACAGATCGGGTAATTAAAAATGAAAAAAGATTTTTTGAGACGGCACTAACTTAAGCTCATTAGAACCAAAACTCTTGTCTTAAATTAGATTTTTAAATATTTACTTGAACCACTTAGAACTAGTTGGCTTGAAAAGCTCAGTGTTTGTTTACAAAGCCAACAAAATAAGAGTTCAGTGTGGTGCTGAACTAAAGAAAGACACACTCGTAGTTAAAGCAAAATTAGAATAACAAAAACATGAGTCATGTGAAACCCGACATTCAACCCTCTGTGACCTCACAGTGTTGGGCTCTAACATGCAAGTCAGAAAGAGGAAGTGTGTTTTTACCAATCATTCGGTCCCATCCTCCTGTCAAACACCCGTACAGATCCATCACCCAGACCCGCAACGATGAGCGAGCGCTGGGAATCACAGGACAGGCTGGTCACACAGCTGTCTGCACCAGTTGGGATATCCTGCAGAACACACACAAACACACACAAATACTGTACATTCATATCCTTGTCAAGAAGAATCGCCGAGCTATCACTTTCATTGCATCCCCTGTTTTTACACAAAAACCTTCATCAAACTCATGGATCATGTGCTCTCTTTGACTGTTGGCTCGGTGGAAGTTGGACCCAGCATCAATATGCAGCCAGAGGCGAGCCAGGGCCATATGTATTTGAATTAAGCTCATTAATCAAGATGGTGAATAGCACGCTGAGGAGCATAACGCTGAGAAACAAAGAAAAAAAATGAGCAAAGCGCACTAATGTAACTGGCTCTGTTTGCAGCTCTCATTAGATTACTCTAACCAGAAACAGCTGGAGTTTACTCTAAACTGTGCACATAACACAAACAGCTTCAAACAAGTCAAAGAGGATTTCTTCATGTTCTACCATCATAAAGGCTTTCAGCAGGAAACAAGGGGAAGAAAGCTAAAGAGAAAGAAGAAACCTAGACAAGCCTCTTTACGATTTGCTGATCGATTTCTTTTATTGGCTTGATTTAATAGCAGAAGGATGTTAACACAATGATCTTTAGTAACAAACCCAGAGACCTTAAAGCAAGTTTATCACCGGCTCGTAAATAGCTGCTGAATGTAATTCTTGAGCCAAGGGCTATCTGTGCGGAAAGTTTCATTTGTAATCATTTAGTAGTGAAACAGACACACAAACAGGTGCACTGGGTGTTATACCTGGACCTTCATCTCCCTGTCTGTGTCCCAGATCCTGATGACTCGGACATCTCCAGACGTCATGAGGAGGCCGGTCTCCTGCTCCCAGTCCACGACCATGCCTGCACCTACAGCACAGGACGACACAAAGACAAACAGAAGTGCTCTCATTAGAACATACAGAAGAGGGGCGCAACGCAAACTGACTGATGGGTTAGCAACATGTGTTACTATTAAGCCAGTGATTTGTAATGGTAGCTTAGACCAGGGATGCTCAAACTTTCTTAGCTTGTGTACCCCCTTTCAGATTTTTTTAGACAAGTCCCACCTTTTAGACAAGTCCCAAGAACATTTTTATTCTTCCACCTAATTTTTCCCAACTGATTCGTTACTTCGTTTCAACAACCTGTTCATTTTTAACTTCCTGGCTGCCCTCTTGTTAGCATGCAAATGTACATGCTTGGCTCACTGAACAATTCTCTGGGCTCTGCAAATAATGTAAGCTATATTATAAATGAATAACCTCAAGTTGGAAATAGTGCCCTTTAAGATGTTGCTTGGATAACATATGCTGTTAATTAAATTAGTGTATGGATTTTCCAATAAATCATTAATTTGGCTTGTTGTGATGCTACTTTTTTAAAATGACATTTGTCATGCACCCCTTGCAGTACTCCCACGTACCTCTAGGAGTACACGTACCCCGATTTGAGAAACACTGGCTTTGACTGAACACCTGGACTGCTCTGGAGGAGATTTTGTTCAGAGGTTGGGATCTAAAGGAGCGATGTGTAACTCTGACACCTAGCGTTTAAAATGGGTACTGCAGTGCAAATTCAAAACATTGGAGAGTGCCATTTCCCCCAGCCGCCTCCTCCCGAGAGCCGATGTGCACTTGTCATGATTGGACAATGAAGCTTCACTTTATCTCCTTTGTGTCTCTTAATCTTTTCTGGTCCTGATGCTTATTGGAAAATGCAGAGGCGCTTTAGGTTAGGTAGAATCAGTTAAATCTGAACCAGTTTGCTTGTCTGCCTCCATCGCTGCAACTCCTTTTGATTTATTGTTAGCCTGGCAAACAAAGAGGCAAAACGGCCGTGCGGGGGTACCTTCTTTGGTCAAAATAAATAAAGACCATTCCGCACCAGAATCGAAACTTAGGAGGACATACGGATTGCTGCATTGTTGTTATAGAAACCAGCACTTCAACATAGCACATTTCCTTAATGACTGATGATATAGTAAGGACATTTTATGATTTAATTACATATTGGACATTTAAAAAGGCTGTAAAAAGCACTGCCCTTCAATTTATTATTTCCCACACAACCATTTCTATGAATCATGAAGACATATAGTGGTGGTAACAGGTTACATATGAACTATAGCACATAGCACAGTACACGGATGTACACATACCCTGAAGAACTAAAACCAGAGTTTACAAAAGAAATATGATGACCAGCTTCTTTATACCCATCATATCTAACTGCGGCTTTGCATTGTTTAGGTCTGCTAGTTCATGCAAATACATTCTAATTTGATCAAACATACTGTGAAGTGCTGTAAGATGTTATTACACTTCTAACTGAATTTGACCCTCCAACACAATTATTACTACAAGAAAGCTTCAAAAAGCACAACTGTGTGAAATATTAAATGACTATGAAAAGTTTATGCACAATATCTGAACTTCTGTTTTTAATTCAAGGTTCTTAAACAGGGTGAGTTTAATTTGGTAGCTCAAATGAAGCCTCACACACAGCTGCAAATGTTGATCCCAAAACACCCAACACACAGTCTGCTTGAGGTTTCAGAAGGCTCCTGGAGCTGCATGTAGCAAGTTAAGTTACAGATTAGTTCAAAGGTTCACTGCACACACTACCAACAACTCTGACCAAGCAGAACTTTCTGCATAAGAAAATCAAGAGTTATAGATATCAGGCATTGTAACGGAGTCTGTGTTTTTGATGAAAGTGTATTAACTTGCCTTTCATGCAGACAGAAGCATGGTTTAGCATTTTGCAACCTTCAAAACAAGACGACCACAGGGAGATACAAACAGTGACCCTGGAACTGAGCCTGTCAGCAGATTCTGGTTTAGATGAGTCAAACGGTACTCGAGTGAGAAAGTGAAGCGGGAGGAAGCTGATCTCAGAAAGACTCTTCATATGTTGGCAGTCACAGCATGAATCAAGTGAGCAGTGCCATGTCAGCCACACTTGTCTGGCTGGCTCAGGGATGCCTGGCAGAGGCTTGTGGCTTCAGCCTCAAGGCGTATGCTTCAAAAGAAGTGCTTGTAGGATCCCAGAACTGTCATCCAACTTCTCCAACCAGACCTTAACAAGTGACGGCTTTCTGTGTGTGTGTGTGTGTGTGTGTGTGTGTGTGTGTGTGTGTGTGTGTGTGTGTGTGTGTGTGTGTGTGTGTGTGTGTGTGTGTGTGTGTGTGTGTGTGTGTGTGTGTGTGTGTGTGTGTGTTCTTACCTTCGAAAGTGAATAATCGTAAAAGTAAGGGACACACCACGCTGCACTTGTCTTTGACATTAATAGGCCAGGTTATAAGCAATGTTTGAAATAGTCAATCATCATGCGATGATTCCTTCTGCACTCTATGCTTATTGTTGAAGGGTCTGTTTACACTCACAAGTTGGCAGGGAGTTGAGTTGTTTGCAAAAATAATGCATATAAGCCACACTGCCTGCTCTTTGCCAACTATCTCTATAACTTTTTTCTTTGCATCCATACATTGCAGAAAGGGATCTCAAACACTACATTAAAAATCCCTGTTGCATTAATGGAGTCACTTCATAGGAAATCTGAAAATATCCAACACTCGTTTTTGAACAAGTACCCAAGGTCGTCATCGGCGTATAAGCGTGTAAGTGCAGTCCATTTACTGTTGAAAAGGGTGAAGGGATAAAGGGGCCAGGAGGGTCCACAAAAAGCCAAGATGCACATGTAAACACTTGTGGAACTGTTTTTCTCTTACAGGATTGCTTTTACCAGAGATGCTTCAAAAACAGCATCCTTTTCTCTCCTCTTAAAACTCATCAGAACATGCTTCATTTCCTTTTGTCTCCTTCTCCCGTTTCTCTCTTAGTCACTTCCTCCTCCTGGTTTCTCACAATCAATAACTAGATAGTGTCTAGATATATGTCTCACCCACATATGTTATCACCTTGCCTTACACAATCCCTTCATTCTTTAATATGGCATGTTTCAACCTAATTGACTCCTCTTATTAGATATTGAGAGGAAGAAGAAGGATAAGAACTCATTTAATTTGCAGACCAATAAAGAACATGCGCATGGTTTGTGATCCGTCCCCCGCTTGAATCTCTTCTTTGTGCCTTTTGATGAGTCGTGACTCATATCATCCTTCTATCAAACCGTCTGCTTTCTACTCTTGTAGTGTAAAGAATACCCAGACCCCACGTGGCTTATCTTCATATGCGGCTCTATGACATCACCCAGCCCACTTATGCATCACAACGTCACACTGCTGGTAGCTTGGGAAAACATGTAGGGGGGGATTGCATGCAGGGGAAAACACACGTCACAGGACCTAGGCTCAGTCAGTGACACGTTCACAAGCACGTGTGGAGACGCTTGATGCTGGCTCATTTGAGAGGCTGTGAAAAGAGACAAGGCATTCCCTTTGAAGCTGGCAGCGCTGCAATGAGCAAATCTGGGTTACAAGGAGAAGGGGTTGCACTTGCAGAAAATTCCCTGCTACACAAACGTGTGTGCCAGTATTTATTCAAAGACAGTGAGCACTCATGCCAAGTGTACCGAGGTTTAGATCCAGTTCTAACCGTATGATTGCATTATTAGCTACCTCTGTTGTCATGCAATGATGAGGATTCCACTGGGGATGAAACTGAATATGCAGAAGAGAATATTCCAACCAGTCTCAGACAGCTATGAGTTATTCTGCCTGTGTTTTGTTGCTGTGGTCCTATAAAACCCCCATTCCTTCCACCTGGTGCTTTTTTTTGTGTTTGAACATTACACAGCCTCAGGATGGACTAATGTACATCTGATTTAAAATCAGAGCAAAAATCATAGGAGTAGGTGAAAACCAGTGTTAATCTCGTCAACAAAATAAATAACGAAAATATTCGTTGACGAAGGTCTTTTTAAATTAGTCAACTATGACGATGACGAGACGAAACTCCGCTATTTGACGATTTGATAAATAACATTAGCCTACCGGTACTTCATCATCTAATTGACAAAAATGTGACGAAACGAAAACTACATTACAAGTGAGGATTATCACTTGATAAAGAAGTGTTAAACCCACTCAGCCGTTCTAAAATCATTGTAAACCATAGCAGACTTCATCAAAGGTGTGTGTGTGTGTGTGTGTGTGGTGAGTGCAACAATGTGCAGCCTGGAGCCTGCAGGTCTGTGAAGCCCCGCCCCCTGGAGCTTCTGATAATCAAAATAAAAGCTCATGTCTGATTTTGTTGACTAAAATATCTTCTATTTTCGTCAACTTAAATGATGTGCAATTTTAGTCAGTGACTAATTGACTAAATTAAATCAATAACAAATGACTACAATCTGACTAAATATAAAGGACATTTTCGTCAGGAGACTATGACTATGACTAAATTAGAAAATGGTGTGAAGATTAACACTGGTGAAAACAAAAAAAAAAAACGAAATCAACAACGGTCTTAAAATTAGACTTTGACAGACTGACCCTCAAGACAGCCTCAAACTTAAAGATAATGCTGGTATACTGTTAAGACATTTGGCCCTGAATTTTGTGGATTCTCTGGAGTCTGACCAAGGTCATTGCTCCCTTGTTGTTGCCATGGCGATATATTCCGAGGTGTCAGGTATTATTTTATTAAGTTAAATGTTATCATAATTAGTAGAAAGACTATAAAACTATGAAAAACATATCCAAGCTACACTTAAGACTGAATAACAAAGCATGGTTTCTATGAAGGATCCCTTAAATGAGCAGTAAACATTTGTCTGTACTTTCTGTACTGGTAGCCACATTCGCTCTCTTATTCTTCTGTACTTCAGGCCTCTTAGTCCTCACTGGTGTATAATCAAAGAAGTTAGCAGGGAGTTCAGGGGGTCAGAGCCGCATCCTAAAACCCCACTCTAAGTTTTTTTTCTATTGTGGTCCTCACTGAGCCGCTCAAAAGGGGTTAAAAATCTGCCTCAGAGAGGGAGCCTTTGTGAGCCTGAGCGGGTCTTAGTTACCCACACAGAAATCGATACAACATGGAGAACAGAGATGTGAGAAGGAAGAGCAGGAGCAAAGGAGTGTGGGCAATGTTCCCTCAGCTGTAAATCTTACCACTCTTCAGAGGTGGAGGTAAAGATAGCTTCTATGTACATTCTCTCCCTAAGCCTGGTCTCTTTACCTTCCTGTTTGAGATCAAAAGTACTCCCTCAATAAAGATATCAGAAACAGAAATGATACTGTAAAAAAGAAGACTTCTTTAAGTTGACTTAAAGCTGCGATGCCAGTAGACGTAGTAGATCATCTTGTTCCTGTGCCAGTGTGTCGATACAAACCCTAATTTGTGATATATTTATCTATTCCTTTTCAGAAATATTTTTGTTTTAACCCTCTGGGTGCTCTGTGGAGAAGATGCCATCCTCTGCATTCTTATTCTGCACCATTATCTCCTGTGATTGACTAGCTCTCCCACACACACTGCAACTCAATAAACTAGGGACGCAGCATTCCTGGTTCTTCTCTCCCTCAGAGTCCCCCCCCCCTCTCTTTCCTTCATCCTGTTTGCTTTGAAAATGTCCTCTAAGACTCTGTTAATAAACCTCATCCAGGATTATTGGGACTTGACTAGCATGAGTGTGCCTCTCAAAATAGAAGAAGATATTATCTATGGGAACGCTCTGACTGGCAGGGACACTCCCCTGCTCTGACATTTGTCTAAACTTTGTCGGATGAGATCTGACATTTGGGGAGCAAAAAGGCTTTTGCCTGCTGGGTTGAGAAACATCTTGTAAACTGAGGCATAAAATGTCCTTCCAGAAATGAGCAAAACACTGACCTGTTTATTGTGCAGTTAAAGGCGATTTTTCACTCTTAAATGATATAGAAATCAAGTATATCCTCTGAAAATAACTCTGTGAGTCATGACTGTCTACAATGGGTGTAACACCCGAGTCCCACTGTCTGTGATGTTTTCAGAGTTTTCAGAGTCCTATCTTCACTTTGTTTACATCGCCAAGACGGCCGGCTGACTCCTCCCCTCACGTATAAAAGTTGTTTAATTGAGGGACTAGAGAAAAGAAGAATAACATACTGTACTCACTGCTTAACTGTGTTTCTGTAATTTCAGGTCAATTTACATGCAGTGTGAAGATACGAGCATAATAAAGATCACTAGCATTAGCAGTTTTTTTCAAAATAATTTCCATGTTTTAAAACAAGGAGGATCCCTTAAAGATTTGTTCTAGGCAAACTTTGATGACTCACTAAATGGGATTGTAGCTTTGTGATGTGAAGTCAAAGTTGAAGAAGAAGCTGAACTCTTGAGGGAATCATGGTTTTTAACTCCAGTGTTTAACGCTACAAATCAGAGGACACATATGTATTTGACATTTATTCAAACTAAATATGAAAGCTTTTCTGAACTCTAAACTGTAGTTTTAAAAAGATGATCCATGGAGTCAGATCTTCTGCATAATGCATAGACTCCATGTCTCCAAGATGTCAATGAGACACCAGGTAGAGCAGGACACAGCATGTGCCTCTCTACACAGAACTTAATTAGAAGGACTCTCTATCTGATTGGAGAACTGTGTACTGTGCCGTAGCCGCAGGGATAGTATCTGTGGTCTGTGCCTGCCATGGTCCCCCTGATTTAAGTGGTTCCTCTGGAATATCACAGGCTAATCCCTTCGGCCACACACAATGGGTGGCTCTATGCTGTCAAAATCACACAGTGCCAACATGCTCCCAATTAAACGGTGACACCTTTGGGAGAAGCTAAAAAAGAGTAGTTTTTTTTTAATACAGGAACCTATTCTTTTTTCTTTCCAAGATTTATTTTGGGCTTTTTTCGTGCCTTTAATTCAGAGGGAGGACAGTGGATAGAGTCGGAAACCAGGGAGAGAGAGCGGGGAATGACATGTGGAAAGGGGCCACGGCTGGAGGCGAACCCGGGCCTACCGCTCAAGACGAGAGTCTCAACACATGGGATGCGCACCCTGCCACTGCGCCACCAGCGCGCCCCAAGGAGCCTATTCTGAGGTGAAAATGATTAATGTGCACAGTGCCCATTTGAAGAGAGAGCACAGTCAAACAAGAGATTCAAAAACAATTTAACATCTATGTAAGTACCTGAGACCACATCACCCCCGCTCTTCATGACCTCCTCTGGCTCCCCATCCCCCAGCTCCTTATCATCACCTACAAAGCCCTTCACAACCTGGCCCCTCCCCTCTACCTGTCTGACCTCCTCCACCAGCACACTCCCAACTGCACTCTCAGGTCTGCTGATGCAAACCTCCTGTCCCCCCTCACCTCTTCATCACTGCCTACAACCACTAACTCCCTTCCCCCTCTACATTACTTCTTCATTGTACTGTCCTCGTCGTTTTTTGTTTCGTTTTATTGTTTTATGTTTTTCTGCTTTTCTGAAAACTCAAAGCGTCTTTGAATTTTCAGAAAAGCGCTGTATAAAACTAATGTATTATTATTATTATTATGATTAAGTGGGATGTGAAAAGTATGAAGTGAATGAGCATCACAGGACAGATGAAGGGAATAAGACAGAACAGGCACACTGCTGGCTGTTTAGCGCAACACCTTTGTTTTCTGGGAATGAGGAAGACGAGAATTGAAACACTCACCTCCTTGCTTACTCCTGTCAAGATAGATGGAGACCCTTCTGGCAAGACCTGCGAGCAAGAGGGGGGGCAGTGGAAGAGGGGAGGGAGGGAGAAGAGCAGGAATGCAACAAAGCAAGCAACAAATTAAGAAGGACCTCCTCATGCAAACAGACACACGCTGAAAAATACGACGTCATGAATACACTCTATATGCATTCAAACAGGAGAGAGATGATCAAGGCGGCTTTCTCCCAGTGTGCAGGGATCAAAGAGTGAAGGGAGAGGGACTGAGAGGGAAGCAGGAGCTGCACCTGCATTACAAACAGGGGCTGTGAAGCTGCACACGGTCCCCAGTCTACCAGCCTGAATCCCAAAAACTCGACATGGAGCCAAAGAGATGACAAGAGAGTAGAGCTACACCAGTGTAAGACTTTTGATAAATACTGATATGATGGCCAATAGAGCTCATTGTGAGCTCAAATAAAGAACTTATTTTTGGGAACTCTTCTCAGATTTTGCTCTAATATGACTAAGCTTGGACAAAAGAGGACTCTGGGTGTGTAATTGTCTGTATGGCTTACTTTCACTTTGTCAGATGAATAGATCCATTAGCTCAGACTCAATGACATGTGATAGGAAGATTTATTGTTGTGTAAGTGAGCTCTATCAGGAAAAAAAGTGCTTGCCGCCTTGTTCAGCCTCTCACGAGATGAGGCAAAACCGCAAAACAATATCCAAAAACCAGCAAAGTAACAAAGAGCCAGACAGACAGAGTCTGCAGAGATGGTTCACTGATGAAAAATAGCACAAAAACATGTTATTGGATGACTGGGAGGAGAGGAGTGAGGACAGGATGCGCAAGGTCTGGTGTGTGTGTGTGTGTGTGTGTGTGTGTGTGTGTGTGTGTGTGTGTGTGAAAAAGAGAGTTTTTGTCTGCAAGAATCTCCTAGAGAAATGCCCACAGTCTTGTAGAACTACCTACAGAGCTACAACAAAAAGACAGACTTGTGAAATATTTCATCCAGTTGTTCATTTATTAATGCGACAGAGGCAATGTTCTATAAACACGAGCATATCACGATTCTAACTGAGAAGTGCTCCACACGCTATAACTTTAACTATAAACCTTTAACTTTAAACTGATGTTTGGGACAGGAGGGGAGGTAGTGTGTGTCTGAAAGCGATGGAGAAACTGTGAAAGATTATGTTTTGAAGTTTAAAAAATTATCTCAGCACAACAAACTGAAGCTGGACACTTTAGTCAAACTTTCTTTCCCAGAAAAGTCGAGTGGCTGTTCATTTCAAAATTGATGCTTTAAGTCACTAGTCACTAACAACACATCCAGGATAACAAGCACACCATTAAATGTTAAAGTCTCAGTCAAAACAATGCTCTGGCTCTCTGCAGGAGAGTCCTCCACAGGAGGAGAGACTCTCAGGGCCATTCTGTGTCGTGAGAGGCAGACAGGCAGTGATGCTAGTTAAGTGTGTCGCCTCTCTGCAGGTCCCCACAGAGCTCTGGTGACTCTATGGTTTTGTAATGATGGAGACACATATGTGTACGCAGCGTGCGGTCAACACCTCTGCACAGATTTCCAGTCTGCAAGTGAGTCAGTCAGACGCTCATCATGGCAGCCCTGCTCTCATTGTTACCAATTAGCAATAAATGTATCTTATTCTATGTTAAGATGTGCTTAAATAATGATATCAGAAAGCTATCCACCCACAGAAGACTGTCATCACAGGGGCTAATGTTGGTACAACGGGTCACAGATCATTGAAAAACTTTTCTAAATAAGTCAAAAACTGTGAAAGCTAATTATCAGACTTATGCAACAGGTTGTCAGGTATTCAGAGAAGCATTAAAATCACTCCTACAGTTTTCATTAAAAACATCCATGACCCAGAATCGATGGCCTCCAAATGCTCGGGGCAAGAAGAGAGAGAGCGAGAGCGAGAGAGAGAGAGAGACAGCGAGAGCGAGAGAGAGAGAGAGAGAGAGAGAGAGAGAGTGAGAGTGAGAGCGAGAGGGGAGAGAGAGAGAGAGAGAGAGAGAGAGAGAGAGAGAGAGAGAGAGAGAGAGAGAGAGAGAGGGTAACCTGATAAACAACAGAAGTGGGTGCATGTCTCTGACAAGTGTGTACTGTTGGTCATTGCCATTGTCATTGCCAACTGTTCCTTCCAACCATTTTTAAAGTTGTGAATCATCAACTATCTTCAGATAATAATAATCTTGCAGAAGACAGAATGAGTTATGGTTTTTGGATTAATAAAACTAACTTGTAATTTAATCTTTTCATATATGACCCCTTCTGGTGGAATAAAACCCCTCTACCTGTCGGGGTACAGTTCAACCTGCTCACTTTACTAACGTGTGATATATTCTCCTTAATTTGGTTTAGCAGTTCGGTCTGTGTGTCCTCTCATAGTGACATCACCAGATTTGTTTCTATGGCAACCCTCTGTTCATACGTCACTTGAAATTGTCAAAGCAGGAATCAAAAACAGTCCTATAAAGGTAATTGTGTAAATTGTTGTTAAACTGATTTGACTGAGACAGCTCACTGACTTTATGACTCATCTGTACTTGTGCTAAGATCAGGATATGTAGTTGTAGTTGCTTCTTTGGGTAAAAGGGTCTAACTTTCAACTAACAGAGGTTCAAAGTCAGATATGAAATAATTCAAACACAACCCTAAGTAACTAATTTCTTTCTTTCTTTCTTTTTTTAAAACAAATAAAAAAAAAGAAAAAAAAAAAGCCATCGATTAAATAATTCACTGTCACTTTCCTACCTGGTGACTCAGTAGGTGTGAGAGGAATGGAGTAAACTGTGGGGCTGTGGTCATGTTACTAAAGGAGGTACAGTTAGTGTATGGGTGGGTAGGAGGGTGGGGGGATGGGGGGGAGGATAGTAAAATAGAGTGTTGATCTTTACTGTGAGTGCTGGCTGACGGCTGACCTCTGGTGGTTGGCAGCATGTCGGAGAGGCCCTGCCATGCTGTCACCATCTCGGGGTTCTTCTGGTCGGCAAAATTCTTCCAGATACGTAATGCTCCATCGTCTGGAGAGGGAGAAGTAAGGTGCGAGGAAAACAGGAATACAGTTAGAACGAGACAAAAAGCAGAAGAAGGTAAAAGTGGATTCTGGCGTGCACGCACGCACGCACGCACGCACACTCCAACACTTCTCAAAATAATCAATAAAGAGTGTTAAGCAACATTTTAAAAGGCTCTTTGCACTGAAAGCGTTCTGTGAGTAACAGAGTGCTGCACGAGTCACTTTAAAAAAAGCTCCTGAACACAGTTAAGACACCGAGCTCGGCATAAAACATGTCCGAGCGCTCTTATGAGAGAGCTATTACAGGCCGTAAAAAGTCTCCTCTTGATTTACATCCTGCATTTCACTTTTTTAATGCTGTATATTTTTTATAAGTAATGTCCTCCCTGATATCCCTCACAGCATGACTGATGGAGAAAAGCTGAATAAGTGCACATTACATTTTGATGAGATGGAACTTAAATTTATCAGTCCCTGCGCTCTTAACAAGGTCTCAGGAGGGATGCTCTGAAATACAGCGTTCACACTAAGTTTAATACTACACCGCTAAGACAAAACAAAACAAATGTGTGTCTCTGTATACACTTTTCTTTTTGCTACGGTTTCTTTGGGTTATGAAGATAAAGCCGTGGAGGGTAATTGCTTTGCTCTGATGATGAATGATGATGAATACACATGGGTGCGGTGTGTGCGTGTGTCTGTGTGTGTGTCTGTGTGTCTGTGTGTCTGTGTGTCTGTGTGTCTGTGTGTCTGTGTGTGTGTGTGTGTGTGTGTGTGTGTGTGTGTGTGTGTGTGTGTCTGTGTGTCTGTGTGTCTGTGTGTCTGTGTGTGTGTGTGTGTGTGTGGGGGGGCTTAGAGTCAAGTGTTAAGGCTCGTTGCTGCTACAAATGAGTCTCGTTGCGATTTCCACTCTGCTGATGGGCGTGCACATCTGAACGGCTCACTCCAGAATAATCTCACAAATGTTTAACTGGAGTCTTTCCTCTGTGAAGTACTGTGTGTACTTCCTGTGTAGTTGTATCTGTGTACATGTGCAGGTGTGACGTACCTGTTGCAGTGAGTAGTAATGAACAGTCATGTCCGTTCAGGTACTCCATGGCTGTGATGCGAGTGTAACGAGGGTTCCCGTTGTAGAAGTAGTCCAGCCTCTCACCTTTCTCCCAGTCCCAGAAGCTGCAGCAGATATACACACACATACACACTCCTTAATTAACTATTTGACGTGTGTACATTTGAAGCCATCGAGTATCAAAGTGAATGATTTGCATAATGGTCTTAAAGCTGGGAGCGTGTTCTCTGTCTCTGACCAGATGCTGTCCTTGTCGGCCACGGCGATGCAGGTGTTGAAGGGATGGAACTTCACAACAGACGGGACTCCAGGGTTGCGGTTTATGAATATTTGATCATCCAGACGGGAAACACCTGCAAGAGGGGGGGACAAGCCAAGATGGGAACAAATGTAGATAAATTTGTCAAAATTGGAAAATCACAGATTTGCATCTTGCTTGGTGCCCTCATCCTGTCATCATAAACCTGTAAATGTTCAACCCTGAAGCAAGATGCAAAAGCTGAACAAATTAACTCAGCTCTTTTTAATGAGACTCTCAGGAAGGAGCACTAGAACTCAGACTTCAACAAACACACGGCCTCTTGTTATCATCTGCTTCCTCTGCCCATTGAAAACAAACCTGTGTTTAAAAATGTGTGACTGTTTAAGTTTCACTTTAGAAACCTGACACATGGGAGTTGTGATTGGGAAATAATGTTCATGGTGATGAAGGACCGTGTCAGGTTGTTTAATGTTCAGGCTCTGATCCCTGCTCATGGACAACAATGCACTTTAAATAAAGAAGACATGTACAACACTTTCTGCACAATCCAAACATGAAATGTGAACCTTTTTATAGTTTTAAGAAATTGCCATTGAGAAACATTATACCTCCCAGTGATGATACAAATGCAGATGATTATTAAAGGAGGATGCTGGTATTTGTTAAACCTGGACCTATTGAAACTCACTTTAGGTCAGTGGAGTTTGGTGCCTTTAAAGATCAATGTAGCTACATGTTGGGTCAAAATCTGTAGCTAATCTTTTTGCCAATTTTTCAGGCCCTACAATAAAGACTTGACCCTATCATCTGCAGTAATATAATAATAATATCTTTTTTTATAGTGGACATACTTTCATCTTGGACATTTTCCTTGAAAGATTAAACACAACCGTTACATCCATTTGGCAGAGAACAGCTGAAGCAAACTTTGTTACCCATTAACATTTTTACCACAAGTTATGTAAAGAAAGGGCCCGGGTTTAACAATACTGAAATCACTTTAAAGGTGTACTAAATAAAAGTGATCAAAAGTGAGGTTTTAGACACAGTCACAGTCTGCACATGTATCCTACAGACTAGATAAAGAGAAACATTCTTAATAAAAGCGGCTGCAATCAAGCTATCTAATAGTTCTTTGAATGCACACTGCTAAATTAAGTTGGCAAAATAAAAAAATAAAAAACAAGTTATCTAAATTAGGATAAAATAATAACGCCTGAGGGACATTGTTAATTTGTAGCAGCAAATTTGGCTGAACAGAAAGAAATCAGTAGGAACTGTTATTTTTTTAAACAGAATTTCTTAGCGCACTGAATGTCTGAGTATAAGAACAAAAGAAGATAGGAGTGCACAATCCCAGTGGTAGAAACCAAAAGAAAAAAAAGAGTCTATGCTTAGAGATTTGGTAGAGAGAAATAGTCTTGTTGTGTACCCCTTTGGCAGATTTCATGGAGAATAAGACAGGACGAGCACGCAGGAAAAAAAAACTGCTAAGTTCACTGCCTGAGCATATGTTGTCATGGAAACAACACATATCCACTCGCCAGCCTGTCCTTGGCTACCTGAATGCACTCTCGAGACCGCCATAATGAAATAAAGAGTAATGAGGAAAAATCTATCATGAATTCAACACAGAAGCATCTTTGTCGGAAAACAATGCAATTAGAGAAAATATTATTTTTAAAAACAAAAGCCTGTGGTTAAAAGCTGGGCACACAATGAGCATCGATTTGCTTCTCTTTAAGCTGCTGATGTAAAAATTCAATATGGAATATACTGTTAAAGTTGAAAGTACCCTGAGGACCTTAGAACTGCACATGCTGGGTGTACATTTTGCATCACCAAAAAAGGCAAAAAGTCAATTCTGGGTTTACAGGCATAAATATTCGTCTTGTACATTTTTTCTTCTTCTTACTTTTAAGTATTTTTTTTGCCTTCTTCACTCACACCTCCTCCATCCTTCCTCTCCCTCCTCCTCTCCTCTCGTCTTGTTCCTCTCGGGAGGGAACAGACTGAATGAGGGCAGCCCTACTACTTCTCTCTTTCAAAAAAAGTGTGAGTTTTGAGGGGAATTCAATGATTTAGTACGGAGTCAGAGAGAGAGGATGAGACATGTGCATGAACTAAGGCTCTGACGTCAATCGCCTCGTGATAGCATGTGTGTGTGTGGAGGGGGCTACCAATGACGTGGGAGGGGGTGTTAGGTATTCTGTTTGAGAGAGCTCTGACATTACTGTGTGTATGCTTGCACCATGGGCTCTTTAATGTGTGGGTTTATGTGTCTCGGTGTGGGAAAGGGGAGTCCTGTGACTCACAAACGGGGTTGTTTCTGACCAATCAATGCTCTTCCATCACTGCAAATCACCTGCTCCCTCGCTCTAATGTCTGTAACCAAGCCTCACTTTTAACACCTGGTGTAGTCTGGATCAGTTCAGCCAGATTCGGCACCCAACCAAGGCTCCAGAACATTGAATGAAACATGATTCTGGCACACAAAAAAGACTCAGTGCTTACTTATGCTCCGTGATTCTACAGGGACTCAAACAGTGTATCGTCCATCACAGGGCCTTTTCTGTTCATTACAGTGTGTGTACATTCACTGACTGAACAGAAACTGTATGTTAAAAGTGGACACAGCCTAAGGGTATAAAAAGAGAAGTGAAAGAAGCTTCTGCATTCCTCCGTATGACCTGCAGAGGGTGTCTATACTGGTTGAAAATAAAAGTCTGTCTAGTGCACAAAGAAATGACGCCACTTCTCACTAGGTTTATTCCCTCAATAAACACATTCCTAATGAGTCTATAGTCTCAAAACAATCTCAGCTCTGAAGCTGAGACCTTGTGATTGACAAGCTGCTGTACCACAGAGATCTTAAAAAAGAAAAAATGACATTCTGACTGGCTGTTTATTTATTTTGCAGGAGATTCTGTTTAATCTGCACCTTATAAACATACAAACAAACAGCTGATAACTTGGTTCTTGACCTACATCTTTTAATACAAAAGTAAAAAGATTCCTTTATTCCGAAAAGACAGTTGCCCCTCTCAAAGCTTCAACTTCCTATTCTTAGAGCTGCACTGCGACATTTTCTAGGCCATGCTGGGGTGGAAGAACTCATCAACAAACCTTAAACATCTATGTTGAGCTGTCATGAAAAATATAACCAATCACAGCGCAGAGCGTCCATCACAGCAGCGTCCAAGCTCAGTTTGAGTTTAAAGAGAACGCACACATTGTAAATGTTAAATCGGCATGTTTTCTGAAGTTTCATAGTCAAAGACAAATCAGTATTTTGCACATTTTTTACTTTTTCATCTATATTAATTCAATTACCAGTAAACCTTTTCTTGAGTGATGTTTTGAAAGATCTTGTGTTTGAAACAGTGAAATCATGAAGAAATTGCCTATTTACTAAACCATGAGAGCGACATTCATTTGAGTTTTTCACTTAGACCAGTGCACTTCAGTAACTTGACTTTAAGCCTTTATGTATGTCAGAAGCTTGTGGTTTGTGTTTATAGTCTGAGTTTAATTATCAAACAGCATTTCAGTAAGCTTACTGTGTGCAGGAAAAAAGTTGTGTTGTCAGTAAATAAGGAGTAACACACTACAGGAAAACATCGGCTTTCATCTGACAACAATTTCATCCTTTTATGAAGGTGAGATCTCCAATCTATTGTCTAAAACGGCCGTGTGAGGGTCGCTTTAAAACCGCCTACCTTCTCTGGTCAGAACGAATACAGACGATTCAGGACCGGACTCAAAACTTAGACGTAGGACATACTGGCTGCTGCGCTGCTGTATGAGCAGCCTGCACTTCAGTATAGCATGTTTCCTTAATGTCTGAGGATATAGGAAGGTTACTTTAAAATGTACCTAAGTAGTCATTTTACACATTAATCCTTTCAGGATTAAATCCTATTTTTAGTGCGAGAGTGCCTTTTTGTTAAGATAAACAATAAACAGCTCTATGGATTTCCAAAAATAAAATCACTTAGGCTGTTATGTGCATTTGAGAATACACTGTGTGTGTGTGTGTGTGTGTGTGTGTGTGTGTGTGTGTGTGTGTGTGTGTGTGTGTGTGTGTGTGTGTGTGTGTGTGCTTGTGTCTAACCTCTTTGCGTGATGCATCGGCTCTGCCTTCTCACTCGAGTGTTTCTCAGAAACCTCCACTGTCGCTCCATCCTCACTTGACTCTCCAGGTCATGCTCCTCCGGGATCTGAAAGAGTGGATCAAAAAAAAAAAAAAAAAGAGTATAAAATATAGCATGTATCTAAATAAATAATGCACTAAGTTGAAAAGAATGAGTAAAGATTCAGATATTTCTACTGGTGCAGCATGTCAGCTTCAAAACTTTCTTAAAACCAAATTAAAATCTGAAATTAAATGTTTTTAGTGGAAAAGAAGACTTTGTTATAATAAAGAACACGGAAAGGGATAACATTTAATTCCTGCACAATCTGGGAAAAAACTGAAATTGAGAGCAGACCCTGGAGCTTTGATATTAAACTTCTTCTCACTGTTTCTCTATGGAAGGTGGCCTCTTGATGATGTTCAGTAAATCGACTGTTTTTGTCCCTGAGACAGATGACATGAGTAGAATGTACAAATCTAAACTCATAAAACTTCTGTAATGTTGATTTAGAAAACACTTTTAAGGGGCGTTGGTGACGTCCCATGTATGGGGGCTGTAGTCCTCCAAGCGGGCGGCCCAGTTTCGAATCCAACCTGTGGCTCCTTTCCCGCATGTCAATCCCCACTCTCTCTCTCTCCCTGATTTCCATCTCTATCCACTGTCCTATCTCTCCAAAAAAGCTATAAAAAAAAAAGTCTAAAAGAAAAAGAAAAGAAAACTAAAACACTTTGAAATCCCACCTTGTATTCCTTAAATACAATGACTTTGTGGTGCTTGTATTGCAAAGAGTACAATAAGCAGCTTGTCTCAAAAGGACTTAGACCCTGGTTGTGAGGTTACAGTATGATGTCAGACTGCACCGTTGTCCTCATTGAGTATATAAAGTTTTCCAATTTTCTCATCACATTAGAGGCCTGAAATTACTTTGCCGTTCACAATGTTAAGTGAGACTCATGCGGTTACTCAGCTAATGAGTCAAGGTGTCAAGTTCGCTTTATACAATCACATCTGTTCAGCAGAGGGACAATATGAAAAGGATTACCTTTATTAAATGTTACGTAACATAATCGGCCCCAACAGATTTTGTGTTGGCTTTATTTTAAGAGAACAGAATGACTCCCTTTTTAAACACGGCATTAAGGTATGCACAATGCAATATGAGGCTGATTAATGTCGATTTTCATTTGAAAGTATTAAAGTCATAAAGGAAAAACTTTGCAATTATTATGCATTTTAATGCACAAATAAATAAACAAAGGACTGTAAACAACTGTAATCGTGTGAGCCTTTCAGAGCTGGTTGCCACCACGTGCTTATTAAGCACATTTCTACAGCAAAGCCCCCATGCCCACTGAATGCTAAACAGCCTGACACACACACACACACACACACACACACACACACACACACACACACACATGTACAAAAGTGTGTTTCTGGGAGAGTATGGTCAACTCAGACTTAGCTGTAAATCTCATACAGTGTCTCTTGGGTTTAAGGATCCTGACTGAGCCTGAGAGGAGGCACATTTAGTAGTCAGACTGAGGCTGACATATCCCCACAGCTAACAGAGAGATATAGTGTGCACTGTGTGTGCGTGTGCGTGTGCGTGTGTGTGCGCTAAGCCAGCTGATACTGCGCTTCCCTGACTTGTGGTCCTGCACAGTGTCAGCTGCTAATGTGCTGTATAATGAGGCCCTGAGGTTTAAAAAAAAAAAAAAAAAAGTGTGCGAGACCCTTGCATACATTCTCCAAAGACGTCTACATGCTGTGGATTTACAGTTAAATCCCGAGTAAAACATAGAACATACAAATATGCACAAGTATTACACCCATGTCAATGTATATACAGTGGGTACGGAAAGTATTCAGACCCCTTCACTCTTTGTTTCATTGCAGCCATTTGCTAAAATCAAAAAAGTTCATTTTATTTCTCATTAATGTACACTCAGCACCCCATCTTGACAGAAAAAAAACAGAAATGTAGACATTTTTGCAAATTTATTAAAAAAGAAAAACTGAAATATCACATGGTCATAAGTATTCAGACCCTTTGCTCAGTATTGAGTAGAAGCACCCTTTTGAGCTAGTACAGCCATGAGTCTTCTTGGGAATGATGCAACAAGTTTTTCACACCTGGATTTGGGGATCCTCTGCCATTCTTCCTTGCAGATCCTCTCCAGTTCTGTCAGGTTGGATGATGAACGTTGGTGGACAGCCATTTTCAGGTCTCTCCGGAGATGCTCAATTGGGTTTAGGTCAGGGCTCTGGCTGGGCCAGTCAAGAATGGTCACAGAGTTGTTCTGAAGCCACTCCTTTGTTATTTTAGCTGTGTGCTTAGGGTCATTGTCTTGTTGGAAGGTGAACCTTCGGCCCAGTCTGAGGTCCTGAGCACTCTGGAAGAGGTTTTCTTCCAGGATATCTCTGTACTTGGCCGCATTCATCTTTCCTTCAATTGCAACCAGTCGTCCTGTCCCTGCAGCTGAAAAACACCCCCATAGCATGATGCTGCCACCACCATGTTTCACTGTTGGGATTGTATTGGGCAGGTGATGAGCAGTGCCTGGTTTTCTCCACACATACCGCTTAGAATTAAAGCCAAAAAGTTCAATCTTGGTCTCATCAAACCAGAGAATCTTCTTTCTCATAGTCTGGGAGTCCTTCATGTGTTTTTTGGTAAACTCTATGCAGGCTTTCATATGTCTTGCACTGAGGAGAGGCTTCCGTCGGGCCACTCTGCCATAAAGCCCCGACTGGTGGAGGGCTGCAGTGATAGTTGACTTTGTGGAACTTTCTCCCATCTCCCTATTGCATCTCTGGAGCTCAGCCACAGTGATCTTTGGGTTCTTCTTTACCTCTCTCACCAAGGCTCTTCTCCCACGATTGCTCAGTTTGGCTGGACGGCCAGGTCTGGGAAGAGTTCTGGTCGTCCCAAACTTCTTCCATTTAAGGATTATGGAGGCCACTGTGCTCTTAGGAACCTTGAGCGCTGCAGAAATTCTTTTGTAACCTTGGCCAGATCTGTGCCTTGCCACAATTCTGTCTCTGAGCTCCTTGGGCAATTCCTTCGACCTCATGATTATCATTTGCTCTGACATGCACTGTGAGCTGTAAGGTCTTATATAGACAGGTGTGTGCCTTTCCTAATCAAGTCCAATCAGTTTAATTAAACACAGCTGGACTCCAATGAAGGAGCAGAACCATCTCAAGGAGGATCAGAAGAAATGGACAGCATGTGAGTTAAATATGAGTGTCACAGCAAAGGGTCTGAATACTTATGACCATGTGATATTTCAGTTTTTCTTTTTTAATAAATTTGCAAAAATGTCTACATTTCTGTTTTTTTTTCTGTCAAGATGGGGTGCTGAGTGTACATTAATGAGAAATAAAATGAACTTTTTTGATTTTAGCAAATGGCTGCAATGAAACAAAGAGTGAAAAATGTGAAGGGGTCTGAATACTTTCCGTACCCACTGTATGTAATATGCTAACTAGAGGAATAGATTTGCAGCTTTACTGCCTCTGAATAGTTCAGCCTTCAGCCTGTGTACATGGGGCGTGCAACATAACTGTGAGGCTATCCAGCACCCGGAAGTGTTAAAGGTTTCAGGATTACGTTACTCTGTGAGCAAAGCCTTTTTAAAGTTCCTAGAGTCTGCTGTTAGTTTCACACTAGGGGTTAACCACATCAGTTGCAGAATCAAAGATTGAATCAGTACAAACATAACTATTGTGTGCTAAAGTATCAGTATTTTTAAAACTGGGGCCTATTCCTTTTAATATTTTTGTAACTTGAATGACTAACAGGGACAAACAGTGAAAGACCTGCTCCACTAGATTGCTTGATGAGAACATGTAACTAAACCTGTACCAACTGCAGCATTACGGAGTGTGTACCCTGGTTCAAATTGGCCCGTTGCCATCAAATAGCCTTACTGGCCACACAAATGCAGATGAAAGGTTTTGAAATCAAAGGAAAACGTGGTGAGCAGAGAGTGAGGGACAGGAGGAGTCAGAACAGGAGTCCAACATGAGGCCCATGAGTTGAGGACTGTAACCTCTGTATAGGGGGCACCTGCTCTACTGACCAAGCCAAAACCAGCATGGACTGTGCTTTTTCTTAAAAGGCATGTGTTAATAAATAATAATATCAATTAAAAAAAACACTGAAGTTGCAGTTAACCAGAAACTATTTTGTACTGCAAGGTTAGCTTTTTGTCAAAGGAGCCTGGAAGACATCGATGTAACAGGCAGATATTACTTAACAAAGAGAGTCTCACTATAACTGAAAGAGGAAGAGCAGCAGCAGTCCTTTGAGAAGCAGTAACTGTGGTGCAACCCATTTTACACTGTGTAAATAATCACTGTATGTTGTGACATTTAGATTTCCCTTCATTGGAACCCGAGAGTCAAACCCATTGTCTGTTAAACAGTAAACAGTGTGAGCTCTGCTTTAGCTCTTTCTCTCACTACCATTAACTTGTAACACATTTTTGGACAAGTCTTTATTATATATATAAAACATTCTCTCTCATGTGAATAAAGTCTTCAATGTCCTTGCCAAAACTGTTGGTATGGATACACTCTTTTTGTTCTCATGCTGCTGACACAGTGATATGATAACCTATGTGCAGACTTCGAAGCACACGCACACAGCTTTGTAACGAAGTGGAGTTTTATGACAGCACTCAAAATTTTGCTCACACAGCATTCTGATTTGCGATACGGCAAAAATTCCTCTCCCCCTCCCCCCCTTCACTGACTCTTCATCCAATCATTTCTCTATCTTTCATGGCCTTTTGTTGCTGCTTCTGGCTCCGTCTTCCTTTAGTCCTGATCGCTCTGTATATCATGCCCTTTGTAAAGAGTGAATCTCCTTCCACCTCCGTCTGTCTGCATGCTGTCTGTTCTCCTTTTTAAATATTTCATGTTCTTCATCTCTTAGTTTGACTTTGTTATGTGTGCTCTCTCTCCAGCTCTCCGACTCCTCTCTTTTGTCTCAAATGTCTTTGTGTTGATATTTTCTGATTATTTTCTCATTTTTAATCTTCTCTCCACTGCTTAAACTTTTTATCTTCTCCTCTATTTGACCCTCAAGTTTTACTCTTTTTCAAAAAAGAACCCTCCTCCTTTGTTTCACCTCGACAAAACACACTGAAACCATTTGCTTCAGCTTCATTTAATATAAGAATGGATGACATGTTCAGCATGCCCAAAGAGGGCGTAGCGTGATTTAATATTTAAGGAATTGACACCAACTCCTTTGCATAGTAAGAATCACTTCTTTTAATCTTTTCCCCACTGGAATCAGTCAGAGAGCTGGATTATTCAGTGAAACCATCTTGTTTTAGCAGCAGGTAGTTGCTAACCCTGGGATTGGTCCCGGCCCTGCTGTTCTCTGTTCAACGTATTATTATTTTCTAAAATGAATTCTGTAACACAGAGGCCGTGTCCTCAGATGACTAAGCCACTCCTGGGGCCATTAAATAAAACGGATGACAAACGAGCACCTGTGGCACCGCTTCACATAAATATTTATGTAAAAAGTGAGAATTACCTCTCATATCAGTACTACATTGTTGCTATGCAACCACTCTAAGCCGCTGTTCAAGAACTAGATTGCTTGGCAGAGGAATAGTAAAAAAAAAAAATGTTTTAATTATTGATTGAAAAAGGATGGATTTGCTCTTTTCCTCTTAAATTCAGTAATGTTGAACCTGCCTTTTATTGAAACAATTACTCAGCTGACATGTTGCTTTAAGGCGTCTCTATTATCACTGGGAAGCAAAAGCTTCTGGTTTATTACAGAACTATATTATATTATCACACATAAAAAGGTTGTCATGTAACTCTCACAGGCTGGGCTGAGTGAGAGGTGAGGACTTTGACGGGTTGATAAAGAGAAGTGACACTACCTTCATGACAGGCTGAGCAAAGTATTTGGCGCTCCAATCACAAAGGCCCGTCTGCAGCACGGCACTGATGTAGTTCCTGTGACCACAGGGCTCGTCTCCGTCTTCTCCCGCCTGAAGCAACACAAACCGTGATTCAACAAAGAACTTACTGTTAATGTGACCTACAAACTGTGTCATATAAAGAAGAGGATTTCTACCTGCTCAGGTCCTTGTCAAACATCTTGCGAGTGCGAGGGAACTGGTGCGAGTGAGGCGCCTGTCCTCCGAGCGTGGGGGTGTAGGGAGGCCGTGTGGCCGGCTGATCCCGGGCAGGGGGTTTGGGCACCTCGTTGGTCAGACTGGAGCTGCTGGTGCTGGGCATGGGAGGAGAGCCACTGGAGGAACAGAGAAGTGATTGGAATGATGAGAAAGAAATTGGCAGAAAAACTGTAACAAAGATAAAGACTCTTGTACGTCTTTGTCCCCACTAGCTATCTGTCCATGGTTCATATCAAACCCTGCATTTTCTTTTCTAGCCTATTATCGTATGATATCTATGTGGCACAATCTACATTGTGGAGATTTTTTTTAAATGACTCCTTTTGAAGAAAGAGATGAGGCATTAAAGGGTTCTTTCTGCTGCAGAGTTCATCAAATGATATTCTGTCTTCTTGCTAATATGAACCCTGTTTGCATGATCCACATGTTTTGGGTTTTGGTATATCTTGGTGTTGATGTGTGTGAGAGATCTTCCCTCACCCAGCCTGGTGGATGTGCGTTCCCTTGCTGGTGGGGCTGGCTGGGGCTGACTGGGTGAGAGATCCAGAGTCCAGGATCCTCTGCGGTCGGGCGTTCATCGTTGCCTGTCAGAAAACAAAATTGTTTTTGAACTTTTATGACTTAAGTCTTGACTTGTGTTTGTGTGTGTGTGCTGGTGTATGTGTACATTTGATGTATTTTTTACATTTATATGCTGCAGCTGTATTGCTCCAACAGAGTTTTGTTGTATAACATGCAATGAGAATAAGGATCTATCTATCTACATGTTTCTGCAGGAGTTGGGGATCGAACCCCTCCCTGCATAAAATCTAAATACTCCACCTGCTTTAACAGAGCTGGAAAAGTGCAGCACTTTACAAAGTTTGCCTACATTTGCAGAACTTTATCTCATTAAGTGGAGAAGGTAATATAACCTCTTCATTGTGAGCTGTCTAATGGCTGTTCACGAGGGAGGGGTAAACTTAATAAAGACAATAGAGGCAAAGGATCACTGATGAATAGCAGAGTTGTTGTTTACACAAGGCGGGTGCAGAGCAAACCCTGCACAGTGTAAATCGAGTTAACACAGGCAAAGAAATTTTACTACCTAGGATTGCCTCAGATTTGATTTCTATGCTAATTACAGAATTGTGGCAAGTATATTTTGTTTGTGCAAATGTATGTATCTGTGTGTGTGTGTGAGTGTGTGTGTGTGTGTGTGTGTGTGTGTGTGTGTGCGTGTGCGTGTGCGTGTGCGCGTGTGCATGTGTGTCTTAAAAACAGAGATGGAGGAAAAAGTTTTGAACGCAGAGTTTACACACAAAGAAATACAATCCAAAGACATCAGTTAGCAGGCTAAGCTGTTAGCGCTTCATTAAGAGGCAATTGGAAATGAAAAAAGACAGCAGTAAAGCCAGCTGAAAGGGTTATTATGGAAATGGTTTGGTCACTAATATACAAGTACCTTTTCTACTCCAGCACAACAAGATCAATATGATGAGAAGCTCATCTGAGAGTTACAAACAGGCTGCAGCAAAGAGCGGCTCCACACTAGTGTCTGGTCCACACATAAACAATCTTAAAAACAACGATGCAGCAGGGTGGATGAGTGGTTATCAGGCCTGTCCTGCACTCAGAATGTATTACCTTGACATTCAATGGGTATCCACTGCTTTACTGTGTGTCAAACAAGAGTTCCAGTAAAAGTTTGTATAATGCACATAGACTGTAAATACTAATGGATGAAGCCTGAGTGACATCACCCATCTGTTACAGCAGGGGGCACTGGAGGCTCATCGGCAGCAGCCGCCATGTTGGAAATCCCGTCTCAGCTGAACTTTCAGTCAATCTAACGAGAGGCTGAGAGCTGGAGGTGAGGCGGGTTTTAAGCCTTATGACAAACCGTTCCCACAGGCCAACCTGTCAATCATGTCAGCTACTCGCCTACAATGGATAACACGTATCTTTCATCAAATCTAAATGGAGCCATTTAAAAAAAATAATAAATCACCCCCCGTACAGTGTCTGCCCATAATGACAAAACTAATCAGACCTATTTTGTTTTTGAACCAGGCTGTAAACATGTTTATTTATGCCTCAAGAGAACACCCGACAAACTGCAGGATTTTGCACTTCCGCATTGGCTCCATTTTTTAAGACTGGAGGTTGCCGCTAGTTATTGAGCTAACAGAGCCCACACTGCTCAGGCAGAAAAACCAAACAAACTTCCCTTTAAGGCAAGAGCACATGCATTTTACCAGTTGCTGTGCCATGTGCCATGTACTGTATGTAGATGCAAGCTCATCAGTTAAAATGACAATTATGCAACTTGTTCATGGATTATTCATGACAAATGTGCATGTCATCAACATGTGGTAAATAAACATCACATGAACACAGGAGGCCACACGACTAATTTGCTGACTAGCGCTCCAGAATATAAGATATGGAAAACTGGAGCATTAGCGGGAAAGAGGGTAATCGTCTCTACCAGCTGCTACACTCCATGCTGGGAAACAGCTTGTCTTCCTTTTTCAACCCGCTCCCCATCACTTCCTCAGTCAATAATTGGCTGTAAAGCGAGTCAACAAGGCAAACAAGTTAGTGTGTGTAAAAAGACTAAGCTATTAGCGCGGGCTGGGCTAGGATAGAGGTGTGGAAGGTGATGACAGCTCAGAAAAAAACCTCTTAATGTTCCTGTTTAATTATTAAAGGTGCTACTGAAAAGTTCAGCTGGTGGAGGAGATGACAAACACTTCAATTATGTTTCAACATCTAAATCTGTAATTTGTGCTTCAGACGTTGTCCCTTGTGATTCTTTGGGTGACGGATTCAGTAAACAAGATCTCTTCTCCAGGGGTTTCTTCCATCTGTACCCTGCTAATGTTTTCTCATTTGAATCAAGTCTCTCAGGGTAGAGGGCTCTTAAATGATAATAACAAAGAAATCACTTGGCTTGAACCCCACATTGATGCATGGTGGAAGGACTGACGGAGGGAAGATAAAGATGCTGCAGATGAGAGTCACAGGCTAAGGAACAGTTCAGACTACAGGCGTCTTATAACCGATTCAAACGTCCTCCTCATCTGAGGAGACATCTGGTCTGTATCTGGACTATCTGGTAATGTGAGCGCTTACCAGATAAGAAAGTTTTGAACTGCCCAATCGCCACATAGACTTACCTCGGCTAACTCAATTCAGACTTGTTTGAATTTAAAATCTAAGATCAGGTTATTTACATCAGCTCGTTCTGAAACTCCCAAATGGTGTTGTACAGAAAATGTCAGAGGCTAAGCTAGCTGTAGCATACTATTGTGTCTGGATATTATAACTGGCACTCAAAATATCGCCCCCAGTCATGGCTGTAGAACGGGCAACAGTTGTTGACCCAATCTCTCCAAAATGTATCTGCTTATGTATCTGTATTTTATGAATTGGAGTATTCTTAAACTGTTTTTTAAATGTGTAAATAATCACGTGTCACCACTGTTCTCTGAATTAGCCATTAGGCGCCAGAGCTCTCGTAGGGCAGTCACACGAGCCTCCATCAGCAGTGATTGTCTTGTCCCAATGTACAAGACATCTTTTGGCCAGTCTGCTTTCTCTGCAAAGGGGGCAAAACTTTGGAACTCTCTGCCCACTGGCATAAAACTAGAGAGCAACAGTAATGCTTTTAACAGAGGACTCAAACAATGGCTAAAATCAAAACAACAGTGCTCACATGAATAGCTTCTGACTGGGTTATTGTTTGATCATGCTGCCTTTGCTCTACACTTTATGTCTATCTATTTATTCTCTCCTTATTGTTTTCTCTGTTTTCTCACTTTTCTCTCTATCTCAATTGCTTTCCTTTCAAAAGCCTCCTGTGGACCGGTGTTGAGAACTAGCATGCTTGCTAAAACACTTAAACAATGCATCTGATTCGTCCAATGTATCTGTGATGTCCATGACAAATAAAGTCTATTATTATTTCCCCGTGACATAAACTAAGAGAGCTCTTTCTGGCACACACTTCTCTCTATATTATCATCATTACTCCCAAGTCTTAAAAAGTACATTAGTCTGCTAGTCTCCTGTAACTTTACTGCTCAAACTCGATCACTCAGTCAAAGAAACAGGTTAAAAAAAGGAAAGACCCCCATGACAATGAGCCCAGCAAGAGGGAGCTATTATAAGCATTTAATGATCTCCTCATCTGAGAGCAAATATATTTTAATTAGCTGCTGACCTTGATTTCAAATCAATAACATTTGACATTTAAATCTTAATTAAAAGTACTGGATTCCCAGTTAAGCTGATGTTAGCACTTGTGAACTTGGAATGGATGTTGTCTGATTAAGTTATTGATGAGCTTTCTGCAAGAAAAGAAAAAAGAGTGGGCTTCATCTTTAACAGCTCATTAACTTTCAATAAGAAGACATTGAAGGGTGTAGACAGGCATTCCTTCTTAAATGTCAAACAGTTCCCTTTCAGACATTCAGGACTGCGTTTCCATCCTCATCTTTGTTTTGAATTTAGGATGATATATATGACAAATGAAACTTTCTTGGACTCGTCACACGCTGAAATGTGATACATCTCATCCCAGTCACCTTATTGTAAGCTCCTGTCAGGTGTTTTCATCTGTTAATGAGACAGAAGTGATGCCTCTCTGACCTAAACAAGAACAAGACATCTTTAGTGAGAAGACTTATTCTTTATTATGGTGATTTTAAAGGTTTGTAAACTCGGCCTACGGGTAGGTGTAAGACAAAGGAATTTACAGCATGCTGCTAAAACAGCCTCTTTGCCTTAAGGTGAGTTTGACTGTAAAAAGTTATCAGGATGAGATGTTCAATAAAAAAAACACTAGTAAGATTAAAATCATCTCAGAGATAAAAGGTTCCTCTTTGTCAAAATCAACAAAGCTTTAAAGGCTTTATATGTGATTTTTCACTCTTAAATATAATATAAATCAAGTATATCCTCTGAAAATAACTCTGTGAGTCATGACTGTCTACAATGGGTGTAACACCCGAGTCCCACTGTCTGTGATGTTTTCAGAGTTTTCAGAGTCCTATCTTCACTTTGTTTACATCGCCCGGACGGCCGGCTGACTCCTCCCCTCGTGTATAAAAGTTGTTTAATTGAGGGACTAGAGAAAAGAAGAATAACATACTGTACTCACTGCTTAACTGTGTTTCTAGATCACGCTCATTTCAGGTAAATTTACATGCAGTGTGAAGATACCAGCATAATAAAGATCACTAGCATTAGCATGCTAACACAACAATGCAGCGCGTCTTGTTTTGGTTTCATGTTGGTGCTCAAGGGCGACATCTACTGGATCAAAAAAATCACATATAAAGACTTTAACAGAGAACAAGGTAAAGTCACTTTCAACAGAAATGTGGAACAGAGCTGAAATAATAGAAACAGAATCAAGTTAGACTATCAAGTAGGGCTGCAGTAAACTATTTTATGAGTAATCAAATAATCTGTCGATTATTCCGCTGATGAATCGAGGAATTTGATAAGAAATAAAGTGTAGTTAGCCAACGTTTTCCATAAATCACTGGCTTTAATGGTCTCAACAACTTAGTTTCTCAGTTTGAAAAACATCACATTTTCATGCATTTTTTTCTTCTTCTATGAAACAGATAATAGGGAGGGTGGCAATGATGACGTAATCTAATTGGACGCAGTAATCGACCTGTCAGGTTAAATACAGATCTTTAGGTCAACTGGCCACACCGTTAGTTAGGCTGTTTACTTTCCTTAAAGCCTCCTACAATAACTGCTCCAAGCCAATCCTTGATTATTGGGTTTATTTTTTTTAATCTGAGGTTTAATCTGAAAAAATAAATAAAAATAAAATAAATATCTAAATAAACAGTTCCTTGGTACTTGCTTCTCAAGAGGGTAAATGAACTTAGTCTTCTGACTACTCAAAGTGCTTTTACACCACAGGTCACACCCAACCATTCACGCTCATTAACACACTGATGGTAGACACTGATATGTGAAGTGTCCATCAGTATTTGCTAATCCCATTCACAAACATTTACACATGTCCGACCAAGAAGGAGGCAACATGGGACATGTGCTGCAGGAGATGCTGGGGATGGGGACTTTGTAACCGGCTGAGCAGTTATCATTTCTTGACATGGCTTTTTGGTAGAGAAACCTGTAGACAAACATTCCCTATTGTATTCTAAGTAGAGATATCAAGGTAGGGGATAATGAAGGAAATGAGAAAAGAGAGAGAAATCCAGAAAGAGTGAATTTACTCCTTGGCAAGAGTGAAACTCTCTAAGGATCTTTCACTTCTTATACAGTGTTTGTTCGAATCAGTCATGTCTAAGTCAGTCTAAATATAAGACGGATTTATTGTCTGTTATTTTCCAAATCACTCAGGTCAGGTCAGGAATGCCGACTATTAAAATGACACAACCTTCTTATGTCACAATTTTTAAAACGTTGTTATTGTAGCTAAGACAACGTTTCTATTCAAAGAAGGGCATCATTATTTACTCAAACTGTTTCACAACAAAACGGTTACCCTGTTGCTTGTCGAAGTATGTTACCATATTCAACTGAATTAAAGGATTCTGCTTTTGAATGTTTAGTTTAGTCTTAAGGCACAGAAACCTCAACTTAGTCAGCTTGAATCTAAATCAACCAAGCTGTGATGGATTCAGACTGAAGATACCTTAACAGTGATGAGCAGGTGGAGCACTTGATTAAACAGTCTCATATCCATTTGACTGTGCAGTCTTGGGATTAAAGCACTGATAGAAATGGTTTTGTTCACCTAATTGTCTGTCAGATTGGAAATGTCTATAAATGCAACATCATATTTTTTTTGGGTTGGATTCAGTTCTATGCATTAGCAGGAAGTGATAATAAAGAATAGTGCTGCAGTGCCACACAGACAGTGCTGCACATTTGCTGGCACATAAAAAAATGTCTTTCGAGTTAAATTGTAAATCAAGCCCTGTTGTCTTTAACTGCAGTTAGAGGGGAGCGGCTGCTCTTCTGAAGAACTCTGCAATGTTTCATATGCAGTGTTTCATAGTGCACAGGGTGAACTCTGCAGTGTTTCATATGCAGTGTTTCATAGTGCACAGGGTGAACTCTGCAGTGTTTCATATGCAGTGTTTCATAGTGCACAGGGTGAACTCTGCAGTGTTTCATATGCAGTGTTTCATAGAGCACAGGGTGAACTCTGCAGTGTTTCATATGCAGTGTTTCATAGTGCACAGGGTGAACTCTGCAGTGTTTCATAGTGCACAAGGTGAGCTGGTGGTAGGAAACACCAGAAAAGTCTTCCTCCAGGTTAGGCTGGGTGGTGGGGACTACAGTGGTTATTATGGCTCCAGAAATTACGACAGCCTCTTCGCTCGGCTCGGCTCTGCCAAGCCTGGGGGACTCATTGCTCCTTAATTGCATTTGCACAAAAGTAATGGCGTTTTAGAGGAAAGAAAATGCCAGTAGGAGGGTGGGGGGTGTGTGTGCTTGAAACAGATCTTTTTTCACTGCATAATCACACGGTTTAAAAAAAGAACTGTGATATAGAGACAAGAAGTTAATTCTGACAGCCACCTTCATGTCGCACACAAAGATATATATGATATTTCTCCTCAGATGACTTCTAATGAGCACAATAGTTAAAAAAGAAAGTATTTTGAGCAAACACAAAAAGACTGAAACAAACTTCTACAACAGTCCCTTAATCATTGAGCATTTTATGTGTGAAGAGTTCAAGAGTGAAGGTCCAATCGCTTCATTGTCTTAAACTCATGAATTACCTTGTATGCTATGCTGTTGAGGACCTTCATAGCCAGATCCGATACTTCAGGAAAAGGGTCTGCGGCGAGATGTAGCAGCACTCTCCAGATCTGAGTATAAACACTGTTGAAGGACACACCTGGAAGAGACGCACACAAAGCAAACAGTTCAACATCTTGTAATGCTTAAGATGGCAATAACGATCATACATACATTTAATGAATACACCCAACATCACATACATCAGAGTGTCACTCTCATCACTCCCATCAGAGCTCATGAACACAGCAGAGCTTACAGCTGAGAGGTTGTGCACCTTGTCATGCTACTACACACTCAGGTCACTTTCTTCTGACGAGTTTAGGTAGCAGAGGGACAATGACCATCAATGTCAGGTAATGTATAATCATAATAATAATGTTAATAACTTTATTTATATAGCTCCTTTTAAAAACACAGGTTTACAAAGTGCTTTGACAAACAGCAAAAACAAGAAGAAACTAAACCAAACACAGAAGAACATAAACAACAGCAAGAACATAACAAATGCAAAATACTAAAAATAATTAAATACAATTTAACAGAAAAGAACCCAAAGTGCACGATACACAACCAGACATATATAACCTGACCATCACAAGAACCATCAGAAGAGCCCAGGCAACATGAGCTGAGACCAAGAGGAACAAAGATTTCAAAAGATGTAAGAAACTAAAAGAGCTCAAAGCAAGTCAAAAGAGAACAGCAATAAGAAGGTAAGAGCAGTAAAAGAAATAGAAACAAGTGGTTAAAGGATTAAAAAAAACCAAAAAAAAACCTATACTAATAAAAAGAAAAGGTATATCATTAATCAACACACATACACATCTTCATCCACCAATCTGTGGTGTTGTCTTTGCAAGGGACAACGCTACAGGTTTGTTTCTCAATTCATCTCCTCTGATTTCAGGAGAGCTGCTACCTGCCATCAGTTTGTTTTGCGACCTCAAACATTCAGTTATGATTCTCTTGGTGAAAGCAAACCTTCTTTATTTCGCTCTTGGTTATGCTCTTGACTTTAAAGTCTTTATATGTGATTTTTTGATCCAGCAGATGTCGCCCTTGAGCACCAGCATGAAACCAAAACAACTTGCGCTGCATTGTTGTGTTAGCATGCTAATGCTAGCGATCTTTATTCTGCTGGTATCTTCACACTGCATGTAAATTTACCTGAAATGAGCGTGATCTAGAAACACAGTTAAGCAGTGAGTACAGTATGTTATTCTTCTTTTCTCTAGTCCCTCAATTAAACAACTTTTATACACGAGGGGAGGAGCCAGCTGGCCGTCCCGGCGATGTAAACAAAGTGAAGATAGGACTCTGAAAACTCTGAAAACATCACAGACAGTGGGACTCGGGTGTTACACCCATTGTAGACAGTCATGACTCACAGAGTTATTTTCAGAGGATAACTTGCTTTAACACTTTGTCTCCACAATTTTCTGCTTTGTCCTCCTCTATATGTCCCGGCTCTGTCAGATACTAAATTTAGAAAGTCGTTTAGCTATCGTCCGAGAACGTTTTAGCAGAGCTGCAGCTAAGGCCAGTATCTCAGCTTCAATCAGATGTCTTTCACTCCTCCCTCAGGTTCAGCCAAGAGGAACCTAAGCAGTTGCCTCCAGCTGTCGTGTATTGAGATATAGTTCCCACTTTGCTGGTCCCTATACTTCTTTCTTCTCCTCATCAGATCTCACACCACCATGCAGAAGGTCTTGTAAACTTGACCTTTGAGAATGACCTCTCTTATTCCTTTCCTTTTTCATAATTCCATCTCTCTACTGCCCCCATGAGGCACACAGACAAAGACCTGGAGCGGCAAATCCCTAATGAATCTGTGGAGAGGTGGGAATGACTGAACCCTTGACCCTCTTCTATAAAGCTGAGATTTCTCTCCAGAGAGTGCCAAGATGGTTCAATGGTTCCTTGCTTCAAAGACAAGAAAGCAATGAGGGATGATTCCAAGAAAGGAGAGGAGGATAGAGAGCTACAACAAGGGAGGGGGAAGGAAGGATGAGACACAGAACAAGGAGGAATCTGGAAAAGGTGAGGCACAGAGAAGCCAGAGGGCGTAAAGATGGAGCAAAGAAAAAAGGGACTGGGACAAATGAGCTATTTGAGAAGCCTGTGTGCTGTAAAATATGGAAGAGATGAGTCAGAAAGGTAAATAGAGACGGAAAAGGGAAATGAGGAGGAAAAGGGGTAAAGAAATATAGAGGGCAAGAGTGAGAGAGGAGCAGCGAGTGAGGGAGGGAGTAGAGGAGGTGATTATGGAGTTGCCGGAGGGGCAGGATATGATTAGCAGTGGCTAGCCAGTGCGCTACCTGCTGCAGTAAACAGCCAGTTGATAAATGTGAAATATGGTTCCTCTCCTGTTTAACCGCAGAACTACATTTCAGTCACACAAATGACAGGCTGCACACCCTCTACAAAGTCCACATGAGAGAGGGCGACATGACTCACTGACTGCCGCAGCGACTCGTCCCGACGCAACACTTGACTTCTGCATATCAAAACGGATGTCCAGTAGTAGAGATGTTAATTATTGGCTAAATGAACCTCTGCTTCACAGTTTTTATGGCTTCATCCACATTTCTGGCAGACGACATAAAAAACTTTTAATACCAATGGAGCAGGTTTTTTGGGGAGCTGTAAATGTTTAAGTCATAAAAAATGCATCAGAACATTTGAAAGCAGAGAAGAAACTTCTCTGTGAGGGGTTTTTAAAATGTGTTTCACGGGGAGATGTACGCAGCGTAAGCAGCTCCAAATCATATCTGTGATGCTCGGTGAATGGTACAGCGCCTTAAAGGCACTGACACAGGTAGAAGTGAATGGAAGGCCTTGATGTGACAAAATATGTCAACGCAGTTTCAGCAAATGTTAGGCACACTTCTCCCCCCCACTGCATTTACATATTCCTTTTATCCAGAGGGTTTTAAAATGTTGCCTCTCATCTACCTCCTCTCTGACTCACAAACTCTCACATCACTGATGGCAGACATTCATGATTTTCACAAGATAAATCGACTGATTTTTGATGGAGTGAAAAAAAAAGAATTAATACATAAAATGTGAATCAATAAATCAGAACTGCAACCCTAGCCTGACTCCCACCAAGCTAAGTTATCATGTAGACTGGTCCCTGGCAGCTGCAGTGTTTAGCTTCTATGGTTCAACTTCACCGCTACCTTATAATAACTAAGGCCTTCAGTATTAGAAGCCTTCACTGTATCGCTGAACTTTTTATTCTTTGTAGAGGTAAAAAAAAAATGCTGTTGTAAAAAGAAAAAGAGGAACGAGTTCATGCATTTCCAGGCCAGATGACAAAACTAAGCCCAAAGGATTTTATAAGAACAACTTCAAACTAAGAAAAAGATACAAGCAAATGAGTGAGCAAAGAGAAGTGAAGTCTCAGCTGAGTTAGACAACCAAATATAAGTGACAACAAGATGTTTCATGCCTACATAATATTGAAATTGACAACGTGTACTGTAGTTTATATTTCTGCCTTTTCTTCATGCTCCTGAATTTTGCTCCCAACATCCGATGAACTAGACCGACCTGCTTGTTTATCCATGCAGTTGCTGCAAGCTGGGAGTTACAAACAAGCATGCTGTCTTTTAACCTGTTTCCACGGCGACCAAAAGCCAGCGTTAGGGGCCAACAATCAGCTTAAAAAAGGTTCAACTCAACATGGAGTGCTAAATTTGTGGGATAAAAGGGTAATGAGGGCAAGCGCTGTGTCAGGGTGCTATTACGTTGCATTTTTCATCAAATACTTATTTCACAGAGCTGCTTTTGCTTGGTAGCCATGCCCAGCTGGCTGAAATGAAGTGAATTCCTGTACTTTCACTGCTGTTTTAAACTTTTGGGGGTTAACGTAACCTCCAGTAGATCGCTCATGAAGCAGGCTGTAATGACTGCAACATGATTCCTTTTGGACAAATTTAACTGTACACAGCACGTCTGTCTGAAGTGCTTCTTTTTGTAATAGGTCAGTTATTAGTCGTTACAAATGTCTGACAGATATAGACTGGTGTTTTAGGAGCACATTGTTTTTTGTCATCTGAATTGTCCTTATATATTTCTTTTTAAAGCCAGTTTCTGGTAAAAAAAAAAAAAAAAAAGTCATATTATTCCTTAACAAAAAGGTCTATCTTTAAAGGGATGTCTTAGGTGATATTTCAGACACTGAGAATAAAAACTTTAGCCAATCAGTGGCAAACACAGGTTGTACTTTGATCAGGAACATTTGCTGCAGGATTTTGTTAAAGCCTCCAGTTTGTTTCGCAGCTGCCAGCAGAAGTAATCTACGGTGCACATATTGTTTTAAGAATCCGTCAACAAGGTTTTGAGTGAAACACAAAATTGGGCATTTATCTTTTTAAAAAAGTGTGCATGTGTACGAGTGCCACTAAATAAAGATACTAATTATTTTTGGTGTCTAGACAGCAGCTTGTGTTTGAGTTTAATCCAAGAGCAGAAGAAATTGGTCTGTTTTCTCAAAGGGCTGATGTGAAGCTGAGCTGAGCGTGAATGTCTCTCGTTCACCTAAAATAAGGTGGCATTCATTTAAAGAGCAAATCAAAGAAAACATGCTGAAAGGAAATTGCATTAAAGTACCTGAACCTACTTTCCTGCCAAGTTCAATTCACTGTTCTCCAGAGCTCAATTTACTTTTCCATTCGATTTTCCATTTTGACTCATTTTCCATTGAGCCTTGCAAAAAATCACACACTGGAACACGCCGGGGCAGCTGGGAGATTACAAAAGGGTGTGCAACTTAAAATGCAACAGTAAGGCACAAAGGCAGAGTGAGATAGTGAGATAGAGAGCGAAAGAGAGGGAGAATATTTCCGGGTTTTTTCTTTCCTCTTGTCCCAATGGGGTGGGAGTGAGTAAATGGTTTTCCTGCCTGCACACAAACCAGATGTCAGGACGCATGGTGGAGCCTGCCAATCACATGAGAAGAGGGGTAAGTGAGCAGGTTTGAGCTCAGCGTTTACCAGGAAAAGCACTTTAATGGTCTCAGGTGACTCATGCAGTCACCCCATCCTCTGCTGTCTTTTACACATCTGCAAAAGCTTTCTTTACACTTGTTCTAATCTTAGACTGGAAGCCTTCCCATCTGTCACTTCTTTTGTTTGCAGGGTTCTGCCCCGGTGAGGGAGGGCCTGAGCTTCGTCTTCCTAGTGTGCATTCTCCTGGTCATTGATTTTTTCACATTTATTCCTCTCATGCTTAGTCCTGGGAGATTTCTGCCATGGGATGGCAGATTCTCTGTGTTAAAACATGCAACAGTGTCACAGCCACTGACTCAGCAGAGTACATCCTCATCATTGATGCTGCTACCAGTCTTTGGATGCACATGTGGCATAATGCTCACCATGGAAAAACTGTATGCAAAGTTAATTTTTATAGCAGCCTTTCCAGAACTGAAGAATACCAAAACCCGATAAAATATTTAATAATATACAGCCCCGCCTTAAAAATATTTAATCACAGAACTCTGAACTGTCTATTTTCATAAACAAAATAATTTGATGTAAAAATGTAGGGTTAGTGCAATTACTGGTAAGTGGAAAAAAGTATTCCGGCCAAATACATGGATCACAATTTAGAGCAAGAAGGCAAGATTATAAAATGAAGTGTAAATTGAAACATTGAAACATGTTTTGTTTATTTGTTATCACTTATTTCCAACAGCAAACCTGCAAAACATTTAAGCCAATCAGTAGGTCACTGTCAACACTTTGGGATCCAGTAATCTGAATGTTGTAATAAAAACGATTTTTTTTTTTTAAATTTAAATTAAAAAATAAAACAATACAGCCTCTGTTGGCTTGATTAACATTGCTGTCTTTGTTGATCTGCCATTTGGAGGCAAAACCAGAAACAATTCTGAAAGAGATTATGCACTGACGCTCACATCCTGTAAAAAATGTTACAATGGTTTCTGCATTGTTCTGCCCATGTAGGAGACAAGCAGCACATCCTGAGTCTATTCACTCTAATGGATAGTGATAGACAAAGTAATAATTGAATGAATTATTTACAAGCAATAAATATTTCCAACAATGTGCCATTAAATCAGCTTTTTTAACATCTCTCTCATTTCTCTGTTCAAGCTGAACCATCAGTGAGGCTGACGTTAGCTCAAAACAGACTGACAGACTTTTAAAGGGACCTGCACATACAAACCATGCCCACTAAGGAAACAGGAAGTGAAAACCATTAATTTTTTTAAAGGCTTTATTTTGGGGGCTTTTTATGCCTCCATTTAGAGACAGGACAGTGGACAGAGTCAGAAATCTGGTAAAGAGAGAGAGAGAGAGAGAGAGAGAGAGCGAGGGGAATGACATGTGGGAAAGGAGCCACAGGTCAGATTCTAACCCGGGTCAACCACCTGGACTAAAGCCTCCATACACGGGGTGTGCACACTAACCACTTGACCAGTGTAAACCATTTCTTATATTTGTGTGGCTTGAAATGCCTCAACTTTGTTCATGAGAATCTTAAATAAACTATTTAAAGTTGGAATGGATTTCAGAGTTGATAACTCTCTGATGGGAGAAGAAATGCAAAAAAAAAAATTAAACACCTACCCCATTGAGATGCTCTGATTTTTAAACTTTAGATTGGGTCTTTTAGAAAAGAAAAGAAAAAGTATCCTACGCTTCCCAGAATACAACTCAGTATCTCTTTGCAGAACCTCACTGCCTGGTTAATGCCCACCAACATCCTGCACCAAGTTTTGCATCATTGGCTTTGCATAAAAAATGTGTCATCTCCAAGCATTAGCTGAGATAACACAAAACCTGACAATGACATCATTACTGATGTTTTCTCTAAGCCCCAGCAGCACAAAAGACATAAAAGAACTGTCACAGGCGGATGGCAGTCACCACTACTTTTTCATGTACCTTTTTGTGCAGAACTGATGGAAAAGGATGAATGAACAACAATGAAGAGAGTGTTTTGAAATGAAACACACATGCAGGCCTGATAGAGCCGAAGGATGACGGACAAGCTGTTACCTATGAGGGAGTTGAGGGATGAATAGGAGGAAACCCGTCTCATTTTGTCAATGGTCTCGAAAGAGAGGATGTACTCGTCGTTATCTGGACTCCCCAGGGTGCTGCTGGCGCTGCTGCTGGTGCTCAGGTTACCAGGAGAGAAGGCTGGTGGTCCACCTTGATGAAGACAGACATGTACACACGAAGGCACTAAATTCAATCATCCACAAAAAATTCACAACACTCTTAAATCTTAAACAAGAAGGAGCTTTTCTTTGTAGAGACAAGCAGGTTTGCTGCTTTAAATGTGTTTTGTAAAAGATAAAATTATTAACGTTGTTGTAAAAGGACAAAATAATCAAATCAACTTCCTCAGCTGTAATATGAGTAACTGTGACAGAGGCCCAGAAGTCCACACAATACTGGAACTTTCTTGTGACTTAATTCCAGATGCCAGGCTCAGTCATCCTTTGCAGTAACTCTCCTGATCACCAAACATTACTCTGCCTCATACAAACCAAAGAGCCATGCATCTTGTGAACCGACTGCAGGCTGAAATGTGGAAATGGAGATTGGTAGAGAATGAAAATAGCTCTGTGCCTATTGATGATAAACACCGCTCCATATTGGAATAAGAACTGAGAATATGAATTAGAAGTGGGTGTCAGCAGTGGGTTACAGGCTTCACCAAGTGCCATTGATTTAGGTCCACTCAGGGCTTATGTGTTACTCCGTCTGGCAGAGATAGACAGAGGGCAGGCAGTTAGCTTTAGCTGTTTGAACCACAGCAAACAGGAGGCAAAAAGCTCAGAAGTGACAGCAGGTCATGAGTTCACATAGCTGCGGATGTTTGGGTGACATGACCGGGGGGCATTAAAGCTGAAATGGCCTTTTAAGGATATCCATCATTATCATGCTTCTATTTTTAGAAGCACTATTCTTTAAAGTCACAGTGAAACCTCACGTCTTTTCAAACCTTGAACTTTTAAAAGTGCAGATAGTCATCTCAAGAAAATCATGGACATTATCCACATGGAATGAGTAGGCCATCTCAAATTTAGAAGTAGTTACATCATCAAACATGCAAACACACCAAATGATGCATCCCGTTTGGTTGTAGGTTTTTAAAGCTCTTCCCCACAGCTACATCGATATAAAAGCAGTGTAACTGATAAATTCAATGCCTTTACCTGATGCCTATTCAAGGCCCTTAACAACCTTTCTATCGACTCCCTGAACTGTCCAAAAAGAACAACCCTCAGATGACTTGGCACTCAGACAAATATTCAAACCCACTGCTAAATTCTTCTACAATGATTATTCACAGAAAATGAAGTAAATGTAGGAAAAGTAAAAAGAGGGGAAGTACACTGTACACTCTAAGCAGATCAGCACCACGGACAGCTCCCAGCCACCAATGGTTTTCAGGCAGACAAAGTGAGGACTACACATCCATCAGACTTCTGTGAATTCAGCTGAACTGAACTTGGAGTTTGTTTTCTGCCCTCCAAGTCTCACAGACGCATTGTGTTAACATTTTTGGGCCAGAGCTTGTGGGACATAATGATGTCACACTGAAGTGGACAATTGAGGTTACTATGGTCACATCTCCTTTTTTTTTTAACCCGTCATAACAATCATGTCATTATTATGAGTTAAAGCCAAAAAACATTTAATAAGAGATCACTGTCATCCTTGAACACCAAACTCTAATCAGGACATCCTTGAGTGATACATCACAATATGTTCAAATGTTAAGATTTTCTCTCCAAGCATTTTTGAGAAACTACGGCATAAAAGACAAATACGCCAACAACAACAAACCTTAGGTTTAAAGCCATATGGCTGGTGAGAGAAATCTCTTCGGGGCAATTAGTCAATTTAAAAAAAAGGGGGTTTTCAAAGTCTCAAGAACAAATTGAAAAAAAAGAACCTTAATTTAATTCAAGATGACAAGTTTATCTACTTAAAGTCCTTTCGATGGGCACTAGTGCTCCAAAAATGGAGAGCCCTTCACAGCTGGAAGTGTTTTTTTTTTTTAATATTGAATAAAACTGCATACTGAAGGGATAGTGCTGAAGGGCCCAAAAGTTCACCAGTGAAGAGAGAGAATCCTTTTGAAAGGCTAAAACTTCACAATTATTGTTACACCACCCAAATGAACAGCATCAATTACCACTATGACAAGCATTTTCCAGTCACTTGTGTGTGTGAGAGCTGGATTAGAATAAACATCAGAACACTTCATTGTTGTCCGTTCTTAACAAACTGGTCACAGTTTCACTCCTTGTCGTGAAGCGTCATATAAATGCTGACTGAGGGAAATGTGAGCTGTTACAGATGAAGAGGAGGAAAATTCTATAAGATGTGCTTACATGCTTTCTTGGATACATTTTTTTTTCATTCAGTTGACGTAAATCTTTGTCTTCATTGAATCCTAATCCAAATGTTTATCTAAACGTCTGACCTCATCTTGTTTACTCATCTTCTCTTTACCTCATCTGTCTTTGTTTTATTGCTCCGTCTATTTCACTCCCTCTCTCTCTCTCTCTCTCTTACCCTCTTCATTGAGGTTGAGGTTCTGCAGGCTCTTGTTCAGGCGGGCAGTGGTGGCAGCTCGGATGTTGGTGTAGGAGTTGACCGATCGCAGGCGTGGGATGGCCGGGCTGTCCCTCACTGGCGTCAGGTTGCCGGGCTCTGGACATAAAAACACACGAGGACATACATCAGGTCAGAGGCTGGATAATCAACCGTCCCATGATAATTAATGATCTTCTAATGATTGGAGGTTTTAAGACAAAAGAAGATTTGAGACCAGACAAGTTGAAACTTCAAACTCAGTGCAATGTGCCCGCCTGCAATGTTTTGAAAAGCTACAGCTTTACACTCACACAGCTGGAACAGACAGTGGATCATCTGAATAGCAAAGACCTTCTGCCCTAGTGTTCTTACTGCTGGATATTCTTGCTTTTTACTGCAGCTTTTTAAATATTAATGAGCAAAGCAATAAAGAATGTTTCTGCAACAGTTGCATATCTGGTGTTAATGCAGAGAAGCAATAACTCAAAAAACACTGCAAGAGATCTCTCTTATAACAGCAGGTGAGCCACAGCCAACACCTGACAAAAACAAACACAGTATGACATTATTGTGTTGGGCATGTTTCATCACACACGGATGAAGAGATTGGGTTTGTTTGTTTGTTTGTTGACATGCATTTTAAGGCTTTGTCATACAAACATGGCTGTTGACTAAACAAAGTGATCCTCTCGTCATAACAGAGCCCCTCTAACATGACTTGGAGGCCCGGCTATCAGCAGGCATGACTGGAGCTGACTAAGTAGAAACCGCAGCACGTTATCCCCTACCAAGGCCAAAACCCACTTTGTGTCTGTGAAAGAAATAAGATCCCAATCTGAAATAAAACATGCATAGATTTATTCTTCTGTGAAACACAAATATAGATAAAGAGCACAAAACAAATAAAGAGAAATACTGTGTTTTATTGTTCTTGTGTACCTGCCCCGGGGACTGCAGATGGAAATGAGCTTGTAGCGAAATCCAGTTCATAATATCCTTGAGATTCATCTATGTGTCTTTCTCCATACTCGCTTATAAAAGTAATTTTATTTAAAAAAAATACTAATATAGCTGTAAGTGCTTTCTCATCGATTACAGAGAGAAGAGCCTGTATGAATTCCCTGATGAGGTGAAACATCAGTCTATGGAGGAATTGAAAACCCAGTAGGAACACGGTTGTTAATGTTACATGAATCCTCAACCTGAAGTGGAATAACTGAAGTAAATACATTTAAAAAAATATGTCAAAGATAAACTTAAATGAAGAACATTCTTGACAGACATCAATATTTTAAACAGCTTGTTTGACTAATTCAGGACTGGGATTCTCCTTCATTCATCTCCAGTCAGACAAACATCTGTCTCTTTAAGATGAACTCACTAAAGCTGAATGCCAAATATACAAACACATGGGAATGCTTGTATTGTGAAACAAAATTTTAGCTCTGCATGTGTGTGTGTGTGTGTGTGTGTGTGTGTGTGTGTGTGTGTGTGTGTGTGTGTGTGTGTGTGTGTGTGTGTGTGTGTGTGTGTGTGTGTGTGTGTGTGTGTGTGTGTGTCTACAGTACCTGCAGTGTTGGCTGGTGACGGCACTGAGTAGTTCTTTTCTTCCTCTATAAACTGAAGGGCAACTGTACAGAAGTTGCTCTCATACTGGACAACCAAGTGACTCAGTGCAACAACCAGCTCCTGTGAAACACACACAAAGGTTCAAGTAAGAGTTCTCCAGGTAGAACAGTGAGAATCAGTAAAAAGGTGCTTTCCAACATTGTGAAGATAAAGCTAAAAACACATGTTGTAATATTCACACTCCTTAAGCTATTTCTTTAATGAAATCCTGAAGTAATGATGATGGACATTTGGATATACTGTATGCTTGTGCGACTTTTTGCCAAGAGAGAGATGAGGAGATGGATTGATACCCGGTGACGTGTGTGTGTGTTGAGTATTAAGCAGGGAGGTGATGAGCTTAGAATAAGGACTAGAATCAAGCCCAACTGTTACAGAAAATGGCAAGGTGCAGTGACTTCTTGCTTTGGGGTACATGCTAAGCTTAATGAATGTGGCCTGCATGCATTAGTTGTTTGAGGTGAGCTTCAGGTATAGCTCACTCAATGTTTTCTCTGTGGCCTTGTGTTTATTGTATATAGTGTTACATGTTGTCTTGTTGTGTGCACGTTACATTTACTTTAGTTTTTTTTTTTGGTACATTGTTATGTCTGCTCAATGCTGCTCCATGTCTGTCCTGCATGATATACATTTTTTATATTAACCAAATGCTGCTTTATGTGTATCCAGCATGGTTTATGTATTTTCTCCTGTGGCTGCTCACCTGTCTGCTTAATCACTGTCATGATATTTCTATTTTTGTAGCTTTGAATTTGTTTTTTTTTAGGGAGCCTTTTATAAAATCTGGCCAGGGCCAACAGATGAAAATTAGCTAATAAACTCTTGGCCTGCAGCTCTGCAACCTCTCCTTACAACCGCCATCATTTTAACGATGTTTAATAAAGATACAAAATCTTCCACTTCCCAGTAAGTGAGTCATTCCACTCGTTAAATGATCTTGGTTGGACCAGAATGTCACAAGCTCAACCTCAAACCATGGCTGTGTCTATTCAATCTAGCACTTTATTTAGTGGCCTTACTAACATATGTATATGATAAGCCTGCACGGGTGTGTGTTGTTGTGTTGACCTTGCGGACTACAGGACTGCCGTCGTTGATGAGCTGGGCCAGCATCATGGCCACGTTATGGTCGATGGTGGTGGAGTGGTCCGTCCTCTCAGCGGAGTTCCCCACAAACGTCCCCAGAGCAAAAACAGCTGCACACCTCACCTGCAGCCACAAAAAACACAACACTTCTTAAAAAAGACAACGTTAACAGCTTTTTGTCCATTATAGACGAGCACATGTCTGTCATTTAGAGTTTGACCTTCTGCTCTGAAACTCAGATATTTGCTTGTCAGACACAAAAATGCTGACATGTTTTGAGAGACCAGTGGATGAAAGTTGTGGCATTAATTAAACCAGTTTAATGTTAAACTGGTTAAATGTGTCTCAACGGAATGCACTGGAGATGATCTGTGACGACACTCTCTCTGCATGCTCTGTTCCATGTTTATCTAAAGTCGCCGTAGCACAAAGCACATTTTCCATGAGGGATTAGTTCAGAAACCGAACCAAAACACAGAACAAGACTGAACATTTGTAAATAGCTTGTGGTGGAGAGGGAGACTTCACATTTAGCAGAGAACAGGATAAATGATCACAGCTACTGTTTAATCTTGTGATGCAGCTTAAGTGATGCTGCAGCAAACAGATGCTGCTCTGATGGGGTTTGCTTCTCTCTAATTGACATGATCAGTTGAAACATTTCAGGAACATATTGTGATTGCACTGTGACTTGAAAGCAAACTGAAACACAAGACTGTAACACTGGAATGTATTTTTAATCTGCCGTCTTCATTATTCATGAAACTTTCTGTACGTACTGAAAGTATTTACTGCAGTCTCATAGAATAGACCTTTATTTACCCTCTACTCAGATGTGTTGATTTCAATCTTTGGCATTTTTTGAGGCAATTGTTCATGCTTTTTTTTGGTACTGTATAGATATTCACAAACACAGCCAAAATCCATATCCAATGGATTCTTTTGGGCATCTGTTCTTATACCTGACACAATCAAAGATGGCTACACCAATCAATAAACACTGTAACAAAAGAAGATGTCGCCCTTAAGCACCAGCATGAAACCAAAACAACTCGCGCTGCATTGTTGTGTTAGCATGCTAATGCTAGCGATCTTTATTATGCTGGTATCTTCACACTGCATGTAAATTTACCTGAAATGAGCGTGATCTAGAAACACAGTTAAGCAGTGAGTACAGTATGTTATTCTTCTTTTCTCTAGTCCCTCAATTAAACAACTTTTATACGTGAGATGAGGAGTCAGCCGGCCGTCCCGGCGATGTAAACAAAGTGAAGATAGGACTCTGAAAACTCTGAAAACATCACAGACAGTGGGACTCGGGTGTTACACCCATTGTAGACAGTCATGACTCACAGAGTTATTTTCAGAGGATAGACTTGATTTATATTATATTTAAGTGTGAAAAATCACATAAAAAGCCTTTAAGTGAAATAAATGCACAAACATGAAGTAAAAAAGCGTAACTGTGATCTTGTGTCTGTATATGTATTGTGTGTATATGTATATGTGTGTGGGCACTGCCAGATGTGTCTGTAGACCTCCGTTTCAACCCCACAGCCAGAGCAGCTGAGCGTCCAGGAGAAGGGGGAGTTAATCATGAAAGCAGATGTTCCTGTTGTGTTTGTGTGTGAATGGATGCATATATTTGAGAGTGAGGGCATCGAGTGTCTGGGTGAACTTCAGGGTAACACTCTGTCTCACAGTCCCTCTGGTCCAAACAAGACAGAGTCAAATACAGACGATCGTGTTGAAACATAGCTAGTGAGAAATTGTTTCAATGCCTCTGTCTGTTTCCTCCAAGTGTGTTTGAGCATGTGTGTGTTTGTGAGCATTTTCTTTCACTAAACTGTCTCTTTTAGATCTTTTAGGAACATGCAGAAACACAAGAGGATAAACGTTTTTCTTCCATGGTTGAAGTGTTGATATTGATCAAGTGATAGAAAATAGTGAACTTTGAGACATAAGATGTCTGAGAGCCAACAGAATCATCTTAACAAAAAGAGCAAACTAAACACTTGGAGGAATGTGCAGCTTTAACAAAATGTTGCTGAAAACCTTAATCAAGGATTTTAATTAAAGACATTATAACGAGTGGATGAGTTAAGCTTTGAAAACATCAGATGTGTGTGTACTTAGAGCAGGAACATCTGTCTACATCCATCTCCAAATAAATACAAGTGATTCTTACAGTATTTATTGTAAAGCAGTCGATTCATCCTGTATAAAAAAAGTGTCATCTCTAGTTCTTTATATCTCTCCCTAAAATGGGACATTTTTTTTCATTGCTTCAGTGTGATGAGATGTAAGCGCACTTACAAAACATAGTTTTAATTATTTTATACAGGATAAAGCTTGTTCCTGGAACCAGTTCAGAAAACTACAATGCAAACATTTATCAAGTGATGTTTGTGTCTGCTCGTTTTTAAGATTTTCTGTTTCTGCAAATAAGAGAAGCAATGGATTTTTCACAGGAGAGATCGTTGTGACAAAAACACAGCTAGAGCTGGAAAACATGTTTTAAGTCTTACACAAAAAAAACTGTGTGTGTAATTGTGTGATGAAAAAGTGCTCGAGACAGTGACTGATCTTAACCAACTAGTGATGAATAAATCCTTAAATAAATGAAATCAGGGCTTCTTGGACTCACATTTGTGTATTGCAGGATTGAAAAAGTAACCAGAAACATAAGTATGTTTCTGGTTACTTTTTCAAACATAGTAGTACTCTAATATTAACCTCTCACCTCAGGAATGGGATCTGACAGCAGGGTGTAGAGCTTTTCGTGGGCACTGTCCCGAACTCCACACCAGCGCGCCGGGTCAAAGTTCTGCCAGATTCGGCCGAGGCAAATGGCCACCCACTGGCGGAGCAGGGGGTGAGGGTCCGACAGCTGCTCCAGGCAGTTGGCTATTAGATTGCCCTGCAGACAGGCCTCCTGGACGGTGAGAGGAGGGGTAGAGAGAGGCAGATGTTCAGATGTGCACTTTGCACTTTCAGATTTTAACAGGGGGATTATCTACAAAAGTGTACGTTCAAGAAATGTATCAAGACTTTGAGAAGGTCTAAAGTAGTGAAGAGGAGAGGCGATTTATGTAAGATATAATCTTCACTAAGTCCAGCTCCTTCAACCAATCAAAAGTGCACGCTGAACTTACATCTGATAAACCATTGTTTGTCTTTTTCATTCATTGAAGAAATGTACAGTATACATCAGTGTTAACCATCCTGTGCAGCAGAGAGGCTCCAGGCTGAGTGCAGACTTGTAGCTTATTAGTCAGTTCATCAGCACTAACCTGTAACCTCACACTGTGCAACGGACTACAAGATGATGAACCCTTCAGCCCTCTAACAGTCTTTCTTTGTGAGCTAACGGTAATTGTTCCATCAAGGTTTGAGCCAGTCTGAAATACGATGGAAAGACTGGTGGCAAAATAAATACAGTTAAAAAAAAAAAAAATTTCATTGATTGATTGAACACTCTCTTCTTCTTAACACGTTTTCTTCTTTTCATGAAGTAACACAAGAGAAATAAAGCTGAATTACAGCTAAGGACATTAACTAAATAAAAGATTGTCTTGAGCATTACAACAAGTACAGGCGAGAGTAAAAATCACCTGTTCACTGGCTCACACGCTGCATTGGGTCACAATGAACTTGATTTGAACATCAGTTTAGCGACAACGTACCACTGTGCTGCTCTGATTTCCTTTTTTATTAAAACGGATATTTTGTCCATTGCTATCACTTTTACCTCACCACTCTTCTGTTCAGTGTTAATCAACTGTGAATAAACGGAAGAACATTCTGCAAAAACTGTGATTCACAATTTAAGGTTAGCAGCTCTCTGAGACACTGAAAGACTTTTTTCAGTCTTTAGGCTTTTCTCGCTGATCTCTCTGTTCTCCTTCTACATATCTGATCGACATCCGTTTGAATGAATAGCCCTAAGAGAAGGTCTAGTGATCAGATGTAATAAAATCCCCTTTAACCCTATTGGAACATCTTGTAACCATGGTTTCATGTCACATAAAAAGTCTACATCAATGTGCGTTAAGGAGAATCATTAAGATTACTCTTTATATTAAATTTGGTGGCAGCTTGTTCTTTTTTTTTCATCTGATGTTTATAATTGAAAGTCCCCGTCAATATAAAACACTTTCATAAAACGTTCACAAAGTATAGCGGTACGTTTGTGTTCACACTGATGAAATGAACCAGAATTTTGGGGTCAAGCGTACTCGACTGGGCCAGGGTCCCCAGTGTGAAACCACCCTGTGTTTCAACAAGACATATGCTATAAAATCTGAAGATGAGACATGTGTTCTTCTTTGCTCTACAGTTGGGGTAGAAAAGGCGATTCATAATTTAGGGTAAATCTGTCACTCCAACAACACAACAGTCGTGTCAATGCGTGTCAATGCTCAGTACTCAGATTTCCATGTGAACAAAAATCCCTTCAACACAACGACTAATTCCCACATAAACCACTTCAAATATACCTTTACGTGTGCTGAAAATCCTTTAGTCTGCTACAGATTGAGACGTTTTAACAACACATCTTTTATCAACAGTGTCATATTGTTCGCCCATCTCTCCTCAACCCCTCCTCCTTCTACTTTCATAAAACCCCTCAGACTGCTGGTGCGTCGTTCCCTCAGCTCTGATTGAGTCCCCCAGCTGAAGCCTGAGAGCAGGAATATTAAGACGCCCGTGCTCGGTGACACGCTCGCAACAGCGATATAGCAGTAATGAGTGCTGTTGTTGAAGGTAAGGAGGATAAATAATGGAGATGTGGAGCGCGCACAGAGACTCTCTGTAATGTTGGTGGATAATCTATTATTTACAGACTGGGAGAGAGGTAGGAGCATTAAGGAACCTCGGTATGGAAGAAGAATGGCTCCTTCGGAGCTTGAGAGCACATACGGCTTTTCTGATTTGTCACGTTTATATAATGTTTAGTGGGAAGTACAGTAAGGAAGGGAAGAGGAAAATAATGAATCAAAAAGAGAGTTACAAGCAGACAGAAATATAACTGTGGAGAGCCCGAGAGAGACGCCAGGGGGAGTGATGGTGGAATATTTCTTTGTGTTTTGGTCGGTGAGATGACAAGCTACATCATCGCACCCTCGGACGTTTGATCAGCGTCAGACACAAAAGGCTTTTGGGCTTGAACACCGGGGGCCAAAGTGACACTTGTTGTGATAAAGTGTCAGCATGGAGGTGGCTGGGATGGAGACAGAGATTATAAAGGTGACTGTTGGTGACAAAACTGTCACATAACCAATATCTCCCGGAAATACACCGTGGGCGAGAGAGTCGTCTCTCACAGTGACGGCTGGCTGGCCCCAAAGCAACTCGCTGAGGTTCTTCTGATGAAGAAGGTGAAGGAGTTACAGAGAACATTCTTCCTTTGGGCTAGTAGCAAGCAAACAGACGGACAGCAGTACAGACTACATACCTGTCCTGTGGTGTAGCTGTTGACAATAACAGCTAATATGAAGACAGCCATGGTCCGATGCTCAGCCTGTAACAACATAAAAGAAACTCTGAAATATCATGTTAAAGCCCCTCTCCAGTTTAAATGGGACATGTTAATGGTATTACATCTGATTATTGAACACACAGGCCTTTTCTGTTGCACAAAGAACATCAACCCAGTCGGTCAGTCCGGCTGGACTTGTACTTAAGGTCAACACAGTAACTTTCATACTAGCCCTTGAAATCTTTCATTTAAAGAGATACTTCAAACCATTTGCATTAATCTTTGTATCATTAGAAACCTGGTAGTATTTTTGAATGGTCGTGCATCCCGCCCTCATTTTCCCCTGAGATGAGAAATCTTTGTATTTCTGAGTCTGAAAAGGAGCTTCCAGTGACGCAAAAATCATAATTTTGCGTCACTGGAAGCTGTTGCGGTTAGCGAGGTGAAACTACAATGCTAGTTCCTCATATTTTCGACCACTGAAGCTACAGACCAATCACAGATCAGTGGGTGGGAACTCACTGCCATGATCGAAACTTAACGTCCGCCATATTGCTTGGAAGCTATGCTAACAGGCTCTATGGAGAAAGCTGATAATGGTGAAAAAATATAAATATAGCGGCAAGACAACTGCTGCTGACAGGCCGGTCTTGTGTTTTGGCTCAAGTATTTCTGTTTCTGATTCTGAACTAGAGGACCTTAGTGGGAGTGGCCTGCGATGCTGTGCATTCTGGGATTTGTTGTCTTTCATCCACATGAGCCAAAAAGACACTTTCTGCCTTTTCTCGTCCAAGAAGGCACCAACTTCAAAATGTATTTCACATTTCTACTACATATATGACCCAATGTCAATACAGATTCATGTTTCAACGAGTGAAGTATCCCTTTAAGTGTTTAAGAAAACAGTGCGGAAAACATTTATCTTTAAATGATGGTCCATTAACACAATCCCAATAGTCACTTTGCCCTTAAATGCACAAACAGGATTTGTTGATACTCACTGGCATGTAACTGTCAGCCAACACCGACAGGAAGTACTTGTGTCCGTTGTCTTTAACCAGGTCAGCCTGGCATGACTGCAGAGAAAGAATTGTGTTAGTAGTAATTTTTTTTTAACTTTGTATAACAAAATGATGTTTAAAAAAAACATTGAAATGTTGAAATCTGTGTTCCGAGACAAGACCAAGAGATTTAGAGATTGAGACCCAGTCAAGGCCAAGGCCAAGGGACAAGGGACAGACTAAGACCAAGATCATAAACATCACAGAAAAATCATCATCTTGTGTGCAGTGGGCGTGTCACTCACTTAGACCGTAAAACACCACGCAATAAAAATCAAATTATGAATTAATTAATGTGAATTGTTCTTTTAGAAAGGGGTGATTTCCTTGAAACAAAGTAATGACATGGAAAAATAGCCTATCAGTGGTGGTCAACCCAGTCCGAGGCCAAGTCAAAATGCTTTCGATTCCGAGACAAGACTGAGACTTTCAAAAGTGGTCTCGAGACCAAGACCGATGTCGAGTATTACAACACTCTAGTTATCTGAATGTAGCAACAAATTAGAAATAAGAATGTTACAATATTAAAATAAAACATGTGTGAATAAGGATGAAATGTATTTCTCTGGGTTCTGCAGACATCACCGTCAGGACACACTGACTTTGATGAACGCATGCAGAGAAAGAAAAGTGTGTGACAGTGTGAACACAGTTTGTGCTCGAGCAGGGCTGTTCTTCTGTCGCGTCTTTGCAAAATCATCAGTGAAAATAAGTCTATAAAGTCATAAAGACCCTGAAAACTGTGCACATACACCCTAACATATTTGACTGATAGATCCTTTCTTATTCACACTCATTTTCTTCCATTGTTAGTCATTTTGTGCAGCAAACAGCATTCATACAATGTCAAGAGGCTGTAAATTAAGAAATAAGAAGTCTCAAGGGAAAAAGCATTTCAAATAGATTTCTTCTGTGTGTGAGTGCTTCACATAACGTACACTGTCCACAGCCAGGATTTTCGCCCAGATGAAGACCAGCAGTGGCCGCAGCTCTCTGGCTGAACTCTGGAGCAGCTTTAGGACGTAGGGGAAGATCCCCACCGACAGGGCCTGCAAACACAAACAGAGCACTGGTGTTTACAGAGAAGGTTGACACTGCAGCTGTAATCCAGATCCATGCTCCTAAATGTGTTTCAACAAGTTGGACCACCAGGACACACGGTGCGGTTGAAAATGTAAACATGGACAAAGGAGTCAAATTTATATGCACAGGAGCTAGCTGAAGTTTCTACTTTGTCTTCAGTTAAAAGGACTGACCACTGTTTCAGCTCAATACGAGTGAGAAACATTAGATTATTAGTTAATGTGAAAGTATATCAATAATATCAAGTCATCAGAGGTGTCAAGAAGTGCAAATACTTTGTTACCTTACTTAAGTAGAAATTTTGGGTATCTACACTTTACTGGAGTAATTATTTTTCAGCCGACTTTTTACTTCTACTTCTTAAATTTTCACACAATTATCTGTACTTTCTACTCCTTATATTTTAAAAATAGCCTTGTTACTCCTATTTCATTTATATATTTCATATAAAAATTTTTGGGGAGGTGGGGTAGAGCACTATAGGCCCCTATGGCTCAGCCTAAGCTTGTGTCCTTAATGACATTTTTTCCCCTTACATTACTTTTACTTTTATACTTTAAGTAGTTTTGAAACCAGAACTTTAACACTTTTACTTGAGTAAAAAGCTTGAGTTGATACTTAAGTCTTTTTAAACCCTAGTATCTATACTTCTACCTGAGTAATGAATGTCAATACTTTTCACACCTCTGCAAGTCATAGATGATGATCACTTTATGATATAATTAAACTGATAACGTGGTGTCTTTGGATTAGAGATGAACTAACTCCAAACTTTATTTATCAACAACTACATCAACATTGATAAAGGTACCTTTGTGTTTGAATTTTGAACCTTTTTTTTCTATAACAAACACTACCACATGAGGAAGTGCTGATCTTTACATCTAAGACTAAAAATATGTCCTCAAAATTCTTCTTTAAGTTTTTCTTCAAAAGTCCTGTCTGCTCTAAAAGGAGGCCGATAAATCAGCTTTTAAAAATATAACTTTTTCTTTTCGGCATATTTAAAAAAAAAAAAAAGAAATTAAAGGACATTTGGAGCTTCCTGTCCTTTCTTTTCGTGGCACTGCCTTGCAGCAGTAAAGGGTTGGTAGACCTAAATTACAAAACGGCATTTTCTCTGCTCACTGGTATGGACTCTAGGTTATTTACTTTATTCACTGAACAGATTTGGAAATGTGCACCTCTGATCTCCAACCCTACACTTAAAAAACAAGAGGGTAGAAGAATTGTGTTTGTGCTCCTAAGATGCTACGTCCTAAACGTGCTCTTCAGTCTGTTTCATTGAAAAAACAGAAACACAAGATGCTTAACTATGAGACGCACGGGGGAATTTTTCAAAGTGGTGGCTGTTGACCATCTAGAATAATATGGCACCCTCTGCCACACAAGATACCGTTCAACTTCACTGTTCTGGAGAGATTTCAACAAAAATACGTAAATATAACCCTGCTTTATTCTGTCAGCCAGCTGGGCAAAGTTTGTGTTTATAAGAATGTATTTTGTTCATGAAGAATTGTGAAGTGTACAAAACAGGAACGTACCAGACTGACGGCCCAAGGACCCAGATCCAGAAACCGTCCAAGCAGGTCTAGAGCGCGAAGCCGATGCACCTGACTAAGGAGGACCTGAAAGAGAGCAGACATCGTAATGTGTCAGTAAGACTTCCGCCTCCACGCTGAGAGGAAGAAAGAAGAGGGGGAGGAAGAACAGCAGGAAAAATGGCAGAGAGAGGGGTGGCAAGGTGGAATGGAACAGGTGGCCCTCCCACCACTATTGCTTAAACACCGGCACCACGTTGCACTTGTTTACTCACACACACACACACACACACACACACACAGTGTATGTGTGAACACATGCATTGGTGTGTGGGCAGTTGGGTGTGTCCTTTTTGGTTCTGGCTTTTTTGGCCTCGCCAGAAGATAGAATTGTTACGACGATACCTTCAACACACACGCAATTTCACAGGAATTCAACAAAGCGTAATCATGCACAGGAGGCATATGGTGCGTGATAAAAAATATGCAACGTATGTGCACGAGTAGTGGGAAGTAGGTGTAGCATTGAGGCAAATGAGCCTGTGTGAGGGCTGGACACCGGTGCACCCCCATGTGACTGTCCCCACAGTGTGAGTGGGAACAAACATATGGAGGAATCTAAGTCCGTACACACACACACACACACACACACACACACACACACACACACACACACACACACACACACACACACACACACACACACACACACACACACACACACACACACACACACACACACACACACACACACACACACACACACACACACACACACACACACACACACACACACACACACACACACACACACACACACACACACACACACCCCCACTCCCCCCCCCGGACACTTCCTCCAACACAGAATGTATTATTAGTGTCCTCCGTGACTTAAAGCTTGTGAGTGTGATCATGCTAACAGAAGGAGGCCGGGGGAAGACCGGCCCGGGGTTACCTCCTGCTCCAAGGAAGAGCGTGGGAACATGCACATTTGTGTGTGTATGTAGGTGTGTGCTTTATAAGAATGAGCCAACAAGCAAGAATACAATCTGAACATCCCCTAATCCAATATTTAAATAAAAATCCCTTTCTCTTGGTCACGATTCATCGTTTTATCCTGACTTGACAAAGATGTCAGTCAAGATTCTTCATGATGTCCCGCACACACATCAGCACATTTTATGCACATGATTCAAATGACACATTTGGCTTACATCTGTGATTTTATCATAACAGGGATAAAGCTGCTACATTTAAACATACAAAGATGTGTGAGTGTGTGTGTGTGTGTGCGGGTGTGCATGTTTGTCTACATTCCTTATTCACCTAAAACCTTGACTATAATCTCCTTCAATGAGTCAGCACTTCTGATCGATAGACACACAGTCATATGAATCACCTGCATGCTCTATCACTTCACCAACACCTGATGCACAAACGTGTTAAGTGTGACTGTAGGACCGCCACAACCTAGAGATGTTGTAATGGCTTTGCAAAAAATCTGTTAATCCTTCCTGGATGAAAAGGCTGTTGTCAAGACAACACAGCACCGTATCGCTCCATCCTGCTCTCTGTTGTCCTCCCTGCGCTCGTTTCACTAAAGAGCATTATTGATGGAGCACTCTCTATTGCCCATTACTTGTCTCATTTTGCATCTTTCAAATGAAGCCAGGTTTTTTTTTGGCATCAAACCCCAAATACTGCGAGAACTGGCCAGTATTTTAGTTTCATTCTTATGCAACTGAGTGTTTAAACTGGTATAAGACCTGTTTATGTGTCCATCCGTTACATCAGAGAGCAACGCCGTAGCCTTGAGATTACTTTGCCCTGTTGATGTGAAGCCGCATAACGTTGCGTAATCTTAAAGGCTATTGCTTCTACTTTACTTCCTCTCTCTCTCTCTTTAAGTCAAAAGCAAACACACATACATGAACTCATTCACACACCGTTCAGCTCCGCCCCAATCAGTCTGCCTTTCCCTGCTTTTAACAGCTCCCCGACAGAACTGCTGTATGGACGTGCTGCGGCTTTCAGTGAGCTGAATCAGCAGGAAATTACCATTCACACGGACAGCAGCACTACTATGGCTGTGATATAATATAACACCACGCCTGTACAACCCCGCGGGATGTTGCTGGTAGTGGTGCTGGGAGAAGGAGGGGAGGAGAGAAACACCCTGCTGCTGTAACTCAACAGCTGAGCTGAGGCACACTGTGAGCTTCTAGCAAGATTTCACCCCAATTAAAGCATCACAGATAAATGTAACAGTACTACAGGGAACACAGCAGTCATTGTTCTTGTCACACACTTTTTGTTACAGAGGTTGTAATAAAGGAAATTGGCCTGCAAATACAGAGCTCAATTCACATGAACAAAAACTAAGAAGCGGCACAGTTGATTACACTTCTGCTGGAAGATCTGAAGTAGCAACCTGGAGGAAGAGGAAGGGGGGTTCGTATATGTAAGAGAGGGAGGGAGGTAAATAAAGATAAGAGGGGGTGATAGTGTTGCTCTAATAATAATATTCAAAGCTAATGGTGGACTCCCGGCAGGTGGTGTTTGCGAGCAATCTAGATGTACTTGTTTACTTTTTTATAAGGAAAGATAAGCAGTTTTTCTTTTTTTTTTTTTTTTACATTAAGCCTGCCATCTTGATTAAATGAAATCTGATCACGGCCAACTTCCACCACATGCGTAGCAGATACGCAAGACTATTATTATGAATCTATTTTATCTGTAATTTTACAGATTCTATTTTTTTAATCTGTAAAATTACCGCGGGAATTCTTTAATCTTGGCACTCCAGCTGACGGCTGTTTCTGCTCCGTGCTGCAGATGGAAGACGCAGACCGTGGGTGTTGACGGACAAAGGGTGCATGGAGCCGTAACGGACCGCAGCGGACACGCAATGCACTGTATAAGTGTTGGAAGTTTGGTGTGAGCTACCTGTATGCCTACACCAGGATTAGAGACGATATAAGGTCCAACATTGTAAAACTGAGGATGACCCAAAAATGAAACTAAAATAATGGATTTCCAACACTCCTTCATTTATGAAGTGGAGATCTGAAATGAAGATGTTTCATGTGCATGCTCTCTATACCTCCTCACTCCTTAATTTTGAAAACCTCTCACAACTCAGAGGATGAAATTAAGGGAAGAACATGCAACTTTTTGATCCAGTAGATGTCGCCCTTGAGCACCAGCATGAAACCAAAACAAACAACAAACGCAGCCATGCTAAAGGCTCGGCTGTCTTCCAGCACCACACCTCAAACACCTCTCCACTCGACTTCGCACGAAGGAGTTATGGATGAGGACGCACTAAAATTAAGCACCATTAAGCGCAAGCCGTCCTTGGCTCTAGCTGCATTTGTCTGTGTCCTTCATTGTTGTGTTATCATGAGCGTGATCTAAAACGCTGACATAACATTCAAATAAACAGTGAGTAGGCTGTGTTATTCTTCTTTCCTCTAGTCCTTGACTTAAACAGCGTCCATGTAAACATGATTTAAACACGGCTAAGACAACAACACAGTCATTTTCTCACTCATTGTAGACAGTCATGACTCAGAGAGACATTTACATACTGTAGAATATATTTGATTTCTGCTGTATTTATGTGTAAAATGTCACACATTCATCCTTTAAGCACATTTATCAACAGCGAGCTTTCTGCTCAATCCGTCAATGAAGAGAATAAAGTGAGACTACTGGTGGTGAGTGTTGATACTGTTGTCTGGACTGACTTAATGATGCAGAAAAAGAGTAAAGAAAGTCAAACAGTCCTTTTCTGTTTTTGTTCTGTTTGATTCACAAATGGTGCAGGACACACAGCTTATATTTCTTTTTGCTGCCACAATACATGAAAAAAAAAGTGAAATGACCTTTAAACCACCATCTCACTCTAGTTATTGATTTATCTGTTAATTATATCTACAGTGATAAGTCGGTACCTTATGAACATCAAACCTGATCACATGAGAAAGGATGAAATATTTAATTATGGTGAGTTTCTTTAACATTCACTGTTTACAGTTCTGGCAAAGAGCAGTATTTACTTTCATAAGATAACATTTGTTTTGCTTGATTTGTACTTTCTTCCCCTTGAGACAAAATGTATTTCCAAATTGTGCTAATGAGGCAAACTGAAGCTGAAAATGGAAATCATAAGGCAGATGTGTGGATGTTTGTGTAAGTCTTTTTTTTTTTTACCTGTAGGACTATAGGGAGCTGCTCAGGAGGGTTTCTGTTTTCTACACCCATCGTCAACCACACCTGAAACGCTGTCAGCTGCTCCGCAAAGAAAGGACTGTGCTGTGGACAAAAAAAAAAACAAGAACATGTACTGGTATGAGTTTTATCAGGATACTACAGAGTTGATAGAAAGAATGATTCACTCTCACATCCATTCACTCTCTCTCTCTCACATACACTCACACGGTAATGAGCCAGTGTGCAGTGTCTAGCTTATCATTTCATAAAAAGCCCTGACATAATGAGCTAAGAACTGACACCGCACTGCAGCAGCAACATAAATCCCGATCTCTCATGATCACCTTCGCTCTCTCTCCCGTCAGGGCAGTTTGCCTGATTGATTGGCTGCTGGCCGCAAAGTTTTTGATCCTGAGTGTTAATATCACAGCGGGAATTATGTAAACTGTTGATGGATGTAGAGACGGGAAATATTGATGCTTCCTGGCTGGATGGTTCAATTAATTTGTGCATAATCAAAGTTTAATGACTTTTCTCAAATCACTTTTAATGTGAAGAAAAAGCGGTAAAAGGCAAAACTGAAAATATCTGAAACACCTCAAAATGTTGGTCAAATGTTCTATTGTGTGGAAATAATTTATTGTAGCATCAAAGTAAAATCATGTTAAATTAAATTCTGGCGACCCTCTTCACTGTATTGAAGAAAGAAGACGATAATGATCACCGTGTTATGCAGGAAAAAATAAGCAACATATTTCCCTTAAAGACTAATTCTAATACAGGTGCATGTATAAATCATTACATCAGCCATTGTTTGAAGCCGCATGGTTCACAGTTCTGCAGTTCATCCTGGTTGACAAGTTGCCATGGCAGCTTGTTAATCACAGGTTTCCATTCCCCAAAGCAGAGCGTGCTTTATTGTTAACTATGCTAGGCTATAGTCCTCCAAGATGGGCAGCCTGGGTTCAAATCCAACCTGTGGCTCCTTTCACGCATGTCATTCCAAAAAAACTCTCGCTCTCCCTAGATTCTGTCTCTATCGAAATAAAAGGCATAAAAATCCCCAAAATAAATCTTATAACAAAGAGAAAAATGTAACCACAGTATGCACAGTGACTTGTTGATAAAGAGTGTGAGGGCGGAACAGGAGGGAAGAGAATATTTAGATAGATATGATGGTGACTTAACTTAAAAAAAATATTACCACTTCTATATTAAGAAACAAGGATTACTTCTATTTTATGTTTTTTTCTGAAGCATTTTTATAAACCATTCAGCGACCTAAAAAACCACAACAAATTGTCAATAACTGAAACTGACTATGCACTATAATGTTTCTGCATGGACAAATCCAGTTGAGACACAGTGTGAGAATGTAAGGTAAACAGTTGTAGCACATAAAGGAGGATTTAAAGGCTCCTGAAAGAGGGGAGCAAGACAGAGAGGGAAGATCTCCTTTAGTAGTCCTCAGAGGCTCAATTACGCTGCTGGTAAGTGTTTCTTCGGCCCGAGTGAAGGAGAAAGCAGAGGTGGATCATGGATGGAAAACTTCTCCCGGGGGAACAATGGTGAAGACGCCCACCAGGTGGAGGAGAAAATGGAGGAGAAAATATAGCCCAGAGAGAGAGAAGTGCTAGCATTGGGGAAAGCTAAATTGGTGCCAATATCTGATTAGTTTGTCAGGATGTCCAGCAGCCTGCTCCGTCACACAAACACTGATACAATAGCGATATTTTGTTGACCCAGATAACTTCATTTATCATCAGTTCAATCATTCTCGAGCAGCGTGTTTCCATTACACTCAGCTTCTCCATCACAGTCCCCTGCCATGTCAATAAATATCAAAAGAAACTGGCTGAAAGTGCAGGGCAGTGGTTTCCACAGCTCACTTTTATTCAACACTCACACTTGAATTATTGGACTTGACATTTTACAATGTTCTCCACTGGGACTGAGCCTGAGTCTGTGTGTGTGTGTGTGTGTGTGTGTGTGTGTGTGTGTGTGTGTGTGTGTGTGTGTTGAAAGATTAATAGAGATGCTGTAGACGCTGGTGGCTGGGAACTTACAGTGCAAACAAGCGCCGCTGATGTTTACAGGCGTCAGTGGTGGACAGATCTGAGATAAGAGCCATCCATCACTGCTAGACAAACACTAAACGCTAAACTTGCAAAAAAAAAAAAAAACACTCTGATTGAGCTCTCCTTTCAAGTGATGCTGAATAGGTTTCAGTGTTTGTTGTCCTGTCACATAGACTTACTCTGAAGGCAGTGCCCTCTTCAATGATGGTGGGCAGCTGAGAGAGGCAGATGTCCACAGCCAGGTCCCACGCTTGCCTGTAGAGAGGTGACACACATGAACCACTTCATTAATCTCTTTGTGAACTAAAGAAACAGAAACAAGAGCATTTCTGCTTTTGTCTTCGTAACCCGTTACTGACACTTTTCTCCTCAGCTCATGTTTTCTCCAGAGCACATACACCTCTTTAAATTCTCAGCACGAGGTCCTGGAGAGGGCAGCAAGGAGCCTTTAATCCCTCTCTAAACACCAGCGTTCTCTCATGGTCATCATATCTAATTCATGGGGTTATGTAACTTGCATCAAACCGGATAACGGCTTCTCTGCTCTTCTCCGTCTGTCTCTCTTTCCTTCCACTGAGCTCAGGCAGGGTCTCACCTCTCAGTTAGCATGAGTTAGGGGGTTGAGGCATGTTCCCAGTAGATTCACAGCAATGTAATGTGATGCTGAATGAGTGACATACATCACACACGTTAAGATTTTTTCTCATTGTTCACTGCACAGCTCCTACATTACACCTTTTGTACATTTTGTGTTTTTTATATTTTATATTTTACATTTTTAAATTCTATTTTATATATTGTAATATCTTCTTATTCTGTATTATTTAAGTTGTTGCTAGTTCTGCTTTATTTCCTTGTTAATTGTTTAGCACCGATACACCAAGTCAAATTCCTTGTATGTGTAAATGTACTTGGCAATTTCATTATTTTCAACAACAACAAAAATGTGTGCACAGCAGATGGGAAAGACTTTAACACTGTAAATGTACTCCAGAAAGAATATCTAACTGTGATCAAATTAGGATATTAAGACAGGGAGAGATCATATAATTACTGATCATATAATTACTAAACATATGAGGTGCTTTGCTCAAGGGCACCTCGCCAGTGCTCAGAAAGTAAACTGGCAAATTTCTAGTTACCAGATTAATTTCCTAATTTGGTCCACACCTGGACTTGAACAGACGACCCTCGGGTTAGGGTTAGGGATTCACAAAATAGAAGATGTATCACTTTAGTAGTTTTACTGTTTGGCAGCACACATTGAATAAATGTGGTTATGGTGTTTATATTGGTCCACCATCTACTCAAGGTTTCTCATGAACCTTAGACACAAGTTGGAATTTGTAGTTGGGATCGCTGAGATGAAAATGCAGAACCGTACTGGGAAGGTATCTGATTCTTTTGTCTCAGAAGAATGGCTTCAGATTGTGACACTGTTCTGTCCTACTCACATAAAAATGAGACAACTGTATCCCCACTTTTATAAAAAGACCATATTCAGCTGGTGTGTGTATAAACCTTTGGCCAATCTGGCACCGTAAAGAGTTTGCAGAAGTAGCTTTAAGCAATTCAAGTTTACAATGTTACTGTGGATGTAAAGCCAACAATCACAGCAGTACTTCAAAACTGACCCAAAAAAACCTTTAAAACTGCTGCGGTCAGCATCTTTTTTAGCGTCACTTACTAAGAGCTCTCTACATAAGGAAGCTATGGTGCTTCTGATTGGACTATCAAAACTTATGGGAGCTCATTTAATGCCCTGTTATAGGTAGATATAATGCTGTATCATCTAAACTGTAAATGATTTAGTTTAGTTTACAATTATAGTTCCATTCTTCAAGTTTGGAGCCAAAATTATTTTGTGCATTTGCTTTGAGTTATTATCTGTTTATACTATTTTTGACAGTGTGTTTTTGAGTGAATTTATAAAGGCTTTGTATTGAGGAATGGTAGGTATCAACATAATAGATAATAAAAGTATAAATATATATTTAAATTGGGGCTTTTAGATTATTAAAACATTAGGCTACCATAATTCTGCACAATGGATACTTTTACACACTGAATGTTAATCACATATCTTAGATATCTTTTGTTAATGAAACTCTGATTTTTGATGTGTTGTTTAAGGTGTCTTAATGTTCTTATGTTGTGTCTTGACTGTGATCGCAGCTTCTAGAACAATGTTATTCCCTGCAAAGGATTAACAAAGTATTCATCCATCCATCCATATCGTACAATAAATGATGTTTTCTGTAATCTATGGATATTTTGCAGATCTTTTTTAGGTTTCATAACTAATTACTTGGCCTGGAGTCTGTGTAGAAATGCTGCCAACGAATATGTTTCCCTGCTGGTGTTTATGTAATCTAACGGTGAGGAAACACACTCAGGGAGGAATCTGCCGCAGTGTTTTGAGTTGACAGAATTAACTTGCATGATGCTGCCAATACATGCGAGTAAACCATCATCATAGGCTGTCTATGTGCGTCTCTATTTTGTGAGGGATGGGGACAGCCAAGTGAAGAGTGTAGGGGTATGTACCGGTAGGCGGCTGACTAAGCTCTTTTTCTGTGTACCTGCAGAGAATGGTGCAGAGACGTACACACATATAAAAGAAGAAGCACACACTCCTACTCTGAAACAACCCACGAGGGAGTTATCAGCCTTGGGTTTATCTGCTCCTCACTATTCTGCTCCATTTGAATAACAATTGCTGTTTGTGTTTGGGTACCATCATCGATCAACAAGCACCTAAACTGCTTAATTCCTCCTCTCCATCGTCCTTCCCCCAGTCTTTTTTAATCCAACCTTTTTATTTTTGTACTTGCCATTTATCTCTGGCACTTCTATTTTTTATCACTCCCTCAGTCTTGTGTCTTACAGTCTTAAAGTACCTCTTTGTTGTTATTCTGTCCACTATAATACTGCATGTGCTGCTGTGGAACAAAGTGCAACTTCCAATTTCTTTGGCGGTAAACACTGCAATACACCCCCGATCCAAACTAATGGGCTTGCACAAGTGAGTAAGAAAGGCTATTGCTTGCTCAAGGAGCAAGAAGTAGTGTGCTCTACAATAAGCGATGGCAGAGTGCTGCACAACAAGTTGCTCCTTGGGGCAGAAAGAGGGAGAGACGAGTTTTTATTTTTTTCCAACATGAGCCAGATAATGAGTGGGAGAGATGGAGGGAGGCATTTGTGGAACATTGAGGATAAAAACAATAGAAAGTGGGAGAAGTGTTTGCATAAGTAAAGGATGGAGATGATGGTATTTGTTTCTCATGCAGGAGAATGTCAAATTAGCTGACATCAGACATTTCTGCATCTCTTAAGTAAGGTGTTTTACCTGCTTTTTGGAAAGTGTCTCGAGATAACACTTGTTATGAGTTGATGCTATACAAATAAAAATTGATTGATTGATTGATTGATTGATCTCTGTGGGTCTGTATTGATGTATTGATCAATGCAGTTAGGGCTGGGGATAGGGGTTTATGATTAAATGTATGTTTATAAGGATGGTAGTATTAAATGGACTTGAGCTTGTATAATGCTTTTCTAGTCTTCTGACTACTCAAAACGCATTTTACACCACGTCACACCTACCCATTCACACCCTGATGGTAGAGGCTGCTATGTAACGTAACCATCAGAAGTAACTAACCTCACTCATACGCCGCCGACTTAGCAGCAATGATGACAACCTCTGGACATTCTTTCTAGAATGGAGAGATCTAATAACCTCAGTCCTCATGTCCTTCATTCTTCTAGTTTCAAGTCACTCAAGTCACTCACTCGAGGCTCTAAAACACTAATAAAACCAATCCTAAGACATCTGTTAGTCAAAAGGGAAACAAATTGAACAAATGAAAGCAAAAGCTTGCAGCTCAGGGACACTGTTTTTCTAAATAAGACATATTTTGTTTCTTTTTCTTTTCTTTTTTTTGTACAGGTTTTGGTCACTGGTCTGTTGTATGGGAGGGGATGGAAACGTTTGTTAATTATTTGGCTTCCGTTAAAACTTTGTTTACTATGAATACTGATGGAGTCTAATCCCTAAAGAAGCTGAGATTGTTAGTGCCAGCTCAGCTCACAGCTCCTCCTACATTAGAGGGACACTAGTATCTGACCATGATTACGCTTTTTTCATATATTTTTTTTTAGGATTGGAGTTAAAAATAAGAACCAGCATAAATAATTGTGTGATAAAAATGTATGTTCATACTAATAATCTTTATTCTTAAGCTTACAAAATCAACCGTCAGGGTCAAGTAACCCTCTTCTTGCTAAATATAAATCAATATGAAGAAAAAAACATTTGGAGCTCTTTTTGTTTTTTTACCAATCAGCCCAGCACTAATTCTGGTAATTATATACATAGACGTTGTTTCAGGAAAAAATCTAAAACACAGCAAGAATTCCTCTCTCAGGTCTCAGGCGGTGTTAGTAAAAGGGACAACAATCTAAACTCTGAGATAGTGGTGGGCGATCGTGAAGGATTTTAACGTGCTGACGATCTGCCAAAGCAGAGAGATCGTAGAACCAGGCTAATGTGTTTATTTTATCATGCTGCAGTTTATTCTCTGACACAGATACGTCTCCTCCTCTTTTGCTCCGCAGCGGTGAAAATTAAAACGGAACTTAAAAGTAAAGCCCGCAAAAACAACTCCATCCCGGTTATATGCAACTGTTCTGATATTTTTCCAAAACGACACGCTGTGAGCAACAGTTAACTTATCTGCCTAGTTTGCACAGTTAAGTTTACATCTCGGATAGCGACACAAGAAACCGTTTAACGAGCTGGAGAGACGTTCACAGTCTGCAGAGAGACAGACAGAGAGGAGCTCAGACAGACAGTGATGAGAGATATAACCCCGGTGTTTAAAATGTTGATGTCAGTGTTTTCTGCTCTCTCTCAGTTTTTAAAAGTTACTTATCAAGCCTCTCCACCCGAAGCTCACCTGCTGTGATAACCGAATGTATAGGGATTACACTAAACGACGCTACAAAGCAGCGGGCAGGTGAGAGTGAGAATTAAATTTTATGAATTAAACTCTTCTGTCAGTAAAACTTACTTTGATCATGTGTCAGAGAATGAACACATTCTGTATTATGTTTGATTATATATAAACTAAACTAAAGTTAGTCCAATGATGTCATAAAAACAACAAAGGCTGCAGAGCCTGTATGAAGCTCCAGCTGTAGGAACTCGAACTTGAAGTCTACATGTTTTTAAATGAATACATCACTGCGTGAAAATGTTTCTGGTGAACATAAAAAGAGGACACATAACTAAATCATAATTTCAAAGTGGTGAGGAAAACTTTCAAATAAATATTGATCAAATTGAGGGAAAGACATTTCTGTTGCTAAAGATGTTCTGGGTGAGACCTCCAGACCTCCTACAAAGATGTTTTTCAAATAGATTGTCAGCACAGTTTTTGTGCATTTAAAAACATTATGCAGGGAAATAAGTTTGGTTGAACTGGTCAGTAACTTACACATTTGTCTAAAGATCAGTATGAAAAAAATCGTGATCGGGATTTTGCCAAAGAAAAAATCGTGATATGATATTTTTCCCATATCGCCCACCTCTACTCTGATATGTTGGAATGAATTATTCCAAGAAAGTTTTGTCGTCTGGTATAGTTATATTTTTCTGTTCTCCTGCAGTACCAGTACTTTTAACCTAAATCTGTCATGTCCAACACAGAGAGGGGTTTTTGGAGATGTCCCAAAGTGTCTTAATATCCCCCAGAGAACAGGTGTTATCTTGCTGCTTTCAATCAAAGTGATGGGTGGTTGTAGTAACAGCCGTGCCCTTACTCATCATACTACTTGTTTTTAGTCTGTGTGCATTTATGGCATTCAGGTCAGTGAAGGCTCTCTGACAGTACAAACTGTCTCTGCCATAAGACACAGAGCAACACATAGGCATACAGCAACACTGGTAGTCCTCGGCCTACACAAATAACTGAGAATCTCAGTTATGGAAAGCATACCAAGTATGGGAGAGGTAGCTGCATATGCTAGAGCTGAAGCAAATAAAACCACCTCCATGTTTTGGCTCACACTTCCTCGACAGCACAAGTTATAAGAGTAATTAAAGCATTTCATTTTCTGTTTCTCATGATGCAGTTTGAGACATGGCAAGAAATGTAACTGAATTCACTGACTTGCTTTTTGAAATGATTGATGGACCATTTGTGTCCCCTTAGTAAGCATTTTGAAATGAGAAATCATGTTCTTCATCCAAGAACAGATACTGGTGTTTCAGGAGAAGAAGTTACAATTTTGTCAAAACAATAATACATTTGTCAAAACTTATTTTGCTGCACTAAAGCTAAATCCCTGCTAGCAGCAACATATAGCATCCGTGCAAATTTATGGAGCAGTACCACAGCTTGGTCAACCAACTTCTTTGTTTCTGATACTAAACAATCTTCTTTAATGTGCAAATAGTGTGAAGTCATCTACCAACCACCAACAAAACTACTTCTGCTAAAGATGCATTGTTTACGGTATACAAAAAAACATCCATTAAATACAAATAAAACAATATAATACAAAATTAAAATGGAATGCATTTTGTTCGCACAAGCTAGCTGGTACTTTATATCAAATAAACTAGCTGTGAGCCCCCGTCACTGTGCCGAGCATGCCTAAACATGTGACGTCTAAGCTTAATAGGTTAATATTTAGGTTATCTAAATATTTCAATCAAACTGTTGAGTTTGGCTCTAAAAGAACAGAGTGGACTGTCTGCTGTGTGTCTGTGTGGCCAATCACATTAAAAAACTACTTCAAGAAAATGTCTTAAAAAAACAAACACACTCATCAAAAAAAAAAAAAACCCTAGCTTACTTTATCATTGAACAACTGTTTAAGAGAGGAGTTTCTATTGAATAAAGATAAACAGAACTTAAGAGAAATTAAGCCAGAGGCTAATTTTTCCACTGAGCAGAGACCAAGTTGATAGCATCTTGTGATGTCTTCAAAACTTTAAGGGGAATACATGATATGATCATTAAATAAAGCTACCATGCCTTTAACAACATTGTCTTTTATTTCACATAACCAAACAGTTCTTCTGTTAGAAAGTCTGTTCTTTCATTTAGTGTGTGTGTGAAGAAATAGCAAAGACTGTCCCTTCTGCTCTGGAAAGCAAAAGACATCTGTGTATGTAAATGTGTGTGTGTGTGTGTGTGTGTGTGTGTGTGTGTGTGTGTGGCAGCAAGCAAGGTGTCCTGTTTGTGTGTGTCTTACCACATGGCGTGCATATATGTCGGGGGTAGACGGGGACTGCTGACCGGTGTACAGTTGTAGGACCTCATTATCCTCTCTGCTAGAAGGAAATTGCGGAACAAGCTGGCCACCAGCAGGTCCTGACGAAATAACTTCTGGAACAAATCTGTAGAGAGAGAGAGAGAGAGAGAGGAATGGAAGCAACCGTCACATGACAAACAGAAGAATAGAGAAAAACGTGGTGATGAATGAAGGACAGAAAATAAACTCATTAAGAGAAAATGTCATTCGATTAAAGTTGGTCCTTTTCAGAAAATTTTCAGTCTGTGTTCAGGTTTTACAGAGCATGCAGGTTAAAAATCACAAGTTGTAGCTCCATTTTTTTTATCAGCTAATAAATGTAATCACCAATACACCTTCTCATGGCCATGCCCATCTTTGGTTTAAGTTTGTGATTCCCTTGTTTGTAGGACAGAGCTAATGTTTGTTTGGGTGATATTATATGAGAAACTCTGAGGCCTGCTGTCAGTGTTCCGCTGTTTTGATACTGAAGTGCTTGTGATACTGTGTGTGAGACAACAGAGTGTGTCAGTTTGTGTGTGTGTGTGTGTGTGTGTGTGTGTGTGTGTGTGTGTGTGTGTGTGTGTGTGTGTGTGTGTGTGTGTGTGTGTGTGTGTGTGTGTGTAATTTGGATTAGGTGTGCAGTGCCTTCATTACAGGGATCCTCTCTGATGTGGGCTGCTTCATTAACAGCAGAGTCCCGAGGGTTTAAAAGGCTTTGGCAGCCATCAGCATTGTCACATTGCTATTCTAGCTGGGATACAGTTTGTCTCAAGGGAGTCTGAGTGTGTCTGAGAGTGCTAATGGTAGTGTGTGCGTGTGTGTGTGTGTGTGTGTGTGTGTGTGTGTGTGTGTGTGTGTGTGTGTGTGTGTGTGTGTGTGTGTGTGTGTGTGTGTGTGTGTGTGTGTGTGTGTGTGTGTGTGTAGATGTGTGTTGCATACAAGAGACAGCTATGAAGAGTAAATAAGCTGTAAAGTAAATGTCAAAAAAGAGGAGTGGAGATGTATTTCCACTGGGTCAGGCTAAGCCTCTGGGTTTGCTTGTGTTGTCATTGAAAGGAGTTTTGCATGTGTGTGTGTTTACACGTATTCTTGCTTTTAAAGCTTTATCCCCAATCTCCAATTATTGTGCTCGACACACTAACGACAATTAATCTCAATTTGAGGAGCCAACCTGCACTTACCGCACTTTTGCCACTTAATGTCAACATCTTCACTTTTTTCAACCACCGGGGATGTCCTTAATGTTTCAGTATTGCTGAGACATGACTACTGTTTTTATTAGTAGTTGTTATTTTGGCTCCCTGTGAGCTGAAACATGGGTCATTTCATTTTTCATCATTGGTAAGACATGTTCAAATAAAGAGTAAACTTTATTTCCTCCCTCAACTTTAACAACTTTGAGTTAGCTGTTGTTTGCAGGTTCGTCCTCACACCACCTCCAACTAGAAGAGGACTTTGTTTGTTTTCTCTTCTGCTTTGGGTCTTGTTATAGTTGTGGCCAGCATCAGTCATGATAACAATGTGCAAGACCTAAAAATACTAAGCAACTCCAAACAGAAACACACCCACATGTTAAGAGTGACTGTTGCTACACTGGTCAAGTAGGAGTTACACGGTTTGAAAAGACGGATCCACCTCCATTTTTTTTTACATGATGATTTTTAAGAGAAATTATGGGCAACACATTTCTAGCGTACTATCCTTCATTTTGCCAGCTAAAATTAAAGTTTTCAATGTTGAATTTGTCATCTTGAACTATCACATATCAAGTTTATGTTAGCTCAGGAGATTGATTGAAAAAGTTGTAAACTGCTGACTGTAATAGAGACTGAACACAACATGCGACACTTTGAAAATCTATGAGGGGAAAAACAATCTTCAACCGAGTATAAATCCAAGATTCCTGAGATCTGAGCAGTTTGAATTATTAGATAATCCTCAGAGAGCTCAAGGTGTATTTTATGACTTGTTGGTCAATTTCAGCGTTTCTTTTGTAGAAAAGATCCCACATTCCACTAGAAGGTTAATACTTTGAAAAGTGGAACCATTTTTTGGAATCATCATTAGTTTGCACACCCCATGTACAGAGTCCTCCAGGCAGGCGGCCTGTGGCTCCTTTCCGGCATGCAATTCCCCACTCTCTCTTTCTCTTCCCCCGATTTCTGCTGTACTTCAACCTCAGTTTGTCTGGATAAATGAGTCTGGATGCTAACATTGTACTGCCTTTATTCACCTTTGTAAAGACTCAGTTTTTTTTTTTTTGCTGAGGTACTTAAAGAAAAATAGTTCTGGTTCTCACCCAGTAAGAAGTGCAACTGAGAAATGAACTGAAGGTATTCACAGGTCTCTGGAGATGACGATGGGCTTTGCTTCTATGTTATAGGATTTAAAAAAAAATTCTAAACAAACACCATGTTTTGTTGAAAAGCTTATTTAATTGCACAAGCATCACCAAGGGTAATTTTTATATTTGATGGCGCATATATTTAACAGAACTAGCGGAGCAAGGGCTATTAGCATTTGGGGGCTGGGATGGTCGGCAATCTTGAGTAAAGTTTGCCAATGTTGCTGGTGACAAGAAAAGAGAACAGAGTCGCTAACTTTAGCGCACACAGTCATGTTGTCACATTTTTGTAACTCATCTAATGTGCTGAGCTTTGATTTGACATTCGCCTTCAAGGAAACCATTTAGCAAACGGTGATTTGGCTCACACTTTCTTGCCCTTTTTGATATTTTTTTTTTTTGCAGTGTTACTATCAATTACTTTGATAAGTGGGATAATATTAAAATGTAAGGAATTCATCTCCAACATCACAAAAATAAAACCCAAGTTATAATGAACTGGAATAATTATGCAAGGTTGGGAAATTCGGAGGAATTCATTTATATTTGATTAAAAAAGCTTAACCAAGCATTTCAAGTGTGTGTGTGTGTGTGTGTGTGTGTGTGTGTGTGTGTGTGTGTGCGTGCGTGTGTGCGTGTGTGCGTGTGTGCGTGTGTGTGTGTGTGTGTGTGTGTAGCCTCACCTCTAGGCAGCACATTCCAGGCGATCGTGTCTGTGATGGCTGTGAAGATCCAGTTGAGCTCTCCGAGGGGGGTGCGTCTGTCGTTGAGCCTTCCAGGGATCCTGCACCACACACACAACACAACGCAGATGGCACTGTGTCAGCCACACTCACTGCATATCACATAGTTGACTCAGAACAACAAAGCGGCAACTGCAGTGGTATTATCACAACCAGCTGAAGACATTTACATCTACAGGCACTTAGGCCCTTACACCGAGTGACTAACAATGACTGAAAGCTTGAATATTCATGTGTGCACACAAGACACTGTGGTGGGCAAAGAGCCGAGACACAGAGCAACATCAGACGATTGTACACAAAGAATTTAGCATTTAGTTAGAGAGTTAGAGTTTAAAGATCCCATATTATACTCATTTTAACCTTTCATGCTGTCTGGGAAATCTGAAGAGTAGCTTTGTATGATAAGAAGCTCAAAAAACTCTTATTTATCTTAAACTGGTGTCAGTAAAAACCAAAACGGCTAGTCTCATTAAGGACCCCCTCTCTTATTGGCCAGACCTAGGCCGGGGGGCGGCAGAATGCTTCTGCCCCCCCCCCCTGCTTATCTCATATAAAGATACTGAATTTTAAGGATATGGCCCTGGCCTGTTGAAGAGGAAATTGGATCTGTCTTTGTTTACAAATATATTTTATGAGAGAATATCTTAAGAAATAGGAAAAAGGTATGTATCGTTTTGTTAGCCAACTAAATAAGTCCAGAGTCCGGACAGCTTGCCCTTCTTTTTTCTGTAAGACGATGTTTGCAGAACCTCCTCAAATGCCTCCAAATCTTAATTGCTTTTTTTGGTGAGACTAATTTGACTTTCAAAAAAGTGGAATAATAAGTGTTGATGTTTGTGGTTTAAGCTTGGAGAAGAAGTCAGGAGAAGACTGTTGGATAAAGACAACACTCCTGTAGCACCACCAAAAGAACGACTGATGAAACGCCTGCTTATGTTAAGCTGAGCAAAGCTACAGTGGGAATTCAAATGATGCTATTGTGAGTGTTCCTGTCCTGGTAGGTGCAAAGAAGCTGAGGGCAAGAATGAAAAAATCAATCATACACACTTTGTTTAAGAGTCAAGAGAAGAGGTCTAGGGAGAAATGAGCAATGTGAGTGGAATAAAGGGATAGGGATATTTGTTGTATTAAAGAAAGCGATAATGATCGTGTATTTTCTGCACCTGTTCATTCATCCAATCCAGTATGAGCCTGTATATTAAATGTGTCACCACACCTACATGTAGAGAAAAAAAATCTTCTTATTGTTACTCTACTGTAATGAAGGAACTTTAGTAATTGGTATCATAACAATCACAAACTACCTCATGCTCAGTTTGCACATATTACACTCATTTATTTTGCAGTTAAAATTTTCTATTTGCACTCTACTGCCTTCAAATTGCCTTATATTTTTGTATATTATTATTGTTTTTATTATAATATTTTATTGTTGGCATTCCTTGTGGACAGCCAAGAAAGAATTTCATTGTACAGGGAAACATGTTTCCTACTGTGCACTTGACAATACACATTTTGAATCTTTGAATCTTGAATCATATTTCTGACATGTAACATTCAGAAAACATCCTAAGCATTCAAACAGCTTCCCCATGTCTTAAGATAGCGTGGCAGCAGTATTCTATCCACACAGCTGTGTGTACTATCATGCATGTTAGAGGAATATTAGATGTGTAAATTTGTGTGCTAAGTCTGGCACTAAAAATGATGCTAAGTTATTCCATGCTGAGCAGTGTGAGCGCCGTGGAAATGAGATCAGGGAAATCTCTTTCAGACAGTCCCCAGAACGCTGTGACAGTAATCACTGTAGCTAAACTGAGGAAATGAGCTTTACCACACAGAGGCGCCTGCCTTCTAATGAACACTATGTAAAGCAGAGAGAGAGGACAGGAGGTGATGGGAAAAAAAAAGTATCTGGCACATAGATATACAGTAAAAGAGTTAGAATATGAGTCATTGTGTCTGAGAAAAGTTAAAGAGAAGAATATGCCTTTAATAAATAAAAAGTGAGGGGGAAAGTGAGGACAAGTGACAGAAAGCACTTTAAGCACTTTTGCAAGCCTGCACATTTCTGCTGTCATATTACAAACAGATAGGAACGTCTGTGTATATGACAGAAACTGCAACATTTTTGTAGGAAGAAAAGGTAATTGATCTCTGTCTGGGAGGAGGAACAACCTGAGGCACGTACTATAAAGCAAGTTCAACACACTGAGGATATCTTCATTATCCAGCGTCACTTCACAGAACACAAATCATGTCATCAAGTTGTGACAATTTTTTATTTCTATTTGACATACTTTATGATTCCCTGAGGGAAGTTCTAGTTTACGCTCTGCTTGTCACATGGCGGCTGTTGCTCTGTAGAACCGGGGTTTTGATCCCCAGATGCAGCCACATGTCCGATGTGTCTTTTGGGGAACTTTACACTTAACCCCAAGTTTCTTGTAAGTTACATAGCAGCCTCTGCCATCAGTGTGTGACCTGTGGTGTAAAAGCACTTTTTAGCAGGCAGAAGACTAGAAAAGCGCTTTACAAGCTCAAGAACATTTTCAATTTCAAGTCCATGTACACATAAAGTTGAATCACGCACATGCACAAACATGACCTGTGGACATGCATTAGTGGTGAGATGTGGGGTTGCTACACACTGCTACACAGGGAGCGTACCAGAGCTGTTGGGGGTTCGGATGCCTTGCTCCAGGGCACCTCAGCAGTAGTCGAGAAGTGCCCTAGCACCTCTCCAGCTACCAGACCAACTTCCATATTTTGGTCCGCATGGGGACTTGAACCAGGGTCCGACCCAAGACTGTACAGACTAAGCTACTGCCCCCCCAGGATTGGCCCTGGCTTTCCCTTTCCAGCCATGTTCGTGTACAGATGAACAAGTGACAGACAGCAAACATAAGCCCTATAAAGACTGCTACTACAAGGTCGTAACAGAAGCGTTACAGGGGCGTCGCAGGGTCAGTGGAGTACAGTGCTGTGTGTGTGTCTGAGTGTGTGTGTGTGTGTATGTGGAGCTCCTGTTGTTTGTTAACACACATTGCTTCCTCCATGACAGAACACAAAGTTAATTCACAGACTGGGACACCTCTATCATGGCATTGTTGAAATAATATGATGACAGCAGAGCTTCATTACAGCGCTGTTCCTGAAGAAGGCTCCTGACAAGTTACAGTAAGTTGCAGTTATCCACATATTAAACAAACAAAGAGCAAACTGTGACTATAATTACATCATAAAATGTAGAAAGGAGCGCTTCCTGTACTGGAAAAAGTGCAGGTTTGAGCTTCTCTATGGATAGAGACGCAGTCATAGAGCATTGAAAGCAAAAAAGTTAAGTTTTTTTAGGTCCACATAATAATAATAATAATAACTTTATTTATAAAACACAGGTTTACAAAGTGCTTTGACAAACAGCAAAAACAAGAAGAAACTAAACCAAACACAGAAGAACATAAACAACAGCAAGAACATAACAAATGCAAAATACTAAAAATAATTAAATACAATTTAACAGAAAAGAACCCAAAGTGCACGATACCCAACAGACATATATAACCTGACCATCACAAGAACCATCAGAAGAACCATCAGAAGAACCATCAGAAGAACCATCAGAAGAGCCCAGGCAACACAAAAACCATCAGAAGAACCCAGGCAACACAAGAACCATCAGAAGAACCCAGGCAACACAAGAACCATCAGAAGAACCCAGGCAACACAAGAACCATCAGAAGAACCCAGGCAACACAAGAACCCAACAACACGAGCTGAGACCAAGAGGACCAAAGATTTAAAAAGATGTAAGAAACTAAAAGAGCTCAAAGCAAGTCAAAAGAGAACAGCAATAAGAAGGTAAGAGCAGTAAAAGAAATAGAAACAAGTGAATAAATGATTCTTGTTTTGTTTTTTCTATTATAAAATCATATTCTATTGAACTAATGACTCTTAGTTGTAGCTGTGTGGTGTTTATAACAATTTGAGCCCAAATTATTTTAGCCATTATCCTGTTTGAGTCAAGCAGATGTGGAGGAACATGAAAAATAAATAAAAAAACATATTTTTTTATAAACACTATAAATATCACACCAAATCAAGGGTGTTTGACGAACTCTGTTAACTCTATTTTTTTTAAAGATAACAATTGTTATAGGCAACTATTAACTATTACCCATAGATTCCAATCACGGTTCCACTACTACGGTCCGATTTTCTCCCCCGTATCTTAAGATCAACTTAATCAAAACCTCAGACTGAACGCTGGCATATCAAGCCGATAAGCTGCCAAACAAATGACATATAACTACACATTACACAGAGAGTATGTGAACCTTCCCTAACCCCCCCACCTCCCATTTCCACCTCTAAGTGACAAATAATAGTAACTGTGAAGCTCCTGGCAGATACAAGCCTTGTGTATAACCATAAGGGCCGGCCAGCTCCAGAGCACTTTGAAAGCTTGCCAAAGGTGTTCAGCAAGTCAGCACTCAGGATGAACACTCAGCAACTCATATCCTCGCTCAGGATCCAGTGTAATATATTTGAGAGTAGTGATTTAGTGAACGGATGGACTGATAGATGAATGAATAGTTGAACAGACAGGAAAAGACGTGTTCAGGCTTGTCATATCGATCAAAAAATACTTGAAATGTGTTGCCATTTCTTGTCCGACTCATTATTGGGTTGGACTTTAAACCTTTTAGTATTTCTAATGCTCCTGAGTAACTTTCAGTTTTCATCATTGTTAGCGACCCCGCTCTTATCTCTTTGCTGAAGTTCTTATCCTACTTTTATCTAACACAGCCTTTCCCAAACGTAAAACTGCCGCGGCCCACTTTGATATACAAAATTACTCCTGGGCCCGTTATAAAATAAAAAATATGACTACAGCTATAACTTTCAGTAAGGGTAAACTATTGTCACATGACAACATGATATTATGGCAAGATAGACACAAAAGTGTACTAAACATTATGTCCATGAATAGTCATGACACGCCTTACTAATCACTTAAAGGGTTCACTCATGGTAA